ATCGCATGGAAATAGAACTAGAGATTCACTGGCGCAGAAGAAAACCGCCACAAGCTTCTGACTCTAATGCTAAAACCCTAGAAAAATGTTGCAATTCTGATGAAAAATTAAATTTAGGAAACAATCAGCAATCACAATTAACAAATAGCTCTCTTCTTAGTGAAGTAGTTTCAGATAAAAATGAATTTGTGAATGAGATACAAAATATATCATCTAGTTCAGTCTCCACTTTTAAAACATTATCATCATATAAAGATGGAAACATTCCAGAATCAAATACTCTTAGTAGCACTGACCCTTTGTGTGATATGTCACATTCCTTTAACATTAATACAAGAAAAAAATTTAATTTAGTTTCACAAAATTTTAAATGTAATTCTAATATAATGTCATTCAATTTATCTGAAAAATCAGTTGATGACAACAGCATTGAAAACTTTCAAGCTATTAGGCACAAACAATAATTTACTAACAAGAATGTTCCTGTTTTAATGCACATTTAAAAACATTTTGTGTGATTCAACCAATTTTTTTTTAAAACTTGCTTCCCAAAAATTCAATTTTTTTAAATTAAAAAAGTCATTGTTATAGAGATCAAAAGAGCTTGTACCACTGAGATACTTGTAGCATGCTGTAGTAATTTTTAAAGGATTGAGTTCCATTAGATGGAGCAGTGCCTTTTATTTTTACTCCTTACTAGTATTCAATTTCTTAACTTTCCATTGTGGGAAATGACATTAGCACATAGATTTCTCCTCTTGAATTGGTAGATGCATATTTTAGGTAAGAGTTATTTCTTCTTTGCTTAGCTGCTTGACAACCAAACAGCAATTGACATTCTAACAAAAAAATGTTATGTATTTTTACTTTTTCACTGTATAGCTAAGTGTACAATGGAGCATTGTAAAAATGAAGGAACTGCTCCATCAATTCAGGAGGAAGTTAGGAGTTGCAAACACCTTATTCCAAGATCCCAGACATTGTCACATATGCAATCATTCAACAGTTCTTATGAGAATTTCATGGTGTTAGTAGGTGGGAGGGAAGGTGGCGCGGATGGTATGGATGATGGAAGCATGAAAAACATACTACACTTAGTTCTGGCAGTTATATTATTATTAAGGTTAATTTGTTTTGTACTGGATCTTAGCTTCAGTTGGTTTTCTTTTTTGACATTTTCTTAAAAGTTTTACTTGGATCTACAAAATGTTTAAAACCTAATATACCCTCATTAGTTTTTACAACATTTTGAAACTAAAAAAATAAAAAAATTCTGTTATCAACAGTGTAGTATTATGGCAGCAATTATCATGAATGAAAGAATGAACGTTATACAAAAGGATGTAAATTTGATAAAATATTTGAAAGCTTTTAAAAAGTTTTATTTTTAAATGCTAATGCATTCATTACTAAGACCAATATTTCACAGCATGTACATTGTGTTATTAGCATTATATTAATTGTTTGAAATGTTGCACATTTTATCATAAATTAATTTTATTACTTTGTGGGGCTTGACAGATTATAACATTGAAAATGTAACAATATTTGCCTTATATTGAATGTTGGCTGTGCTAAATTGTTTGCCAAATTGTAAAAAGCAATTAAGTTTGCTAAGCCCTCGATGAATGACTTTTTAGTTATTAAGCACGGGTTGTTATATTTAGTTTTGGACAATGTGAGCAACCAACACAGCAGATTTTTTCCCTGAGTGCCCTCCTCTTTAAATAAACAAGTAGAAATTAGCTTATTTAATTCTTTTGTGTGCATTTACTTTATTTCACATCCCTAATAACAAATTTGTCTATAGACTGTTTTATTTATTTTAAAAAGTATTGCTAAAGTGTTTGATAGCACCTTTGATGAAACCCTCACTTTTCAATGATAGAATCAGTGTATTTTTTCCCCTGATAATTTTGCCGTTTTGGTTGAGAACTTGATAGTTTTTGTTTTAACATTACTTGGGTGAGCAAAGTGCCAATTGTTTATTAAAGTCATATTAGCATTGTTGATTGTAAGTTACCTAACTGAGCAGCTACTTACCAATTTCACACTTTTAACTCTTGTTATGGACTGTCTTTCCTTAAAGACACATTTATGCTTTTAAACTGTCTTTGCATTGTTTTGCAAAAAAATAATAATTCAAAAGTTGTTTATTTTGATTTTTAAGGTATCAATAAAATCAATTTAAATTACTTTTCTCTCATGTTTTTGATTTTGGTTTTTGTTTATAATGAAAAAAAAAACAGAAGTCGTCTACTCAATTTCACAAAAAGAACAAAAACAAATTATTGCATGTTATTTTATATAATGTGTGAGATTGTCTAAGTAAGCATGCTCTTATTCCAACCAATCTTTTTCTATCAAATAGTTTAGTGTGTGCAATTTAAAAAAAATAATCAAAATTCCAATTATGTTAATTTATAAAAATGAAACTTTGCTCACTCATCACCTCCCTTGATGTTGTTTTGTGCACTTTCATTTGCTACCAGTTTGTAGATAAGTTGTCACATTTTTAAACTTCACTTATATTATTTAGATTAAAAGGCAAAAGCATTTTTTGATTTGTATAATAATTTTTTTTAGCGCTTTTTAAAAGGTACTTTTTCTTGCTAGTTAAAAGAATTTTTTAATGTAATGATGAGAAGCACTTAATAAGTTTTAAAACACTTTCTCTTCTTTACTTTTATCTGTATACCTTTGGGATGTGATATCGTTATTGACTTTTGCTTTTTGTTATATGATACTTACTGGGTGATTTTTAATGTCAGTGACAAAAGTAATATGTATGTAATTTTTTAAAAAGTAAAGATAATAGATTAAATGTTTAAGTATGTTTACAGTTTACTTTAATGAGAAATATTTATTCTTAGACGTTTTTTATTTTATTTTATTTTAAATATTCAAGGACATTTCTCAATTACAGATACTTAAAATGATATTTTTCTTTGTTTTCTCTAATTATTGGTCATGCAGATTAATGTTATATTTATCTTACACAATTCTATATTTAGTAAATCTGTCATTAACAATGAAACTTTTATTTCCTAAAAATTCACTAACTAAGCATGATTTTCTCCCTCCCAAGATAGGTTGCATTACTAGACCTGCAGTATGACTGATGCATGCAACTGCAAAACTGGACTTGATGAGTATTGTAAAATGATATTTCTAATAATGAAAAATCTGTTTTCTTATTAAATTAAGTTACATTAAGATGTAACTATTAGAAAAACTTTCTAAATTCAATGTTTTAAAATTAATTACTTAATGTTCTCTTCACATATTTTACATTAAATGCCATTAAAAGTTTAATTTTAATTGAACACTGGATATAATAATCAATAATAACATCAACTATAGGTAGACAGTAATTTTAGCATGAAACAACTTAACTGCTTGCCTACTAAATAAAGATTGAAATAATTTAAAAACAAATATTCACCAGTCACAAAATAAAATACCATGTGCAATTTATAAACAAAGGTAATAACAAAAATTCAATACATTAATAAACCTAAAGACATGCTGAGTAATTAACAACAAAAATGTATACTGATTATTAAAACACTATTCCAGTAATGTCACTTTTTTCTATTTTACTGTTTGAGAAAAATTTTCAATCAAACAAGCTGTTGAGAGATTTACAAAAAAAAAACTTCATTTTAATTTTTAGAGTAATATTTATTTTTCACCTGGAACAACCTGAAGATAGTTGTGAATCCATCCATCCTGTTTCTGACATACAAAATATCATTTTTTAGGAGATTATACATACAAAATAAACCACACATAAATTATTTCACTTTTGTGATGGTAATGTGCACAAAAACACAATAATATATTAATAATTATAACCTAAAACAAAGTACATAACAAATTCATTTTTTGAACAAAAAAGAAGGAAAACAACATTCGATATGCCTCTATTTAAACAACACAAAAAGGCTTAGCTAAAGTAATAAATTCTTGACATCATTTTCTTTTCAAACTTCCTATTTAATAATCACATCACTAATAGTAAATTTGAATCAATGAAATACTTTACCATTGACAATTATTGAAACAAAATTGCAATGTAACCTTTTTAAAAGTTATACAGCTTAAAAGCATAAAAAATATACTAATATTTATTTTGGCAATAAACTCATTAAAATTTACATATTCAAAATGGTTGTTAAAAATACATAGATTTTAAAAACCCTTAAATGTTAACAAACATTTTTTACATCAGGCATTAGTTTTTCTCTGGTTACTTATATTGGTCAATTAGTAATGTAAGATTTTTTACATGCATAAATAGCATGAGCCAGTCAGCAAAAACTAAAAAAATAAACCAAACAGACTTTAATAGTTTAGGAATTAAAAGGTAATATTGTTTTTTTTAACACCACCATAAACACATTATATTAATATACTATCTCATTAATTTAATAGTTCTTATACAAAAATGACAGAAGTCATTTAATTATATTCTAACATTCTTAGAAGTTTAGGATTTTGTAATCAAATTGACTACTTGTGAAAAAAGAAAGGATGCACAAACACTTCAGCTGGGTTCATTTGAAATATATGTAAAATAATACAGCATACAAGATGCAATTAAACTGTGTGATTGCTAAACAGTTATGTAAAATATTTTTAAAAAATCAATTTCCTTCATTGTGCTTGAATTGGTCCAAAGTTATTTGACATTTATGCTCCTAGTCTAGTTGGAGCTTTGATCTTTAACAACACTTTTTTCTCTACAGGTTGAATTGGTGTCTGCATTCCAAACAAGTTTCAATCAATATTTTATAACAATTTTTTACAGGAAATATTTGAACTTTCATTTAATGAAAGTATAATGATGGCATTATACGTTTTCTCTTTTATTGCAACAATATTCATGTTTTCTAATTTGATTTCAACAAACAATTTTCCGTATTTGCGTTCCATTTAAAATAAAACAACTGTTAAAACATTCTTACATATTTTTTCTGTGATTACAAAAAAAATAGAACCAGAAGAGCTCAGAGCACCCTCAGCTGAGATTGAAATCCCCACAGAGGAAAAGCCTGAGGAAGAGCAACCACTGACGGAGAGTTTGGAATTTACATCGTCTGAGGTTATTACCACAGAAACCATTATTGATCACATCAGTGATATCAGAGAGACGGAGGAAGCTTCCACTACCCCAGAAATCTCTGCGCTGGAGGTCACACAGATTGTACCCGTCGAGATTTCTCAAGAGGAACAAAAACCGCGCGAAGATGTAACTGCAGAAGTAGACTTTGAGGCACCTGCCCCAGTAACATCCACAACTGTTGATGCCTTTGAAAGCCTGATCAGTGAGATTGAAGAAGCTATCACTGAAGAATCCACCATATCAGTTTCAGAGGACGTCGACAAAGAGCTCAAACCAACAACAACAGAAGAAACTTTCGAAATCATTGAGGAAGTCGGACAGAAGCCAACATTTGTAAAGGAACTTGAGAGCGTAGAGGCCACAGAGGGCCAGCCAGTACGTTTCGAAGTGGTGGTCTCTGGTGAACCCATGCCAGAAATCTCTTGGTTTTTAGACGGTGAAATCATCAGAGAGTCGCCAGTTTACAGGATTGAACCTGGCCCTGAAGGTCATTGCTCTCTTATTCTACCCGAGTCCTTCCCAGAAGATGAAGGTGAATACGAATGCCGTGCCACTAATATCTATGGAACTGTTTCTACTAAAGCTGACCTATATGTTCAAGGTAAGAAACTTTTATCTGCCTTAATATTATATAACATGTTTCTTTTCCAATATTTTGACAGCCATGGTATCTCCTTTTTCAGGTTTTTTTTCATCTAGAAATACTGAATAAATAATAATTTTTTTTTACACTTAACACCACGAATTCCAGAACCTTTCGAAAAAAAAAACAACCTAGAAGTTAATAATCAAAGTTGAAAATGAACCCTAATTGAATAACTAACCACTATCATTTGATTTAAAATCATCTTGATTGTTTAAGAAACATTTACTATGTTGATTTCATTTGTTTCATATAATTTTTTTTCCAATTTTAACAAATGGAATGTCTAAGTGCTCATTCCAATTTATATTGTTACCTTGATATATTACCTAATCTTCCATCACCAAAGGATTTTCCTCTGACAAGGAGGGTCAGAAAGGTCTATCAGAAGAGGATAAGCCAGATAGTGAGATAACTCAGGAATTATCACCACAAGAGAACATAGGGCCCTCTGATCTCTCAGAATATCTTGATACCAAACTAACACTTTTACAAAATAGGGAAGACATAGATACTAATTGTGATAAGAATAAAGAAGGGGATCATGACTTGAGTCATTTTAAAATATCAGAAAAAACTTTGATTCCAGAAGATGAGAAAGATGAACAACACCATTCTAATATTGATGCAGATAAACAATTACCTTTAGATTATTCTGCAGATAATGTTGTTGAATCTGAAGATAAGCCAAAACCAGATGTTGAATCTGAAGATAAGCCAAAACCAGATGTTGAACTTGAGGATAAGCCAAAACCCAGAGTTGAATCTGAAGAACAATTAACACCTGTTGTTGAACTTGAGGATAAGCCAAAACCAGATGTTGAATCTGAAGATAAGCCAAAACCAGATGTTGAACTTGAGGATAAGCCAAAACCCAGAGTTGAATCTGAAGAACAATTAACACCTGTTGTTGAACTTGAGGATAAGCCAAAACCAGATGTTGAATCTGAAGAACAACTAACACCTGTTGTTGAATCTGAAGATAAGCCAAAACCACATGTTGAATCTGAAGATAAGCCAAAACCAGTTGTTGAATCTGAAGATAAGCCAAAACCAGATGTTGAATCTGAAGATAAGCCAAAACCAGATGTTGAATCTGAAGATAAGCCAAAACCAGATGTTGAATCTGAAGATAAGCCAAAATCAAATGTTGAATCTGAAGATAAGCCAAAACCAGATGTTGAATCTGAAGAACAATTAACACCTGTTGTTGAACTTGAGGATAAGCCAAAACCAGATGTTGAATCTGAAGAACAAATAACACCTGTTGTTGAATCTGAAGATAAGCCAAAACCAGATGTTGAATCTGAAGATAAGCCAAAACCACATGTTGAATTTGAAGAACAATTAACACCTATTGTTGAATCTGAAGATAAGCCAAAACCAAATGTTGAATCTGAAGAACAATTAACACCTGTTGTTGAACTTGAGGATAAGCCAAAACCAGATTTTGAATCTGAAGAACAACTAACACCTGTTGTTGAATCTGAAGATAAGCCAAAACCAGATGTTGAATCTGAAGAACAAATAACACCTGTTGTTGAATCTGAAGATAAGCCAAAACCAGATGTTGAATCTGAAGATAAGCCAAACCCAGATGTTGAATCTGAAGATAAGCCAAAATCAAATGTTGAATCTGAAGATAAGCCAAAACCAGATGTTGAATCTGAAGAACAATTAACACCTGTTGTTGAACTTGAGGATAAGCCAAAACCAGATGTTGAATCTGAAGATAAGCCAAAACCAGATGTTGAATCTGAAGATAAGCCAAAACCAGATGTTGAATCTGAAGATAAGCCAAAACCAGATGTTGAATCTGAAGATAAGCCAAAACTAGATGTTGAATCTGAAGATAAGCCAAAACCAGATGTTGAATCTGAAGATAAGCCAAAACCAGATGTTGAATCTGTAGAACAATTAATACCTATTGAGTATTCTGAGAAACAGCAAGCAAACATTATTGAACATGAGGAACAGTTATCACTTTTTGCTGAAAATCAGAAACAACCAGTTGGTTCAGAGTCTCAGAAACAAACAACATCTGAAGTTGAATTTGATGAAAAGACAAGCACATTGGGTGAAGAAGATCAGCCAGCAAATATCAAGGAATCTAAACAGTTGGCCATAACAGATTATTTAGACAAACAGTCTGAAATATATGACACTTTTGTTGATGAAATGGAAAATGAGCAATCGATTTCAGATGAATCTGAGGAATGGCAATCTACTGTTGACGAGCCTGAGGAAAGGTCAACAATTAAAGACAAATCTGAAGAAATGCCACTCACTGTTGATACAGATACACCTGAGCAACAATTGGCAGCTGCAGATAGGTTGAATGAGCAGATAGAAGCTACAGATACAATCAATCAGTGGCCAATTGTAGTTGAATCTGGGGATCAACCAGAGGGTACAGACATAGATGAGGAATGGCCAATTTTAATTGAAACTGAGGAACAGCCAACAGCTACAGATAAATCTGAGGAACATCGAACAGCTACAGATAAACCTGATCAATGGCCAACCCTAGTTGGATCTGAAGAACAACCACAAGCTACAGAAAAATGGTCCATCATGATTGAATCCATTGAGCAGCCAGCAGCAACAGATACAGCTGAGGAACAACCAGAAGTGGGCATGGACGTATCTGAGGAATGGCCAATTATAGTTGATGCTGAGGAACAGCCAGAAGTTATAGACAAATCTGATAAATGGCCCATCATAATTGAATCTGAGGAACAGCCAACAGCTACAGATAAATCTGAGAAACAGCCAACAACTACAGAGGAACAGCCAACAACTACAGATAAATCTGAAGAACAGCCAGCAGCTACAGATAAATCTGAGGAACAGCAAATAACTACAGAGGAACAGCCAACAGTTACAGATAAATATGACGAATGGTCTATCATAATTAAATCTGAGGAACAGCCAACAGCTACAGATAAATCTGAGGAACAGCCAACAGCTAGAGATAAGTCTGAAGTACAAAGAGAAGGTTCAGACATATCTAAAGAATGGCCAGTTATAGTTGAAGCTGAGGAACAGCTACAAGCTACTGAGAAATGGCCCATCATAGTTGATTCAGAGGAAAAGCCAACAGATAAATCTGAAGAACAACCAGGAGGTACAGACATACATGAGGAATGGTCAGTTGTAATTGAATCTGAGGAACAATCTACTTTTCCAGATAAGTCTGATATACAGGCTGATAAATCTGAAGAACAACCTGAAGCTAAGGATAAATTTGATGAACAGTCAGCAATTGATGATAAATCTGATGAACAACCTGAAGCTAAGGATAAATCTGATAATCAGCCAGCTATTGCTGATAAATCTGATGAACAACCTGAAGCAAAGGATAAATCTGATGAACAACCTGAAGCAAAGGATAAATCTGATGAACAGCTAGCAATTGCTGATAAATCTGATGAACAACCTGAAGCAAAGGATAAATCTGATGAACAGCTAGCAATTGCTGATAAATCTGATGAACAACCTGAAGCTAAGGATAAATCTGATGAACAACCTGAAGCTAAGGATAAATCTGATGAACAACCTGAAGCAAAGGATAAATCTGATGAACAACCTGAAGCAAAGGATAAATCTGATGAACAGCTAGCAATTGCTGATAAATCTGATGAACAACCTGAAGCAAAGGATAAATCTGATGAACAGCTAGCAATTGCTGATAAATCTGATGAACAACCTGAAGCTAAGGATAAATCTGATAAACAGCCAGCAATTGAACTAACTTCTGGGTTACCACAAGAAACAATTGAATCCCAAGATGTAAATAATACTAAGCCTCTAGGAGTTGTGGTTACAGAAACTGTCAGTGTTTCAATAACAACAACTAAATTAACCACAAGCCATAGTATCATATCAGAGGTCATCCCTAATTCAAATATTGGAAACACACTATTATTTAGTACACGTCAAACTGACCGTGAGGAGGAAAGCAAAGGTAAATCTGATGACATAGATGAGCTTACACATGCTGATGATGAATATTTGTTCTTAGTCTCCCCAAAACAACGCTCAAAATCCCCTGAACAGATTGAGGTTACAGTTTTGAAAAAACCACAAAGTAATGATATTGACGCACCAGCTGAAGCTGTAGGACTTGAGATTTCTATTAAGAAAACAAAATATATGGAGATTACTGACTATGATATCAATGAAATCAATGCCACCACATACAAAAAAGATTTATTTTTTGAGCAATCTGATTTCTCATTACCATCTGTAGATAGAGTAATGTGTGACAAAAGGGAAAAAGATGACACTGATATATTGTTTGAAAATGTCAGCTTTGAAAATGTTGAGCCTACATCAGATAAATCAGAGGAGTTAATAAGTGAAGAGATAAATGATTTGATTTTAGAAGACATGGACATTTTGGCAAGTATTCCTATTCCCAGTCTTCCAACACAACCAGACTTCGAAGATATGGAGATTGAACATTATATGAAAGCTCAAGAAGAATTATTCCTTCAGCAAGAACCTTCACCAGGTAAACCTTCAATTGACAGAGTTTACATTGAACCTATACCTAGCAATAATGATGAAGATTCTATTTATTTAAATGAAACTGGTGCCCCACTTCATGAAATTATAGTCCTAACAAGAGAAACAATTAATAAAGACAAAAAAGAAACTGCTAATGAAGAGATGATAAATGTAGTTACGGAAAGCAAACAGCCAACAAAAGCACCTTTAGTCAGCATCAATGTGTCTCTTGATGAAGAAAAAGCAGAGAGAATTCTTAGAAAAATTTCTCAACAGCCTGAGCTAACAACAGTCACAACAACTCTCAGGGAAAGTAATGTCGTGTCACCAGATTATGAAGAGTTCTCAACCCTTACGTCTAATTCAAGTCAAGAGCTATTTGAACTGTATAATAGGCCAAGAAAAGAGTCAACACCTTTACCTGAGGGAAGATCTCGCCGTGCTTCATGCATTAGAAGAAATTCAGAGATTGTTATTCAAGAATCTGTATTTACCAGGCCAGAAAGTGAAAAGTCAGATGAAACTGAGAATGTAAATGAAGAAGATGATACTATTTTGCAAATTAACATCTCTTTTGATGGTCTTAGGCAGAGGCTTGGAGCAGAAACAGTACCAAAGTCAGTTGAGAGAAGAAGATCAGTGTCAAGGAATTTTGAAATTGATGAAGATTTAGATTTAAGTACAAAGGAAATGTCACCTTTCTTGGAGTCTCAGTCTTCATCAGCACATGAGGAAGATGGTATCAACAAAAGAAAGTTAAGCGACCTCAAAATTCCTCTTTTGCAAGTCGAGGAAGATTCTGATGATGATGAGCATGAAGAAACAGTTCTAGAAGTAGCTAATATGGTAACTGTTACTGTAAAATCAGAAAAGCATACTAAGACCATCTCTGATATAAGCATTAAAATTGCTGCCAAAGATTTTAACCTAGGTGCCAGTAAACTTGGAGGATTGTTGGCATTACCTGAAATTCTTGCAGGAAATTTCACTAAGTTTTCACAACCTCAGGAACATGATGAAGGAACTTCAAAGAAAGATGTATGGAATCAAGACTTGAAAGATGTCAAAGTGAAAGAAAATTTGAATGAAGATCTAGTTACTAAATCTGAGCCAGTTACAGAAGCGGACATTAACTCTGACAGTCTACAAGAAACAGAAATGAGCAGTAATGAGATTGAAGAGCATGCTGCCACTGCAGATCTGACACCAAATGCTGATCAAATTACTCTTGACAGATCTAGAAATATCCAACAAACAGAAACACTGAAAGAAACATCTTTTCAAGAAAACAATTGCTACCAAGAACATTCTGTAGAGGAAATATGTCGTCACGAACCTGACTTTAAAAACATTGACAAAGGTTCAAATGCGAAAAAAGAAACTCATGAGGTTGAAACCTTAGGTCAAGAAACTCCTGCTGACCAAGAACACACTGAAACATTAATATCTAATAAAGATTACTTTACAGACTTGGAACCTGGAAACAAAACAGTTGAAAAGTTAGTGTCACCAATAGACAATTCTGTAAATATTCTTCCAACTGATGATGTAATTGAATCTTTGGCAACATTTTCTGCTCCCTCTGAAGATGTTGAAGATGGAAATGAAGTTGAAAAGGAAATGCAGTCAACTAGCTTCAACCAAGTATTAGAAATAAAAACAGAAGAGTCTACTGCACCTTTTGAATTGTCAACCGATTCAAAGACAGCAGGTGACGATGCTGAAATTTTTGAGTCACAAGAAAAACCCCACATTGCTGAATATCCCAGCTGTGATGACTTAGATGACACTTTTGGTGTATTGTCCCCAATACCAGAATGTACTGAAGATTCTGTCAATGTTGATAAAATGTTTACCGGCAATGAATTTAAAGATGAAGAAGCTTCTGATAAAAATAAATGGGAGGAAACTTTTGAAAACAATGGCCCCTCTGAAAAAGAAATTGAGCAGTCAGAAGATCACGCTAGTTATGAACATATTTATAAATGGTTAGAAAATCAAGATATTCTGAGAGATAGATCAGTGGATGACAATACATCTACAGAAGAAGGTATACCCCATGAGGATGAGACAATCTATGTTGCATTCACTGACAATGAATCTGGGGTGTACAGCATGCTGCAATGAAATATATATTTTAAATTTTGTAACATTTTATATTCATGATTAATTTTCTAGTGTATATATATATAGGACAGACAATTGCATGACCAGCACAGATACACAGATGTCAAAGCACTATTAACGTTAATCATTATTAGATAATTCATGTTTTCTTGTTCATCTACATTTGTTTTCAAGATGGTTAATTGCCAGGTTTAAGTAAAGTGTTTTATTCTTTCAGTCAACTTTTAAAATGAAAACTAGAGAATCTTTTTTTCTTTATCTGACAGTTATTCTTTTACTCAGTAAAGCTCAGACATGATTTAAACAGTAAAGCACATTTTACTATAGAATTATTATACATTGACAATGTACTTCATACATTCCAAATACTGATTTTCTACTCAAAAAATCTAAAACTGCAAAATTAATGTTAGTGACTTTTTATATTTCTTTATAGATTCTAAATCTATTTAATTTTTTATTTACATTTAGTTTAACTTATCAGGCAATAAAAAAGGTCATACAGAGTAACAATTGTTTTAATATATTTGATGTTTTAAATATTTGTTGTTTTAACTCAAACAGCACCTTTTTCTTTATCAATAATTTATGTATTGTTGTATAGCTTAGAAAATTATTGATTGTAGTGAAATTCTCCACAGGATTGTAAGTGTTGTAGAAACTTACAATTTAAAATCAGCAAATTATATTATTATTTGTGTAATAAACCACAGCATGTAAATATGTCAAATTATATTTTTATTGTATAGCTACCTCATTTTATTATTAGAAATTGTTTCATTCATAATTCTTTTTATATGTTTCACTAAAAAAAAAAGCACATTATAATTTAAGAATGTTTTAAAATTATAAACACAATGTCACACTAGCACAAGAATTAATTAACAAACATCAATATATCTATATTAATAATAACAAAAAACATTAAAAACAGCAAGTGCACAACTAATTGAAGAGTAATAATCTAACCAAGTGCACTTTCTAATTATATTTACTTTTTTATATAATCTTTTAAATTTTGACAAAACATTTTATATAATTTTATATAAACTTATATGCTGTTTTTTCTTGTATCTTTTCAATTTTAAATAATTTTTATCATATTAATTATAATAAGCAAATTATTTTCAGATTCCCTTAATGTGAATTTCTTTGTTAATTCTTTTAGGTCATTGTTTGTAAAAGTGAATGTTAAAGTTTTCACATGTGATTAAAACTGTTTAAAACTATTTTCAGTGTTGGCTGAGAAAGAAGATTCTTTGTCTGAAAAAGAGAAATTGGTTACAGCTGGTAAGTCTTCTTTATAAATGCAACATTAAATAATGTATTGTAATTTTAAAATGTAAGTTCAGTTGAACAATGGTTTATTATTTTTCTTTACACTTTAGAAATTGAAAAAGAGGAAGAATCTGATGAAGACAAAAAAGAAATTTCTCCCACTCCACTTGAACAAGCTGTTGTTGAAGGTACTTTATTGAGTCAATATTTAAATTTAAAAAACATCAAACTTACAATTATTGTAATGATTTTTAAAAATAATTTTTCTCCTTCCGTAATTACAGAAGTAAAAGATGAGCGCTTCGCGCCAGTTATTAAACAGGCTCTTAAACCCATTTTCACGAAAGATGGAGGCCAAGCCCGTTTTGAAGCTGAAATAGTTGGTCTCCCTGTTCCTACAATCACCTGGTACAAAGATGAAGAAATCATCCATCCATCTGAGGAATTTGAGATTGCTTACAGCGAGGAGAACATTGCCTCTTTGTTTATTCAGGATGTCTTACCAGAAGATGCAGGAAAATATATAGTTGTTGCCAAGAATGAGCTTGGTACAGCAACAACAACTGCCAGTCTTGAAGTAGAAGGTGAATTAATTGATGTTGAAATAATTTACTCTTAAAAACTGTTTGGGGAGCTTGACCTCATAATTACTTTGGTTCTAAAATATAATTTTAATGTATTTTACAAGTAGTAATTTTAACAGGTTTAGATTCTTTTTATGTTTCTTAAAAGGTTTTTGATTATATAAAATATAAAGAAAATATAAAGAAATGTATAGCTTAATCTTGCAATAAGTTTACAACAGAAAGGAGGTTACCTTTTGAAATTAATAAAAAAACATGTATTTACTACAAACTCATAAGTGTAAAAAGAGAGTGCTGAAGATAATTTTAGTAATATAATTATATCTCTGCTCACAGCTGCAGAAGTAAGTGACATATCACAAGAGGAGACTTCTAGTATTGCCCCAGTATTCACTATCAAGCCAAACTTCCAGTTGGTAGATGAGACTGAGACGGCAACATTTACAGCAACTATTGAGGCTATACCTCAACCTGAGGTGAGAATAGATAAAAAACCAGATGTATACAATCGTTTTATGCTTTTTAAAAATATTTTAGCAGTAAATTGAATTGTAAAAGTTATATTTTATTAATAAATAATCTATCAATGGCTATCAAAGCTTTGGTATGAAGTATATATTTTGGATAGTTGTGGTTAGAAAAGTTATTTAATTTATACAAAGGTCTGTATAAATATTTTAACCATTACTAAATGTTTTAAAAATTGCAGATAATTTGGAGCAAAGATAGCAGTCCACTGCCAGACGACACAAGATTCCAGACATCATTCACTAAAGATGAAGACACTTATCACACTAGCTTGGTTATTACTGATACCCTCCCATCAGATACTGGTTATTACAAGGTGACAGCCAGAAATGATATTGGGGAGGAAACAGTAAAGGTGTCTCTCATTGTTAACAGTAAGTCACTTAGGATTAATCTAAATCAAATTACTTTATTTTTTTTTTAATTTTTTGCCTTGATTTCACATATATTTAAATTTTTTTTTATGTACTAAATACTAATTTATACAAAATAATGTTATGTCCTCGTTTTTTTTTTTTGTTTTTTTAGAAGTTAAAGAAGAAAAGAAAGATTTCCGTGACCAGTTGACTACTGTGTCATTTGAAATACCTGAAAAGCCAGATGAACCAGATCAAGTTGATTTCAGAAATGTTCTACAGACTGAAGTGTAAGCTGGTTTTTTTTAGTAAATTTGTTATTTATTAATGTAATGACTGCATGGTTTTTTGAAACTGTGTTTAACAGCCTAAAGATTTCCATACCTATTATACTCACTTTGTTGCTGTTTACTTTTGTATAATATTAGAACACACTGAGGTTTCGTTTTAAACTATTGCTGCATTTCTAATGTTTCTATAAGTCTTCATTTTTGTTGTTGGTAAACATGGAGCTATCAATGTTCACACTCCTTGACGTTGTTTTATATTGAAGCTTTTGGAATACTATATAATGATGTGTGCTTAACTTATGTTTTCTTGATAACACACTCAATATAGATTCTTAGTGGCTTGTCATTAAGGTTCTATTTTCCTTGGATTTCAAACTTAAATCTGATTCAGTCATCACTTGTAAATTTAAAAAAAAAAACCTATTGTTTCTAGTAGTTTCCTCTAGCCGTGATTGAAGAACATATTTATCATACTCTTGTTATTTGCAACAAAATGTCTGAGATGTTTGCATGATATTAACTGGATGTTTTGAATTTCATTAACATTTGCATGGTAGAAAAACAAAAGTTGGAGTTCATTATGATACAGAGCAACTTGATTTCCGACATCTTCTAAAAGCATCTAAAGTTAAGGCTAAGTAAGTGTAGAAGGAAAACATTGTTTTGTTTACTTAAAATATTCAAAACCTATTACTTTAGTAACCTTTTCAACTACAGCTTGCTTAAAAGCATGATTTAATCTATTATTTAAATCTATTGTAAGTACCTTGCACTATGAGAATGCTAAGCATGTAACCGTAAACATTAAAAAAAAATGCTTGAAAAATTAAGGAAAAAAATACTTATGTTTTTTTTATTCATCTCCAGAAAATTTACCTCAGATGTTGAAGCTGAAACAACATTAACTGTAGAAGCCCCAGAGGCTGATCAAGTTGACTTCAGAGCTGTTCTTAAGCGACCAGTAATTTTAAATTATTTCAAACAATTTTAAAGATATTTTATATTATTTATGTACAAATATTTTTCATTGCATGAATTATCTACCCTTAGCAATAAAAAAAAATCATAAATTTTATTACATACATTAACTGTATAATACTTTCTGTACTCTTCAGTCTGAAGAAAAAGAAAAGCCTAAACAAGAATCACCAGAATTTGTGAAACCTATTGAAGATGTTAATGTTAGGGAGGGTGAATCAGCAAGATTTGAGTGTAAAATTACAGGTGAGCCAAAACCATTGGTCATGTGGTATCATGACCAGCAACCCATCAAATCTGATAATGTTTATCAGATTCTCCCTGGAGAGGATGGGGAGTTTACCCTGTTGATTTCTGAAGCATTCCCTGAAGATTCTGGTGTGTACACTGTCAAGGCTTTCAATGATCTCGCAGAAGTAGAGTGCTCTGCCACACTCACTGTTGAAGGTATGATGCATTTTATTTTAAAATGCCTATATGACTTGTATGTTGATGTTTTTGAGATGCCTCTATTCACTTATTTAGTTTAAAATTTGGATATTAAACAGGATACCTTTCACTAACAAAGCAGTAAAAGAATAATAGTGTTGAAGCACATAATAGTCTTCTTTGTCAATTTTTTTTTATCTATGTCCAAAATGTTTCACCTCTTCCAAAAAAACAGAACTGGTTTCTGAGACAAGCTCTGTCACTTCTAAAGAAGATAAACCAGAGGAGGAAACCATCACTGATACTATTAAAGAAGTAGCCGCTGTAAAGATTCAGTCAGCATTCAGGGGCTTTAAGGTAAAATTATTCCTACCTATTTTTTCATTATTTTAAACAGCCCATTTAATCGTGGTATTTTTTAATTCTTTTTTATAATTGCATTTCCTTAAATTTATTTAAACTCATTATTGAAAATAGACCTCTACTCTGTAGAACACTATTACGATAATAATTATTGAAAAGTTGCTTCAATGTTTACAGGATATTTATTAAGATATAAGATTAATTGATTAATTTAATAATAAATACATTTATTTTATAGTTTTTTTTGCTTTCTATTCTAATGCTTAGTTTACTGGTCTAATGATGGCAACTAAACTGCTACATAATTTTGAAATTGTTTGTCTTCACTGTTTTAGGCTAGGGAAGAAGTAAAACACCTCAAGGAAACACGGTCAACCTTTACATCTGAGTTCACCATTGACTCTACAGTAACAGTTGAAGAGAAGCAGGTAAGCTTGAAGATAAATATGTTAAAATATACAACTCTTTATTTTTATTCTGGTTAGAAATGGGTGTTTTTTTTTTCATATTTCAATGATTCTTTTTAAAAAATTAATTATTTGTTTGTAATAATTAAGATTTCAAAAGAAAGAAAACTTTTAAAGAACCAATTTTCTTTTTAAAATGTGAACAAATTTTAATGTCATATTATGTAAACTAATAGGCTTAAATGGCTTCTACCCTTTGCTGCACTAGCACCAGCTATTTATTACAAAACTCGCTATCTAACCGAATACTGCTGTTCTGGCTTTTTTTTTCGTTCACTGCATCTTTGTATGTGGGTTTTTAATATTTTTTTTCTGATTTATTAAAAAAGTTTTTTAAAAATCTGACATCTTTATAGAACTTTGATTTTAATGAAAAAGCTTACTGCACAAGGAGTTTTTATTTTGCTTTTGACATTGTTTGTGTAACTGTATGTTTTTGAAAATATTTTTATTTTTGTTTGTTCTGCATTTATTGTTAATTTTTTGTGCTTCATCAACAATGCACAAATGTGACGATGAAAATACACTATAATTTTGTAAGCTTATCTGGAAAACAAATTTTTAGGTGCCCCTTAAATCTATACATCTAGAGAATATAATAGTTATCAAATAAATATTGTTTTGCAGTGACTATTAAAGATTTAAATATTTACAATTTGTTTTGTCATTTTTTCTGTTTGAAAAAATGAGACATTCTGGTGAACCCTAAACGAATTTGTTTTTCAGTTATGTGAATAAAATTATCTAATATCTGTATTGAAAATGATGAGTTTTTATGAATTGACTAATGTAGTTCAGGTAATACGGTGCTGTTTGTCATGATGATTTGCTATGAATAATTAATAAACAGCATTATTTAATGTAAGCATCAACTACTTATAAAAACATGTCTTGCATGAGAAAAATTCTGCCTAGTATTGATAGTCAAGCATGCATACTGATCTGCACGATTGAAGATTTCACACTGGTGAATGCCTTTGAGCTCAGCATTCTAATAAGTTCAATAATCCAAAGATTGTTTTGGGTTGAAAAATGCCATAATGATTTCATGCTCTCTTGAAGGATTTGTCAACATTCGCTGAAATTCAAATAAGTCTTGACAAAGGTGACACCACTGTCATAGACAAAATGGAGATCAAAGATGAAATCATTTCCGAAATTGAGAAATCAGTTTCTGAGGAAGCACCGGAGTTCACATCTCAATTAGCAAGAAAGGCAGAGGAAATAATGGCAGAGAGAACAGCAGCAGAGGTTAAAATAATAGAGGAAGATATTGTAATTATTCCAGAAACTAACATTGATATTGGCACTGAATATAATGAGCCAATAGATACGGTGTCTCAACAAGATGTCGTTCCTGCAAAAACAATTGAAGATAAGGATGTAGTAGATGATCAGATAGTGTTTAGTGATGTTTCTCTGGTTCCAGAGAATATTGAAGAGCAGATAATAACAACAGACTTATTAGAAGTGGAAACTCGGGAAAAAGAGATAGGTCAAGTAAAGGAATCTAAGGAGACTCCTTATACAGAAATAATTAGGGAAACGGATGTACCATCTCAAGAGACCATCGAAGAAGTTCGCATTCAGGTAACAAGAGAAGAAGTAATTACAGAAAAAGAAATCCCAACAGAAATAACTGAGCAGTCTAAGTTTGAAGAAGAAATCATTATTTCCCAGCCTGTAGAAGATGAGGTTTCTGCAGAAAAATCACTTTTGCAAACTGAAGTAGAAGAGGAAAACGAGGTTATTGCAGAAACACAAGTTCCTTATCAAGTGACTATTGAGGAGGTAAGAACTCAGCTTAAAAAAGAAACAGAAATCATCTCTCAGCCTGAAGAGAAAGAGGTTTCTGCAGAAATATCAGTTTCACAACCTGAGGTTGAGGAAGTGAAAGAGGAAATCATTGTCTCTAAAGCTGAGGTTGAGGAAGTCACAGAAGAAATCATTGTCTCTCAGCCTGATGAGGAAGAGGTTTCTGCAGAAATATCAGTTTCACAACCTGAAGTTGAAGAAGTAAAAGAAGAAATCATTATCTCTAAAGCTGAGGTTGAGGAAGTCACAGAAGAAATCATTGTCTCTCAGCCTGAAGAGGAAGAGGTTTCTGCAGAAATATCAGTTTCACAACCTGAGGTTGAAGAAGTGAAAGAAGAAATCATTGTCTCTAAAGCTGAGGTTGAGGAAGTCACAGAAGAAATCATTGTCTCTCAGCCTGAAGAGGAAGAGGTTTCTGCAGAAATATCAGTTTCACAACCTGAAGTTGAAGAAGTGAAGGAAGAAATCATTGTCTCTAAAGCTGAGGTTGAGGAAGTCACAGAAGAAATCATTGTCTCTCAGCCTGAAGAGGAAGAGGTATCTGCAGAAATATCAGTTTCACAACCTGATGTTGAAGAAGTTAAAGAAGAAATCATTGTCTCTAAAGCTGAGGTTGAGGAAGTCACAGAAGAAATCATTGTCTCTCAGCCTGAAGAGGAAGAGGTTTCTGCAGAAATATCAGTTTCACAACCTGAAGTTGAAGAAGTGAAGGAAGAAATCATTGTCTCTAAAGCTGAGGTTGAGGAAGTCACAGAAGAAATCATTGTCTCTCAGCCTGAAGGGGAAGAGGTTTCTGCAGAAATATCAGTTTCACAACCTGAGGTTGAGGATGTGAAGGAAGAAATCATTGTCTCTAAAGCTGAGGTTGAGGAAGTCACAGAAGAAATTATTGTCTCTCAGCCTGAAGAGGAAGAGGTATCTGCAGAAATATCAGTTTCACAACCTGAAGTTGAAGAAGTGAAAGAAGATATCATTGTCTCTAAAGCTGAGGTTGAGGAAGTCACAGAAGAAATCATTGTCTCTCAGCCTGAAGAGGAAGAGGTATCTGCAGAAATATCAGTTTCACAACCTGAAGTTGAAGAAGTGAAGGAAGAAATCATTGTCTCTAAAGCTGAGGTTGAGGAAGTCACAGAAGAAATCATTGTCTCTCAGCCTGAAGAGGAAGAGGTTTCTGCAGAAATATCAGTTTCACAACCTGAGGTTGAAGAAGTGAAAGAAGATATCATTGTCTCTCAGCCTGAAGAGGAAGAGGTTTCTGCAGAAATATCAGTTTCACAACCTGAGGTTGAGGAAGTCAAAGAGGAAATTATCATTTCTCAGCCTGAAGAGGAAGAGGTTTCTGCAGAAATATCAGTTTCACAACCTGAAGTTGAAGAAGTAAAAGAAGAAATCATTATCTCTAAAGCTGAGGTTGAGGAAGTCACAGAAGAAATCATTGTCTCTCAGCCTGAAGAGGAAGAGGTTTCTGCAGAAATATCAGTTTCACAACCTGAAGTTGAAGAAGTAAAAGAAGAAATCATTATCTCTAAAGCTGAGGTTGAGGAAGTCACAGAAGAAATCATTGTCTCTCAGCCTGAAGAGGAAGAGGTTTCTGCAGAAATATCAGTTTCACAACCTGAGGTTGAAGAAGTGAAAGAAGAAATCATTGTCTCTAAAGCTGAGGTTGAGGAAGTCACAGAAGAAATCATTGTCTCTCAGCCTGAAGAGGAAGAGGTTTCTGCAGAAATATCAGTTTCACAACCTGAAGTTGAAGAAGTGAAGGAAGAAATCATTGTCTCTAAAGCTGAGGTTGAGGAAATCACAGAAGAAATCATTGTCTCTCAGCCTGAAGGGGAAGAGGTTTCTGCAGAAATATCAGTTTCACAACCTGAAGTTGAAGAAGTAAAAGAAGAAATCATTGTCTCTAAAGCTGAGGTTGAGGAAGTCACAGAAGAAATCATTGTCTCTCAGCCTGAAGAGGAAGAGGTTTCTGCAGAAATATCAGTTTCACAACCTGATGTTGAAGAAGTTAAAGAAGAAATCATTGTCTCTAAAGCTGAGGTTGAGGAAGTCACAGAAGAAATCATTGTCTCTCAGCCTGAAGAGGAAGAGGTTTCTGCAGAAATATCAGTTTCACAACCTGAAGTTGAAGAAGTGAAGGAAGAAATCATTGTCTCTAAAGCTGAGGTTGAGGAAGTCACAGAAGAAATCATTGTCTCTCAGCCTGAAGGGGAAGAGGTTTCTGCAGAAATATCAGTTTCACAACCTGAGGTTGAGGATGTGAAGGAAGAAATCATTGTCTCTAAAGCTGAGGTTGAGGAAGTCACAGAAGAAATTATTGTCTCTCAGCCTGAAGAGGAAGAGGTATCTGCAGAAATATCAGTTTCACAACCTGAGGTTGAGGAAGTCAAAGAGAAAATTATCATTTCTCAGCCTGAAGAAGAAGAGGTGTCTGCAGAAATATCAGTTTCACAACCTGAGGTTGAGGAAGTCAAAGAGGAAATTATCATTTCTCAGCCTGAAGAGGAAGAGGTTTCTGCAGAAATATCAGTTTCACAACCTGAGGTTGAGGAAGTGAAGGAAGAAATCATTGTCTCTAAAGCTGAGGTTGAGGAAGTCACAGAAGAAATCATTGTCTCTCAGCCTGATGAGGAAGAGGTTTCTGCAGAAATATCAGTTTCACAACCTGAGGTTGAGGAAGTGAAGGAAGAAATCATTGTCTCAAAAGCTGAGGTTGAGGAAGTCACAGAAGAAATCATTGTCTCTCAGCCTGAAGAGGAAGAGGTATCTGCAGAAATATCAGTTTCACAACCTGAGGTTGAAGAAGTGAAAGAAGATATCATTGTCTCTCAGCCTGAAGAGGAAGAGGTTTCTGCAGAAATATCAGTTTCACAACCTGAGGTTGAGGAAGTCAAAGAGGAAATTATCATTTCTCAGCCTGAAGAGGAAGAGGTTTCTGCAGAAATATCAGTTTCACAACCTGAAGTTGAAGAAGTAAAAGAAGAAATCATTATCTCTAAAGCTGAGGTTGAGGAAGTCACTGAAGAAATCATTGTCTCTCAGCCTGAAGAGGAAGAGGTTTCTGCAGAAATATCAGTTTCACAACCTGAAGTTGAAGAAGTAAAAGAAGAAATCATTATCTCTAAAGCTGAGGTTGAGGAAGTCACTGAAGAAATCATTGTCTCTCAGCCTGAAGAGGAAGAGGTTTCTGCAGAAATATCAGTTTCACAACCTGAGGTTGAAGAAGTGAAAGAAGAAATCATTGTCTCTAAAGCTGAGGTTGAGGAAGTCACAGAAGAAATCATTGTCTCTCAGCCTGAAGAGGAAGAGGTTTCTGCAGAAATATCAGTTTCACAACCTGAAGTTGAAGAAGTGAAGGAAGAAATCATTGTCTCTAAAGCTGAGGTTGAGGAAGTCACAGAAGAAATCATTGTCTCTCAGCCTGAAGGGGAAGAGGTTTCTGCAGAAATATCAGTTTTACAACCTGAGGTTGAGGATGTGAAGGAAGAAATCATTGTCTCTAAAGCTGAGGTTGAGGAAGTCACAGAAGAAATCATTGTCTCTCAGCCTGAAGAGGAAGAGGTATCTGCAGAAATATCAGTTTCACAACCTGAGGTTGAGGAAGTCAAAGAGGAAATTATCATTTCTCAGCCTGAAGAGGAAGAGGTTTCTGCAGAAATATCAGTTTCACAACCTGAGGTTGAGGAAGTGAAGGAAGAAATCATTGTCTCTAAAGCTGAGGTTGAGGAAGTCACAGAAGAAATCATTGTCTCTCAGCCTGAAAAGGAAGAGGTTTCTGCAGAAATATCAGTTTCACAACCTGAGGTTGAGGAAGTGAAGGAAGAAATCATTGTCTCAAAAGCTGAGGTTGAGGAAGTCACAAAAGAAATCATTGTCTCTCAGCCTGAAGAGGAAGAGGTATCTGCAGAAATATCAGTTTCACAACCTGAGGTTGAGGAAGTCAAAGAGGAAATTATCATTTCTCAGCCTGAAGAGGAAGAGGTATCTGCAGAAATATCAGTTTCACAACCTGAGGTTGAGGAAGTCAAAGAGGAAATTATCATTTCTCAGCCTGAAGAGGAAGAGGTATCTGCAGAAATATCAGTTTCACAACCTGAGGTTGAGGAAGTCAAAGAGGAAATTATCATTTCTCAGCCCAAAGAGGAAGAAGTTTCTGCAGAAATATCATTTTCACAACCTGAGATTGAGGAAGTGAAAGAGGAAATTATCATTTCTAAGCCTGAAGAGGAAGAAGTTTCTGCAGAAATATCATTTTCACAACCTGAGATTGAGGAAGTGAAAGAGGAAATTATCATTTCTCAGCCCAAAGAGGAAGAAGTTTCTGCAGAAATATCATTTTCACAACCTGAGATTGAGGAAGTGAAAGAGGAAATTATCATTTCTAAGCCTGAAGAGGAAGAAGTTTCTGCAGAAATATCATTTTCACAACCTGAGGTTGAGGAAGTCAAAGAGGAAATCATCATTTCTCAGCCTGAAGAGGAAGAAGTTTCTGTAGAAATATCATTTTCACAACCTGAGGTTGAGGAAGTGAAAGATGAGAGCATTGTATCCAAAGTTGATGTTGAGGAAGTCAAAGAAATTGATTCTGATAAAGATATTGATGAGAGTGAAGAAGTGGAATCGATAATAGTAGATAGTGTAGATGGTCAGGTAAGTGAAACTGCCTATGAAAAATCTCTGGAACCAGTTGAGACATCAGAGGAAGCAGCTATGCAGATAACTTTAGACACGACAGTGGAGTTTACACATGTAGATGAAACCACTGCTGATTTCTCTCTGCCTATTGCCGAAGTTCCAGTTTCTGATGTAAAGGAAAAGATTAACTTTGAGGATCTTGCTGAAGTTGTAAAGGTAGAGGTGGGTTTGCTGATCATTGTGTGCAAATTCTTAACAGTCATTCTAATAATCAATAAGGAAATATTCTCTTATAACATTGCTTGTACATTTAATGTATATGAATACATAGGCTACAAATATGTTTAGTTTTGATTTAGATAAATAGTTGTAGTTATTTCCCTATCCTTAGTTTTGGAATGAACATATCAAACCCCGTTTTCAATACCCATAAAATTTTAACCTTATTCATATTCTTTCCAAGTATTGTTTTATCTGCTCTAGCCATTATGAAAATTTTATTATAAATTAGTTCAGTCACAGACAATTAAATCGTATGATAAACATTTTCAAAAAAAATTACTATGTAGGGTGAAGGTTTTATCATTATTTTTATTATGAAAAGCACATTCAGATCCTATCTGATAAACTCAGATTGAGTTTTAAACTTGAAGAACTTTTCACAAACTACAACAAATAAATCCATAAAAATGTGGTTTGCATTTAATCTTGTGTCATCACTGTAATATATTTGAACTTCATATTGTTGTCTGTGGGGCTTATGTTGTGCACCATTTCATTAACTTTCATGTTTTCAATTCTTTTCATATTGTATCACTTATTCATTAACTAACTGTATAGTCAATCTGAGTTCTCTATGTATTTAAAAAAAAATTGTTACTAATCAATTTCACTATATTATATCAGTAGTTTGGGTGTATTAAGTTTCTGCCTTATATCAGCTACCAAAACTTAGAGACTCTAGATCAGCTTAACAGTCATGTTTGCTTTGTTTACATATTTGTTTGCTTATTGTAGATTACAGGTGGGTTTTTTTTTTTATCAGTAAAATGTAATACTTTCTCCACAGTGTATTGAAATATTTAAAATTTATATTAATATAAATATGAAAAATATCTGCAGGGATCTGAAACAGTGACGGAAGAATTTACCATGGATGTCACATTTGCACCCAAGTTCTTATCTGAACTATCAGATCAAGAAGTTACTGAGGGTGACACTGTGTACTTAGAGATCTCAGCAACAGGGGCACCAAAGCCTGAAGTCAAATGGTATGTCGCACTAAATAAGTTTTCAAATACAAATGACAATTTACATCTTTTAGAAATTTTGTTACATAGCTTAAGAAAAATATGAATCGACCAATGATTTATTTTATTACTTGTTTCATTTACTTCTAAAAATTATTTTTTTCAACTGCAGGTTCCGTGACGATGTTGAAATTGTAAAAGATGACCGCCATGAAATCACTGAAGTAGATGCTACATTCTCACTAAAGATTTTTGATGTAACACTGGATGATGACGCTGAGTACACTGTCACAGCCACTAATACATTGGGCAGTGTATCTTCAATTGCAGAGATATTTGTAAACCCAGCTGGTAGGAACTTTTATTATATTTATAACCAAAGTCATTTCTTAAATAACTGGAAGTTTTTTATAAATCATGGCTTATTTTTATTAATAAAAAAAGTTTTTGTTTTGTATTTTTCAACTATGAAATTAAAAGTGATTATTTCTTTTGTTCTCCAGGGGAAGCTCCATCTTTTGTATCCACATTTACAGATATTAGAGTGGATTACAAGCAAACTGTTGTTCTTGAGGCAGAGATTAAAGGCGAACCTATGCCTGAGGTTGTTTGGCTCTTCAAAGGTGTTACGATTAGTGACACACGTTACAGGTTTGTTTTGAGTCTATTTAGTTTATGTAATCTACTTCACAAATCTGGCTTACTCAGGAACAACAATTTTGTATATATATATATATATATATATATATATATATATATATATATATATATATATATATATATATATATATATATATATATATATATATATATATATATATATATATATATATATATATATATATATATATATATATATATATATAAACTGCATTACCCTACTAGAAATATTTCAAAACACAAGTTATTGCGAAATTTTGTAGTTATATATAAACAGTAAAATTATATTTAGTTATGTATGTTACTTTATGTGTTTATATAATAAAATTAATCTTTTCCAGGATTGAACAGATAAAAAATACTGTGAGGTTGACAATAGAAGAGGCGTTGCCCAAAGATATAGGCGAATTCACTGTGACACTGACAAACAAACATGGTGTCACATCATGTACTGCTAATCTTACAGTCAATTTAGAAGCACCACAGTTTACTAAACCACTCTCTGACACACCCACTCGACTGAGCACTGTTACTGAACTCATTTGTGAAGTACATGGCATACCAAAGCCAGATGTTAAATGGTTTAGAAATGATATCTGTTTGGAAGAAGGTCCAAAATATCAAATGGTTTATCAAGATACATCTGCCATATTGAGAATACTAAATGTGGCTTTTGAAGACACAACTGTGACATACACCTGCAAAGCTACAAATATTGTTGGAGAAGCAACAACATCAGCCAGACTGTTACCACAAGGTTTGTTGCATACTAAATGTGTGGCAGTGATGCTAAATACTGTTCACCCCGCAATAACCTCCCCTTCCAGTGTATTCAGCAATGTCAGTTTTAACACTATAACTCTTGTATTAACACAGTTTTCACATTTGTTTTCAAAGCAAATATTCTTGCACCTATATAACACTGCATGTAATTATCACTGTGCTGTTACTCCTGTAAATAGTTTAATAGTCAGTACACCTGCAACAATCCAGTGCTATTGAAATTTGCTAGTGAAAAAAATTATTTAGATAATAACAATTTGATTTGTGCATTCTGATCAATGTTCACCTCTTTTAGCTAGTTAGTGAGTTTGTAATGGCTAAAATTAGTAAAAATCAGTTTGTTTTTTGGCAAAAACCATAATGATTTTTTTTTTATCTATTTGCATGCTATTTCAACCATAACCTGAAGGCAGGATATCAATTATTAATCAAATCTTACTAATGTTGTTTTCCAAATATTTTTTGTGTGAATAGTGCTTGATTTTTTAAGATAAATGCAAAACCTAATATTTCGGATAAAATATAGAAATATTAGCTTCAAAATTTTATTTCTTTGCAATAATTTTGTAAATAGTTACTGAAATTTAACCATTATACATTAAAAACTTGAAAGAACTTGAAAAAACCAACAATTTCAACATATACATGTAAATAATTTTCATTATTCTTAATTTTAAAAAATATAAATATATTATTTTTTTTATTAAAAATATGTTAATACCTAGCCTTCCTAAAAAAAGCTAAAGCACAGTTGTATTACTTATGTTTTTACATATAATATATTTGTTACCATTTTAAATTGCAGCTTTTAAATAGTATATATAAAAAAGTATTTTAAAACGTTGGTTTATAACTATTGCAGTGGTTTTGATTAATTGAATTGTGGATTTAATGTGTCACTATAATATGATCAGTATCAATATATTCTCAACATATCACAATAGCATTAAATTTTTGTAATGAAATTAGTTGTTTTTTTTAAAGCTTAGAATAAAATAAATTTGATATAAGAACATATCCTATTTCAAATGAAAATTTAGAAAACAATATAAAAAAAAAATACTTTGTTTTACAAATTGCCCAATATTTTCCCATTGTCTTATCAATTTTATAGTTTTAAAAACTAAATTACTCATTGTCACTGAATATTTCTGATCTATTTTGTAAATTGAAATATATTTCAGTTTTTACTTCCCTTAGTCTAAAACTGCTTGGTTTTACAAAAACTTTTTAAAGAATTTAAACAGTTTTGAAGCTCATAAAACCTAAAAAACAGAACACTCTTTAAAAAAAACTAATGAAAAATCTGTGATGGTTTTTGGACTTGTGCTAGATGCCAGCACTAATATTATGTAATACCAAATTTTTTAAATGATTTGCTTTTATTATAAATGTTAATTAATTAGTAATTACATTTAACACTTTCTAAACTAGTGATTGTAGCTATCAGTTACTTGTTCTCTGTTAAAATGGAAGGCATTTTATAATCCTATTGTCACACTTAAAATGTTAATATCTCTATTTAATTTATGCTTCTGTTTGCTTGACTGGATGAATATTTTATATACCTTGCTTGAAAAATAAAATTATCTGCTAAAACATTTTATTTTGTCTTTCAGTATATTTTTTAAAGATTACTTACTTAATTTTCACTTCATTCCTCTTAAAGCTCTTTTTATAACACTAAAATATTTAACAGAATATTTCCTGCATTTTAATAGTTTTACTATTTCACTTTTCTTCAATGCAGTTATGTCATTACTGCTACAAGTATTCAACACTATCCATTTACATACATATAATAGATAGTACTGTTGAATAACACCTTTGTAAAATAACACTTGCACTCATGATGAATGTGTTTGAAATTACAAATAAATCATTACTAAAACTAAAAGAAAGGTAAAATAATATACCTACTCATTATATATATATAGCATGTGGAATTGTGGAGCTACACCCTATATACTAACATTAACAGTTTTATTTACTATTGTTTTTAGTAAGGAGAATAATTATAAATGTTTTAAGTAGTAATAAAAAACCTCATTGGCTGTGTAATATAAACACTACATTTATATAATCTTATTACACTTTAACAGATGATAGATTTCTATATGGCCTATATTTTATAACAATTTTTTAAGCAAATACAACTAAAAATATTACTCTTTATAAAATGCTTGCTTATTTATACCAATCTGACCATTTTGGCATGTTATTATGACAGTTCCAGCCCGCATCCTCCACAAACCAGAACCAGTTGCTGTTCTAGAGGGTGAAACTGTAGAGCTCTTCGTTACAATAGAAGGTTTACCCCAATCAACTGTTGAATGGTCAGTTAATGGCTTGATATTGTCCACGGATGACCGCCACTTGATCAGTTCAACTTCAGAGACCGTCACTCTGACCATCCCTAAATCTCAGGTGTCAGATAGTGCTACATTCACACTGATTATCTCCAATGATACTGGATCTGACACATGTGATGTCCCTGTTACTGTTACAAAACGTAAGTTGGTAGTGCCTTTGCACTGCCATAGCATGGTTTGGTCAGTGTTTGAAGCTAGTTATGTCCAGTGTGTGTTCATTTTAACTGAGGCAGAGCTTTACTGTTGGCTAGATGCAGCCGTAGGCCTTAAAAAGTCGGACACTTTGCTATTAATTTTTTAACTTGTAATGATCAAAGATCATCAACATTAGTAATTACGAGCCGGCCCGCGGCATAACATACGCCGCTATTTAGTTGTTGTTTTTTTCTACTTTTCAGTAATTCATAATTTGTGAATTCGACAGTACCAACGCTGCCACTGAAAATATTTCTTTAAAACACTATAAGTAGCACGTTAAGGACCATAACCCCCCCCCCCTCCTCCCCCCTCCCCCACCCACGTTTAAAATCGTTTCAAACTAAATTATCTGCCCCTAATAGTCGTCACTAAACCCGGCTCTGCTTGTAAACATTTAGAGTGAATACAGCTCACTAAGACCATGTAGGGGTGGGGGTGGTAGGGAGCGCGTTTACAGCTTGTTTTCTAGCGTCTCCCAGAAGAGAATTATATATATAGATTTTTGCTTCACATTTTGTCTTAAAGTCAAGCTGAGTTAAATGTCTTAAGTAAATAAAGCAACTACCTCAATATTTCAACCATCAAGCTTTTTCAGTGCTATCCAAATCTAGTAATCCACCCTAAAATTTCACTAGCATTGTGACTTGTGTTTTGAATCTATTAAATTAAAGCAATATAAGCCTATCTTCTGTTATAGCCTAATTTCTAATGTTCACCAAAACCAAAAAAGTTCTGAAAGGCATAAATTATGTCATAATTTTAAAAAGTATAAATAGCGGGGTACAGTGTTTCTTTTAAATTTCGGGGGGGGGGGGGGAAGCGAGCACTGTTAAAAGTATATATTTTCTATATAAATTCCATTTCATTCGGGGACGGGGGGGGGGGGGGGGGTAGCTGGAAGAAACTCTGGTGGTGTAGCATATCTTCTTATCTACTAGGTCTAGGCCAATCTGTTTTCATATTAACTTAATAAAAAAATAATATTGCTACTTTTAAAAATTACAATACTAAAGAAATTTTGAGTATTTTTAATTTTATAGCTTTAAACGTAATCATATAGATCTGGATTATTACATTTATACTGCTCTGTGATGTATGGTCGATACGTTAGCCCACAAATCAGATAACTCAAACTAGTTTTTAAGGAACTTTGGGAATGGGCTCTTCCGAGGTCAAATAAAAAGGAGAAGAGGATGTGTCTGTGTGTGGGGTGGGGGGGGGGGAGGTTTCTGGATTGCTCTCTATGCCCCTTTATTATTCATGCTTCAGTGCCTAGATATCCGATTTTAAATAACTAGAACAAGCTCCACACCTTCCTCCCAACGTTTCTGAAACCTGAGTATGTGTACCGAGACATTTTAGCTAGGGATTTTTGTTGGTTTCAAAATACGTAATCATTCTTCTGAGTTTAATAAAATTATCTACGCGAATGTAAAAGTAATTAGATCTAAATCATTTGTCGTAGGATTAATTATTTCTACAGCGGCAAGAAAAAAAAACTAAAAAATTAAAATTCTACCTGGCATACATTTTGTCATTTTGATGAAAAGACAGGCCAATTTGACTAGGACAATATTTAAACCGCACATTTTACAATTTAAATAAATTTTTTTCGGTACAAAATAATTAATAGACTAGACTACTTTGAAAACTGAAAATAGTCCTAACATTAAAATTTGTAGCATTAACACGATCAAAATCTTAATACCATTACTAGATCTAGATTCTAGATCTATATATAGATCTAGATCTTAGATCTAGATCTAGATCTAGTTAACATATTTTGGCTATTGTACAGGCCTAGCTCTAGTAGAGTCTAGACAGGGCCTACACAAATGTACAAGCTACGCTATTTCTGTACTAAAATCTAAATCTAGATCTAGATCTAGAAATTTAGGTCTAGACCTAGGCATACTAGATCTAGATCTACATACTTTAACTTAATGCACATAGAATTATTCGTATTTAGATTTAGAAATCTACATTCTAAAACAACTCAGTAACTTAAAAAAAAAATCACGCTAAGCTAACGGCGGCTAACGCAGTAGCAGTTCTGCGTCGGGTGACACCGAGTGCCGCACGTCGCGTTTTACTCCCACCCCCTCCTACATATTTGCATTTTTGATTCTGTATAACCCCTTGATAAAAATATGTCGTAATCTTAACTGGTTAAGCATTGTTTTGACAATGAATGTTGCAATTTTTTTCATCGTGGTGTAATCCCCTAACACCTAAGCCTTGCTAAACTTTAATGATTACACCCGCCGGTAGGGACCCCACCCCCCCCCCCCCCGGTGACGTCATTAAGCTAACGCATACTTACCACCGAGAATCCAGCCGTGGAAAATCCTTAGAATATCTCAGTCAGTGCAAATTATTTGATATAGATCTAGCTTGAAATCTAGATCTAGGCTTTCATATGAAAGAGTGCAAATAGTTAAAGATCAAGAGATCCAAGTCTCAGATCTTTAATTTACTATTATCTAATTTCTATGGATTCTAATCTATAAATCTAAAACTAAATAAATATTTTAAACAAAACTAACAAATTAATTTTAAAAAATTCTAGATCTAGATCAAAATCCGAAAAAGATTTGTCATTGAAAATTAAAACTTCAATATGTGTGTTGACAGTGACTAATGTAAGGATTAAAAATTGTGTGACATCAAGTCTAAAAAAGCAATTTTATTATGCAACCACTATTTTGTCCCACTATTTTGCCCTATAAATACTAGATCTATAATGTTACAATGTAGGTTTAAATCAATGTATGAAATTACTGTAGACTACCGTCCCTATAATACATTATTTTTCTAGATAGGCCTATTTGTAAAGTTATATTTTGTATTAAAAATATTAAATATGTAGACCACACATTCTACATGACAAAATTTAGCAAAAATTATAATCAATTCAAAAATCAATTAAAAAAAGAGTTGCTGTACTCAAAACCTAGATTTATTGGGTCAGCTTACTAGATTCTATACCAGTCATCAACCAACACTATATAACCTAAAAATATATAAGTCATAAACCACAACATCACCCCTTCATATATAGGCCAAATTTATGTACACTGTCCTAGTTTAATTTAAAAAAAAATGAAGTGAGCAATCTAAGATATTTTATCTAAGTATACTGGACGAGTATTTAGTATTTTTAGTAATTTAGCATCTGTATTTATATATATTTTATTTATTTATATTGAATATATTTTCATTTACAAAATATAATTGAAAAGTCTATTTATATGACCTGCAAATCTATATTATGCTGGTATTTTTTCTTGAACAGTTCTCTAATCCCAAATAAATGAGGTGGGATTAGACTAGGATTGCCCAGAAGCATTCACATTCTTTCCTTTATAACAAAAGTTCATAAAACTGCTATTCTATATTAACATTATTTGGATCAAAATGAAACCTGGATTAGGTATCTTTATTTTCACAGTAAAAAAAACTATTGGCTGTTTTAAAAATAAATCAATATTTAAATTTTTTTAGCACTGCCAAAAGAGGAAAAACCTGAAACGCAAGCACCCAAGTTTGTTGTTCCCATTGAGACAGTAGAAACATTACCAGGGGAAACAGTTACATTCTCATGCAAAGCTGTTGGTAAACCTACTCCTGAACTTTCCTGGTTCAAAGATGATAAACCAATAAAAGCAGATGACAAACAGTTTACAATTTCTTCCCCTGCTGATGGTGAAAGCACGCTGGTCATCACTAATGTTCTGCCTGTTCATGATGGAACTTACACTTGTGAGGCCACTAATGAAGCTGGAAAAGATAAATGCAAGGCAGATCTGTTTGTTGAAGGTAGTAAAAGTTTGTGTTAAGTTTTAATACCTAGCTGCTCAATGTGGAACTATGCTTATGTCTATTGATAAAAACATTAAGAATTGTAAGTAAGGAAACAATAAGTTTACATCAAGTAAGTTTTAAGACAATCTGAAATATGTTTTGTTAACAGAAAAGCCAGAAGAAAAGGGCATTGCACCAGAGTTTATTAAAGTTCCAGAAAAGTTGACAGTTAGAGAACATGACACAGCTAAATTCCTAGTCAAGGTGATAGGTGAACCAAAGCCTGAAGGTGATTTACTTTTTCTTTTTTTACATCAATTAGAATTTGTTATAAAAAATATACTGCGATGTGATTTATTTAATTCATTGATTTTACTATAATAACAAGCCCTAGAAGGTTCTATATATGTAGTATTGGCTTACAAAAATTAAACTACATTTACATTTGTGAACATTGTTATTTATAATCAGTTACCTGGATGAAAGAAAAAGAATTACTAGAAGATGCTGATCTCTATCACCTTGAAAACTATGAGGATACCTACTGTTTTGAGATTAAAGACACAGAAAAAGAGGATGTAGGTGTCTACACATGTGTTGCTGAAAATGACTTTGGCCGCGCCGCTGTTGACATTCCCCTGTTCGTGACTGGTAAGTAGATTTTGCTTTGCTCACCCCAACATTCAATTTGTTTTTTGCAGGAATATTTGTGAGGATGAGACTCATGATAAAGCCTATGTGTAAGCTTGTCAAATTTTTATCACCAGAAATACCTCGTGATGAAAGGTTGTCTGAATCTCCATTGGTTCTCAAAACTCAGGAAGAAACTCGAGCTCCTGAGTTCATTGAAGTGTTCAAAGACACAGTAAGTAACTGTCACACATTAAATAATATCAATCAGCAACTAAAATCACAGGTGTTGGTATATTTTTAAGTGGTCATCACACCGGTAACAAAAAAAATTTTAGGATGCTGAGAAGGAGGGTGGGGTTTGAAGGCATCGTGTAGTGAATTTGTGTAGTGAATGACTTATCCAATGGATAACACTAATTATCTAGTTTTATATTTTAAAAATTCATTAAAATAACTATTATGGTGTTGTCTATTATTAATATTTATTTTCACCTTAAAAAAACCAGACTGTGATGGAACAGAACTCACTTCAACTGCAGGCACGAGTGATAGGTCTCCCTCGACCAGAAGTCACATGGTACAAGTAAGTATTTTACAATAAACGTTAGCTCTCAAAGTCACATGGTACAAGTAAGTATTTTACAATAAACATTAGCTCACAAAGTCACATGGTACAAGTAAGTATTTTACAATAAACATTAGCTCACAAAGTCACATGGTACAAGTAAGTATTTTACAATAAACATTAGCTCACAAAGTCACATGGTACAAGTAAGTATTTTACAATAAACATTAGCTCACAAAGTCACATGGTATAAGTAAGTATTTTACAATAAACATTAGCTCACAAAGTCACATGGTACAAGTAAGTATTTTACAATAAATGTTAGCACACAAAGTCACATGGTACAAGTAAGTATTTTACAATAAACATTAGCTCACAAAGTCACATGGTACAAGTAAGTATTTTACAATAAATGTTAGCACAAAAAGTCACATGGTACAAGAAAGTATTTTACAATAAACATTAGCTCACAAAGTCACATGGTACAAGTAAGTATTTTACAATAAACATTAGCTCACAAAGTCACATGGTACAAGTAAGTATTTTACAATAAACATTAGCTCACAAAGTCACATGGTACAAGTAAGTATTTTACAATAAACATTAGCTCACAAAGTCACATGGTACAAGTAAGTATTTTACAATAAACATTAGCTCACAAAGTCACATGGTACAAGTAAGTATTTTACAATAAACATTAGCTCACAAAGTCACATGGTACAAGTAAGTATTTTACATTAAATGTTAGCACACAAAGTCACATGGTACAAGTAAGTATTTTACAATAAACATTAGCTCACAAAGTCACATGGTACAAGTAAGTATTTTACAATAAACGACAGCTCACAAAGTCACATGGTACAAGTAAGTATTTTACAATAAACGACAGCTCACAAAGTCACATGGTACAAGTAAGTATTTTACAATAAACATTAGCTCACAAAGTCACATGGTACAAGTAAGTATTTTACAATAAACATTAGCTCACAAAGTCACATGGTACAAGTAAGTATTTTACAATAAACATTAGCTCACAAAGTCACATGGTACAAGTAAGTATTTTACAATAAACATTAGCTCACAAAGTCACATGGTACAAGTAAGTATTTTACAATAAACATTAGCTCACAAAGTCACATGGTACAAGTAAGTATTTTACAATAAACGACAGCTCACAAAGTCACATGGTACAAGTATTTTAACATAAATTTTACCTCTCCAAGTCACATGGTACCAGTAAGTATAATTGTTTGCTCTTAAAGTGACATGTTACAAGTTATTGTCTTACTCCATTTTTTTCTCTCCCTCTAAAATATTTTTTTTAAAAATCCACTACTATTGAACTACATATTTTAACAGGAAAAAAATGTGCACACCCTTTCCTCCACCTAAGAAATGACTCCAGTTTTTTAACAACCCACTAGAGTTTAACTTACTAAAATACTTGCATTCTAAACCAATTTTGTTTTGACCCCAGGGATGACAAAGAAGTGATTAAAACACCAAATGTCTTGATAACATATGAAGATGAGGCTGTCAAGCTGAAGATCTCATCAGTGAAAATAGACCAGGAGGGCGTTTACAAATGTGTTGCCACCAACTCTGCTGGCTCAGCAGAATGTATCAGTAGGGTGGTTGTTGAAGGTAGGCTAGAAATATTTCTCTCTTCTTGTTTATTTCTGCTCACACAGAAAACATACTGCCTAATTTGCTTGTAGATGAAATTAAAAAATTGATATTGTAAATGCTTTCTAATTTAAGTTTTAAAAACATCTTAGCAGGTGCAGTTTATTTAATCAATAGGAGCACATTTAATTTCATGAGTATTTATATGTAATACTCTGTATTGATTAAAGGTGGGTTGAATTGCTTATTTTGTGTGTACAGGCAAAACTGAAGCTCCTGTGTTCACAAGACCTCTGGCAAACAAAGAGGTTAAAGAAGGTCGACCTGTGAAGTTTGAGTGTGCAGTTGTTGGTCTGCCCCAGCCAGAAGTCTCTTGGTATGTATTTTTTTATCAACTGTGGGGGTCCTGGCATGTAAAGATGAACTAAATTGAGGGTAAAAATTGTAATAAAGCATACATTGTGTAGTTCTTTAATAAATGATGAAAAAATCTTAATTATCCTTAGAATTAGGGCTGAGAGGAAGTGAGTGGACATTTTTAAAATGTTTTTGTGGTTTATAGGTTTACTTATGTATTACAATAAGAGAGATGAGACAAAAATCATCTAAAATAGTTACATCATTTATAAATAACATCCTCGTACCCTCCATCCATTTTACCTACATATTGTTATTAATTTCTTAACTTTAAATTTTTAGCTGAATACTATTTGAATTTGTCTTTTAATGTTCAAATCAGGTTTGTGAAAGAATCTCCTGTGGAAACTGGCGTGCACTTCAATATTGAATCCCGTAAAGGATTTGCTGACGTAACCCACAGCCTTATCATTGACTCAGCTCAAGTGGAAGACGCTGGTACCATCAAGGCTGTTGCTGTGAACAAAGCCGGAGAAGCAACCACAGAGGCAACTCTGACAATTGATGGTAAGTCTAGAATTTGGATAAGTTTTAATCTACTTGTAAATTTTGTTTTGATGATACTTCACAATTTAAAAAAAAATGTAAAAAAAATTGCAGACTTAATAATAACTATAAACATTGTATTATTAATTTACAGAGAAAAAAGAAGCCCCTAAGTTTATCAAGAAACTTGAAACAGTCGAAGTCATTGAACTCAACCCTGCAAAGTTCGAGGTTGTTGTCAGTGGGAAACCCAAGCCTCATGTTACCTGGTGAGATAGAGGCTAATTTATCTCTGCTTAATTAGTCTCATGGCTAGAGAACATGATTTCTATCTGGTTGCAAAACATTACACCATGTCAATTATGCCCCCCTCCCGCCCCCCCCCCCCCCACCCCCCAACAAAACAGCAGTAAGACATTACCCTCAAGTCAATTACACCCCCCAATAATCAACCCCCTCAGATGTACTAACCCCCTATCTATTACCCCCCCCCCCCCCTACCACCAAACTAATTACACCCCTTCCCCCAATAGTTAACACCTTGTAATTCTCCTCAGATGAACTAGCTCTTCTCCATCAGAAAACTTCAATACTACATACCCCTCCCCCCCCATTTACTGGGTCATAATGTCCGAGACCTTACTAAACTGCATTTAATATTGATTTTTGTTCTCCCCCAGGCTACAAGGAGATGAGGAATTGGAAGACTGTGAAGACACCAAGATAGAAGTTGTTGATCAGACATACACACTAACCTTCACCAAGACCAAGCTAGATGATGCCAGTGTCATTACTGCTAGAGCCAAAAACCCAGCTGGCCAGGTTTCCTGCAACAGCAGGCTAAAACTCATTGGTATGTTTTTGGTTCCTCATTTTAACTGTGCCTATGTTTGTATAATTTAACCTTAGTTTTCATATTGCAATGAAATGTATACCCAGTAAAGTAGATCCTTGACCTCTGTAAATTGATCACTATAAAAATTGTTTTGAATTTTGTGTTACTTGCCACCGCAGCTGCCAAAAAACCCACATTTGTAAGAAAACTGTCTGATGCTCTTGTCCCTGAAAATGGTACTGTTAAGTTTGATTGCAAGGCAACAGGTGTGCCAATGCCAGAGATCAAATGGTGAGAATTATTCAGTTTCATTAAATACTTCATTAGTTTAGTATATAGCTTAGTTGCCCTATACATTTTGTTTTGTTCAATGGCTTGTTGTCTAGAAATATATTAGAAAGCAGGCCCAAGATATTTGAGAAACTGAGCTAACAATAACAAATCTTTACCGGTTTTGCATAAAAAAATTGAATAAAGAAAATACTATCTATATTTAAGTCACAAAGCTTTATAACTTATTAAAGCAAGAGAATTTTAAATATGGTTGGAATATTTTTCAGTTTCAAATGACATATTAAAGCTAACCTAAATTATGTATAAAATATAAGCCATGGTTGAAATATTTTTCGGCTTCTAATTTTATATTCAAGTAACCTTTCAACCCAAATGTAATAGTGAAAATTAGTTGACCTACAAGGTTTGAATATTTTGTCGTCCAGGTACATAAACGACAAAGAGCTTGAACCCAGTGAGTTCATCAAGATGGATGTGAACCCTAAGGATGGAACCTACACCCTGACAATAGCAGGAGCCACTGCTGACCTTGCTGGTGAGGTTAAGGCTGTAGCTGTCAACAATGGTGGAGAAGTTCTGTGCTCGGCTCACCTGGATGTCAGAGGCAGGGCTCCCAAGTTTATTGAGGCACCACTCAAATGCACAGTTCTTGAAGGTTTGTTTTAATTTTTCTTATTTTGAATTTATTCATTTTTGTGTCTGGCATTTATCAAAACATCTTCAAGATATAGCCTAGGCTATTTTTGCTAGAATGGCTACCATAATATCTTTCATAGCCCTAACGCTAATCTCGATCCTAAGTCAGTCCCTATACTGAACCCTGCCCTTATTAGTAATACAATCAGAAGAAACCTGAATGTGACATTCTGCAAACAATGTTATAAAAGGTTTATTTTTATATACAATCTAGACAAATATACTTACATTTTTTTCATAAAACTTTTATGTTTTAAAAAAAACATGTAACTTGACATTAATATAAAATTTAAAATATAGGCCTAATTAACCACCAATCAGTTTTTTTCCATAACCTAACTCTATGAGTGATTAAACTTGTTTTACCCACCAGGCCACACAGCTGAGTTCCGCTGTATTGTTGACGGCGAGCCCAAACCTAAAGTGGAATGGTCTAAAGGCAAATGGATGAAAATTCAGCACGGAGGTCGCTATACCATCTCAGTGGATGAGGCCACAGGGGAGCACGTTCTACAGATGCAGGATGTGAAGAGCAAAGATGCTGGCACCTACACAGTTACTGCCAGCAATGAGCACGGCTCGGAGCAGGCGCCAGCAACTCTCATGGTGACTGACAAGGAAGAGGAGGTGGCAGACTGGAAGTCACAGCTCAAGCACAGGTTTGTTTCGTTGAGGAATTTTCTGTTTTTTAGAAAACATTTCAGGAGTAATTTATCTGAGTGAACTTAAAAGGGTTTCAGAGATAATTAAGACAATTATAATATGTAATGTATTTTAATTATAATAATTCTTAAATTGACTGCCATGTAAGATGGTCTGACATATGTAGAAAAAGAGTTAAACATTTAAAAAAAAAATAACCAAGACATTTTAAAAACGAAAATAATTATATACCAATTTTTTTTTTTCCAAAATGCATTTTTTTATAATAAATTCATTTGATCATACAAAATAATGAATGATTTTATTTTATCAACTTTTTCCCTTCACTGACACAGAGAAGTGAAACGAATTGAGGCTGAGGAAGAATCCCCCTGGCAAGTGGATCTCAAGCATGTGGAGATTGAAGAACAAAAGTCCCCATCTCCAGAAGCCAAACCCAAGCCTCCTAGTCCAGAAATTGAAAGGATGGAGTATCATCCAATTGCCAGGAGAGAGAGACCAGAGGTAATGAAAGCATCTTTTTTCTTGCTTTACTTAAACTAGTTTGGTAAATATAAAATTAAACCATCTAACAAATTACTAATTTTGACATTTAAAATAAAATTTTAAAATAAACTAGAAAATGACTATTTGACATGCTGTTAAAATAAACACTAAAATGACAAATTGACTAATAATTTTAGCTGGAAGAGGGAGAGACCATGGTGTTCCAGATGGCACCACGAGAACGTGAAGAACTAGAACAGTTCCATAAGATGAGTGCTCCTGTCACATCAGCTGCTGCTGTTGATGAAGAAGCTTCACTGGGCTACACTAGAGCAGTCAAATCACAAGAACTGGAAGAGGCAGAAGAAATGACTTACGTTAAACAGAAAGCACAAGTATGTGAATTCCATTCTATTAAGGCATTTTAGAATTGTATTTAAAGTTTACCTGCTACTTCTGTTTTTAGAACCACTGTTAGGGTAGCTATACTAGGAAAACAACTTTGAGTAATCATGCAATCATTCTTAGAATCCAGTAGCAATCTTATTAAATATAAGGTGGTTTTTTTGTAGTTCTACATGAGCTTTTTTTATTTATTATTATAGTGGCGCTGGACTGTACCACTACAAGACATGGCCGTCAAAGAGAGAGAAGCCGCCAAATTTGAGTGTGAGTTCTCCATTCCAAATGTCAATGTTGTATGGAAAGTCAAGGACGAAATTGTGGAGTCCAGTCCGAAGTTTGCCATCCAGTCTGATGTCAGCAAGCACGTGCTGGTTGTCAGCAAGTGTAGACCAGGAGATGCAGGACCAATATCCTGCGCTTATGGTGACATCGTCACAGACGCTAGGCTTATTGTACAGCGTAAGTTTTTCTACACTGCTTACTAAGACTTAAAGTTAACTTTAAAATATTTAAGTCAATTAAATTAGATAATATTTTTCTACACAGCTGATTATGACATAAAATTGACTTTAATATAGGTTTATTTAAATTATAATGTTAAGCTAGTATTGTCAATAACAATACTTCAACCCCAAACTTAACACTTAACATCAAAATTATAGTACTTTTATCAAAAATGTCAGAGGATTTAGCTAAAATTGATAATAATACCCTGTATTTTTCTTGAATCTATGAAATCAAAGTTTAAAACATTGTTTCATATAATATTGAAAAAGAATATTGTTTTTTAATGTACTTTGTGTTTGTACTATAGCCTGTACCTGCTCTCTACTCTATAGCTGTACCAGCTGATTTCACTATGACACTGAAAGACACCAAAGGTAAAGAAAACGCTGACGCCGTTTTCACTTGTTCTACTGACGATGATGAGGTTCTGGTGCAGTGGTTCATCAATGGCAAACCTGTGACCCCTTCAGACAAATATCTTGTCGAGTCCAATGGCGCCAATCACACACTGACCATAAAAGATCTGAAACCAGATGATGACTGTGAGGTCACTGTTGTCATTGGTGATAATAAATCAACTGCCAAACTAAAAGTGGAAGGTTAGTTTCGAGAAAGTTCTGATTTAAGATGTTATACTTAAACACTTTAACAAGTGTTAAATATAAGCTAAAACTATTCTTCTTAACTTTCATGAACACAATTATTCTTTTATCTTAATTTTTATTTAAATGAATGTGAAAATAGATAATTGTTTCATTTTTGTGTGTTTATGTTCATATATTCTAATTGATTTAAAAATCACCTTCGAAGACCAGAAAGTTCTTCACTACCAATTTATGAAGTAAACCAAATTGAACTTTTTTTTCAAATTCTATTCTCAGAAATAGAAGCAGATTTCTTGGTGCCTCTTAAAGACCAAACAGCTAAAGAGAAATCAACAGTTGAGTTTGAATGCACCCTTACAGTCCCAGCCAGACCAGACCACATTGAGTGGTTCATTGGTGGAGAGAGAGTAGACCTGGACTCACCAAGGTTTGAGTCTCTTGTTGATGGCAACAAAGTGAAGCTTGTCATCCACACAGTTGAGACAGTGGATGCTGGGGATGTCACAGTGCACATCAAGAATAAAGAGAGCACTGCCAAGCTTAAAGTTGAAGGTTTGAATTTTTAATGATCATTGTATTTGTAGTGTTCGGATATATTGATACAAATATATTGATCATTTCATTTATCTTAAGTTTTTATATTTTATTTAAAAACTTGATCCTTATGATCTATCTAATTTTTTTTTTAAATCAAGATACAATTTTAAACAATACTTAACAATTTTAATTCATACTTTAATAATATTTGCTTGATTTGGAAATTATAATTATCAATTAAAACTTAGAATTATATTTAAAGTGAAATTTCAACTTTCACCTATAAGTAAATATATAAAATTTTGGTACAATAAATAACCACAACAAAATCTTGACTGTCTGTTTAAATAAAAATACAAACTAATCATGTGATATTTTTTTAAATAACAATATTTTGCTAACATCATCTTTTTAGAAATCGAGGCTGACTTCTTGATACCATTAAAAGACCAGACCGTGAAAGAGAAATCAACAGTTGAGTTTGAATGCACCCTTACAGTCCCAGCCAGACCAGACCACATTGAGTGGTTCATTGGTGGAGAGAGAGTAGACCTGGACTCACCAAGGTTCGATTCTCTTGTTGATGGCAACAAAGTGAGGCTTGTCATCCACACAGTTGAGACAGTGGATGCTGGGGATGTCACAGTGCACATCAAGAATAAAGAGAGCACTGCCAAGCTTAAAGTTGAAGGTCTGAATTTTTAATGATAATTGTATTTGTAGTACTCCAATATATTGATACAAATATATTGAACATTTCCTTGATCTTAAGTTTTTATATTTTATTCAAAAACTTATTTCATCCTTACAATCAATCTAATTTTTTTTTTAATCAGGATAAAATTTTAAATATTACTTTAATAATATTTGCTTGATATGGATATGATAATTATCAATTAAAACTTAGAATTACATTTAAAGTGAAATTTCAAGTTTCACCTATAAGTAAATTTTTAAAAATTTTGGTACAATAAAAAACCACAACAAAATCTTGACTGTCTTTTTAAATAAAAATACAAACTAATCATGTGATGTTTTTTTTAAATAACACAAATTGCAAACACCATCTTTTTAGAAATCGAGGCTGACTTCTTGATACCACTAAAAGACCAGACCGTGAAAGAAAAATCAACAGTTGAGTTTGAATGCACCCTTACAGTACCAGCTAGACCAGACCACATTGAGTGGTTCATTGGTGGGAAAAAAGTTGACCTGGACTCACCACGCTTTGAAACTTTTGTCGATGGCAACACGGTCAAGCTGGTCATCCACACAGTAGAGACTGTAGATGCTGGTGATGTCACAGTCAGGATCAAGGACAAGGAAAGCACTGCCAAACTTAATGTCGAAGGTGACTAAATCTAAATGTGTTGTTTAAAAATCTTATGTGTATAATATAAGAACTTAATAAAATAATGCAATAAAATATTTTTTAATGTTAAAAGTAAGTTTATTACTTTGTTAAATTAAAAGTCAAATAAATACACTATGTCAATCAACATTAATTTTTATTTAAACAGTTTTTTTGGATGCCTTAAAAAATCATATTTCCTAACACGATTTTAATTAATATATTATCTGGATTCCTAAATACAGCAGACCCTAAATTTTTAATCAACTTAAATTTTAATTCACACATTAAGAAAGTTATTTTTGTTTGAATACCAGAAATTGAAGTGGAGTTCACAATCCCACTCCAAGACCAGACTGTACCTGAACAATCCAACGTTGAGTTCACCTGTGGGCTCAACATTGACACCGATGATGTCGCCTGGTTCCTGGACGGCGACAAGCTGTCCCCATCACCCAAAGACGGCATCGACATCAAGAAACAAGGGCTCCAGCACTCCCTCAGCATCGAGGATGTCTCCCCAGAGGACTCGGGTGTGGTCAAGGTCGTGGCTAAAGGCAAGACCTCCCAGGCTAAGCTGGTTGTGGAAGAGCTGGGTCCAGATTTTGCCGTGCCACTTAATGACGTGTCTGTCATGGAGAGGGCTACAGCTGAGATGGTCTGTGAACTCACTAAGGAAGTTGATAAGGTGAGACCTTGGTTTACAGAACCTTATATGTTTATATGTGATAAGGTGAGACCTTGGTTTACAGAACCATATATCTATAATATAAGTAGGCTGGTTGTGTGTCAGTCCGTCCGTCAGTCATCGCTATATATTTTGGAACCATAAAAGTAATCACATAAAAAAGATTTACCATGGCGGAGAACGGGTATGCAGCAAGTGTTTATATGTGTGAACGTGGTGATGTGCAATGGTGTCACTCACTGATATTGGTCTATTTATAATTCTGTATGTGCTTTTGGTCATCCATGTAATACAAAATGTTCTGACTATTTTTGGTTACAGCCCCTTTTGTCCTTCATTAAGTTGTCTATTACTTTGTTTAATAAGTGCTACCAAACCATATCTATATATCTGTAACATATTACCATAACTCTTGCCCATATGTTGTACAAAACAAACCCTTAAACCATCTAGATATATACACTATGTAAACTTTTAATTTGTTTGGTAATCTTTCTTAACAAACACTTTTGCTAAATATACATTTTTAAAATTATGGGCTACTCATGTCCATGTAATTTGGTATGTCTTTGTTATTTATATTAACAATCGTTATTTCTGTAAGTAATAAATCACACTTAACAAAAAATTTCCAAATTTTATTTTGTTTTAGTCTCAAGTACAGTGGTTTGTGGATGAGATTTTACTTCCTGAAGGGGACAGAATCCAGTTTGTCAAAGATGTCAAGCAACACAAGCTTATTATTTCTGACTGTTGCATTGATGATGAAGGAGTTGTCACAGTGCAAGTTGGTGACAAAAAATCTTCTGCCTCTCTCTTTGTTCAAGGTTTGTACCCAATCATGTCAAACTAGAAATTGGAAATTCTTTTAATCTAATGCATAGTTTAAAGTTTATTAAAACACTACACAGATGTCAGTTTATTTTCATAAAAGATAATGCTTATTGTATTTAATACATTTAATTCAATTGATAGATTTTTAACTTGAAGAAAAATTAATTATGGATTTTAACAAAAGTGCGAATTTATAATTTAATTGTTTTTCTTTTTCACTGAATAGAACTAGCACCAGAGTTTATCAGCCCACTGAAAGACCAGAGCATCAAAGAAGGTGAGACTGCAACATTTGACTGTGAACTCAACATCGACGGAGCCACTGTCAAATGGTTCCACGAGGGCCGTGAGGTCAATGAAGACCAGCGCTACCAGGTCCTGGTGGTCGGGCGGGTACACAAGCTCATCATCAAGGATGCCATCATGCCTGACGCTGGAGAGATCATGGCCAAAGTTGAGAACAAGTCAACACATGCTGTTCTCTCAGTGTCAGGTATGAGATTAACCATTCCTCTAAACTAGTAAAATATAATGCTAACTCAATGGTTTTCATCGCTTGACTAGCAGTCTCTTCTTTAGACCTAATTTTAATTATATTGAAACTAGTACTTCATATTATGACATTACTTATTTTATTCACATATTTATATATTTATGTATACATGTATCTTTTTTATTTTATTAAATTAGAAGTCCCTGTCGATATCACTGCCGAACTGTCTGAAATTCACACAGAAGAACACAAAATGGCTGTATTCTGCTGTGAGGTAAACAAGGATGATGTTTCTGTAGAATGGCTTAAAGACGGTGAAACCCTGACCCCCAGCAACAAACACATCATCCAGACTGAAGGAAGGAGACACTCCCTGGTCATCAAGGATGTTGACCAGTCTGATGTTGCGGAGTACAGTGTGGTTGTTGGGGACAAGAAAAGCCTTGCCAAGCTACATTTAGATGGTGAGTTTGATGCAGCGTGGTATGAGGAGGTAGTTTTTGTTTGATTTGCTTCTAAAAATAATTAAGCTTACAGATAAAAAAACAAAACTTAATTTTAAGTTTTAAACAAATCATATTTATATTTTGTTTAAAGGCTTACTAATGTGATTATATATTAATCAGTTACTGTAAAAAATCTTTTATGAAAATTGTTATCTACTTAATAGTAGAGAAATTTTTTAAATACTGAAATATTAAATACTTAAAAATATTTGTGTATAATTTAATTTTTAATAAAACTGGCTTCTTAGGCCTAGCTAATCTTAACATACAGGGATATATTTACAGAATTTAATTGAAAAATACTTTGCTTAAACTTCCTGATACCAAAAGCTATACTATAAATATTTTTCTAATTCTTTTTTCTCATGCTTTTATTATCATCATCAGCAATTTATTTTTTAAGTTTCTTTCATCATTACTTTTTCAATCTGTTCCCTTAATCTTTCAGTGAAACTTACATATTCATATATAATACATTAACATTCCATTTGAAGTTTATGTGTGTTTATGACTAATATCCTTAATAAATGTGCACATTTTGCATTTGCTTGTAGTATGCTATGTTACGCCCATTAAACCAGTCTGTAGTCAGTAACTTTAAAAATTAATATTATTTTCCCTGCATGTAGCTAGATTTTTTTTTATTAATCTGCACAATAGGCAGCAACATTTACTTGATATATAATCAATGGATATTATTACCTTCCCAAAGTTAATGGACAATCAATATTTTTGTTATTCCAGATTTCTTAAACACACTTTGGAAAATTATTGTTTCAATTATCCTTGTGTATATCTCAATATGTGTACATAATTTAATGTAAATCTGAGAATGTTTTATTTTTAGCAGTAGCCTATATTATAGACAGTTGTTATAAAAAAAAACACTTTTTTTTTTAAATTTAAGCAAGAGAAGAAAATTAGACTAGCTAGATTTTGTTGTTTTTTTTTTTACTTTTTTTCTGTTTTCTTAATCACTGTTGAAATTTTTTTTTTATAATTCTTCACAAAAAATTTTGTCTTTGATATTTTTTGTTAGCTTTGAAAGCTTTCATTTACATTTTTGTTTGTTTTTGCACTAAGAATTTGATATTCATAATTTATCATTTCATTTGGATTAAAGTATAATTAGTAGTTAATTTTAATCTAGAAATTACTTTGTAAATAACATTTCCCCTGGAGTGCAAGTGTCCTTGTGTACCGTGTTAATATTTAATGTAAAAACAGCACTTCATGTAGATATTACATTGAATGTTTTAATTTATAACCTAACCCACACTTGTGCATGATATTAATGAACATGAAAAAATAATCAAAATCATATTGTAAAATTAGTTCTGTTTTTAAGTTGCATTTTTTGTGTATAATTTTCAATACCTCATGCAGGTCTTTTCATTGTAATATTAATTACAATTAGAAATAAGATCAAACATTTTAAAATACTCATAGCTTCATATTAAAATGAGATTGACAGAAGTTATTTTCTGATAGCAGTTACTGCCATCTTCTCAGTTTTTTTGTTCTTTTCAAATATTACTTATATTAACAAAATATGTATTCTTTATTTACTTTTATCATATATAATAAGTGATCCCTTTAAAATACGATGTACATATTTATCCCTAAGAGATTATAAAATATTTAATTTAATTAAACTATAAAATATATTATTAGTCTTCTGTAATATATATTACACAAACTTGTAATAAAGTATGAATTATAAATCAATTTAAATTTCAATATTCTCAATGAACTGAGTACTGTGTTAAATTTGTAAATCTAAACGTCCAATCAGCAATCAGATAAGTTGAGACATGTGTTCAAAAATTTTAAGTCAGCTTCAAAAAGACACATATTAGGATGTTTTCCATAGAGCTCAAATTAGGATAATTTAGGAGTTGGTGCTGTGATTAAACAAAAAAACTTATTATTTTTGCAGAAAACAAATAATAGTGGTGATAATGAAAGCTATCTCCACAAGGAAATCATCTAATTATAATGATGACTTAGAAGGGTTTGATTTCTTTAGAAGTGTACTGTATTATAGTGTCAACTATTTATATACATTCTTAGCTGTCATTTGCTAAAGAAGAAATGTGCAAAACTGTATTTTTTGCTGCATATGTCAAGTTGAAAAAAAAATCTCTGCATTTGTTAGAAGCTTGAGGATATTCAGACTAATAAATTGACGGAAGTGTGCCTTCCTCTGGCCATTTCACAGTCTGTCAATGCCCTTTATCCCATTTATTTTAGTCATTGCTAGAGTCAGTGTCTAGGCGGCTCTTGAGTCATAATTAGTCCTAAAAACTACAGTAGTTCTTGCAAAGGATAATTAACTAAAGCACTAAACATTAATGATCCTCCGTCCAGCGAATCACTGCGGATCATCTAATTTCATAATTTCCATATTCATTGAATATTGGTGCATAAATCACTCATAATCAAATTCTAAATGTTGATTTCAAATACAATGTACATACAAATAATTGGTGTTTTTAGTTCTTCTTCATCAAATTTTTTTTTCAAGCCAAGCTGTAACTAACTTGTTTTTGCCAGTTTTTTTAAATTTCATTTTTATTTCAATTACTCAGAGCTTGATTAACATAATTTATGATCAAATTATTCTAACTGCTTGTCACAATATAACAAAAGCACATTGGTCAGTGATGTTTTGTTTGCAAGTGATTAAACACTTAGTATGATAGACTGTCTGCTAGTGCTTGCTTTTCATATGGTTATGCTACTGCACTGTATTATATAAACAAATTTAATAACTCTTTATAATTTACTGTATGCACACTAAAACTTTGGAATGGTGTGTTCTCTTGTTGATTTGAGTAAAACACTGTATATTTTGTTTTTTACAGTTTTGTTTTGTTGTCTGTTGTTTTGTGTATTGCTGCCCATGAGCCATCCTTATTGTTACTTTCCCATTATCAAGCCCATAACGTTACCCAGTAATATAGGTAAAAAACTTGTCTCCATCAACCTTGTTCACAACACATTAAAACAAATAAAAAGTTTAACACTGAATATACATTAGCTGAACTGCATTACCGCATTAGAAAGTTCAAATGTAATCATTATATAATCATTTTTCACAAAATTCACAATTTTATATGCCCACAAATATCACACTTAAAAATGTGGTCATGAAAAAAAAATGAGGTAAATTTGATAGTTTTGAGCTTCTACTCTTAAGTACAACATATTGATAATGAATAGTTAACTAAGCAATCTTGAGTGCATGTGTGTTATGCTGGAGCTAACACACTTATCCCTGAAGCCTGGGAGGTTAACACAGTAGTAGGCAGGATGATGGCCCATCATTGCCTTACAGAGATCCCACTCAGGATGACCCTGACCTTGAGGAAACGCACCTCAGCCAATGAGATCAGAGCAGACTTCACCTGCATGCTGTCCAAGGTGGACCTCCTGGTCTCCTGGTTCAAAGAAGAAGAGAGAATCGTTGCCTCCCCAAAGCATGAACTTGTTGATGAAGGTCGCATGCATCAGCTGATTGTGCATGATCTGTGTGTGGATGACTATGCTGACTATCTGGTAGTCATTGGGTCCAGGCGCATGACTGGCCTTGGGCTGAAGGAAGGTTGGTTGATCTTTACAAGATACATGTGTTTTTTTTGGTTGAGAGTCGTCAGATAATTGTATGTTTTCTTGAGTTGATGCATGAGTTTGCATATGTTGAAAACCACAAGATCTAACTATTTTATTTTTGAGTTGATGCATGGGCGTGTTCTGTGCCTGTATGGCATTACTTTAACTATAAGTTATACCTTTTCTACCATTACCTAAAGTATGTGTGGATTTTATCCTCATAAAAATTAACTTCCCATAGCAAAACAAAAACATAATGTCATTTTATTAACTTCATTTCATTTTTTACTAAATCAACCTCAAAAGAAATTTTTTTAATAGGATTAATAATTATTTTTTTTTGTACATTTCAACATCAATGTTTTTAATCTACTAACTATAAAAACAGAAGCACCTCTAGAGTTCACCATCCCTCTGACTGAGCAAACGTGCAAAGAAGGGGAGACAGTCACCTTCAAGTGTGAGGTCACAGAGTCCAACCTGCCCGCCACCTGGTTCAAGGATGGACAGGCGATCACCTTGTCTGACTTGGTGGTAGCCTCAGTGGACGGCAGGACCCACACACTAACACTGAAGGATACTCCTCTGGATGCCTCTGCTGAATACACCATCAGAATCAAAGACAAGGAAAGCTCTGCCAAACTCACAGTCCAAGGTCAGTCCTTGCCCATGATTAGTTTTCATAACGTAAACGTATTGTGTACTCCTTAGAAAGTTTAAAATAATAACAAACATTTTTTTAATTAAAGCTTATTGGCAGTACATAAATTAGTAAACCCTATTATATTAATATAATAATGTATGTCTAAAATTCAGTAATTACTAGCTAACTTAATGTAATGAAGATATTATATTATGACTGTTGTTACCTTTATTGAATAAATAAATAAATTGAAAATTGATTAAGATATTGAATGAGATAAAGTGAGGAAAAACTATAGTTTTCAGTATGCTAGGTAAATTTCACTAAAATTAACTTCCTTTTTAATTTTGAAAGTTTTGTTGATTAGAAAAGTAACATTAAAATTGTTTGTTATATTTAAAATGAAAAATTTCACCTTATTAAAAATAATCTCTGTTTCCACTTTAGAAATTGAAGCAGATTTCACTGTTCAACTCGCTGACACAGCGGCCCCTGTTAATGAAACAGCTACCTTCACATGTGAAGTCACAAAAGAAGACGCAGAAGTGGAGTGGCTGGCCAACAAGGAGAAGATTGAACCCAGCGAGAAGTTTGAGATCTCCCGCGAAGGCCGCAAACATTCCCTGACTGTCCATGACCTACAGCCTGAAGACAGTGGGGAGTACACAGCGAGAGTGGGAGGCAACGACACCTCAGCCTCACTCACTATTTCAGGTGAATAATTTTATAAAAGCTGTATCAGAATAGGATTATTTAATGGAACAAATTAAATAGTGCAAAAAAATTAATTTAATAAAAGTAGTATGGAAATATAGTGGAACAAGTAAAATAGCTCAAGTAAATAATTCAATAAAAGCTCTCAAAAATGGATAATCTGGTCGAACAAATTATTAAGCTCGAGTAAATAATTCAATTAAAACCTGTCAAATAGGATAATTTAATGAAACAAATTAAACAGCTCAAGTGAATAATTTAAAGATAACAACTGATCAGAGATGGATAAATTACAAGTAAATTAGCTAAAGGTTGGGAACTGTTGGCTTAGTTCCTTGGTATCATGTAGATTGCCTTGTAATTGTGTGGTATTCTGTACTTGCATCAAACAGAAACTCCCTTGGAAATCATCAAGCCTCTTTCTGAGACTGAGGTCACTGAAGGGGAACTTGTCACTTTGACCTGTGAGGTCAACAAGCCCAATGTCAAGGCCAGATGGTTCAAGGACAATGTTGAGCTGAAGCCATCAGACATCCTTAGTCTCACAGTGGATGGTACAACCCACTCCTTGACCATACCAAAAGCTGACCTCGAGGATGAGGCTGAGTACACAATTAAGCTGGAGAACAAGAGCTCAACTGCCCTGTTGCTTGTTGAAGGTTTGTTTAGACTAGTTGATTATACTTATATCATTATTAAAAATTTTGTTGAATGCTTAATAATACCAAATCTGATAGGCCTCTGCGTTTAAGATATGTTTTAACGAGTTTAATTAATGGCTATAAAAACATAAAATGTAACCCTTATAGAGACTTCATAGTTTTTTTTATATTTGAAGCTTGATAAAATGTTTTAATTATTTTAATTAATGGTGATAAAAACGTCAAAATTTCCGTCTTGCAGAAGCTCCACTGCGCATCACCCAACCTATCTCTGACATGGAGTGTCTGGAAGGGGAAACTGTCAGCTTTGTCTGTGAGGTCAACAAGGAGAATGCCCCAGCCATGTGGCTGAAAGATGGCCTCATCATCACAGAGGAGGATGGTTACGAGTTCATCATGGATGGCAAGCGACACATCTTGAAGATCCCAGAGGCCAACTTGGACCATGATGCCGAGTTTATCGTCAAGATTAACGGATGTGAATCTAAAGCGAGGCTGCGTGTTGAAGGTGCTTTTTTTAGTATTTCTGTTTTTGTTCACAGGCCAATACAATGTAGTGTTGAGGTTTTTTTTATATTAGGGTAGGGGCTAGAGTTAGAAACAGGGCTAGAGAGAGAGCGTAAATACCCGAAAAAAATAACTTAGATAAACCTCTGTTGGTAAAGTAAGCAACATTAATTTCATAATGTATTACATGGCTTGTAAAGTTATTTCATTATCTATTTCTTTTGGTAAAAAAATTTAAATAACTTTTACTAAATTAAAATTTAGTTTTTCAGAATGTGGTATTTAAAAAAGAACTATTTAGCTAATATAGTATATATTTTTAAATTTACATTTTCATATTAAAGTAAAAAAAAAATACAATGTTATAAAAATCTTGGAAGAACTAACCTGTATTTTCTTTTTCATTTCAGAAGTTGCAGCAGACTTCACCGCCACCCTCCACGATGTTGAAGGTCAAGAAGGCCAAAATGTGGAGCTGGAGTGTATTCTAAGCAAACCTGGGGTCAAGGTACGCTGGTTGAAGAACCGCAAGCCTTTAACACCAAGTGACCGCATTAAGATTGTTTGTGACCGCTATCGTCACATCCTGAGGATAATGGACACCATCCCAGAGGACGAGGGCGAATACACAGCTGTCTTGCCCAATGATAAAGAATCCTCCGCTATGCTCAAGATCTATGGTATGTATTATTACTGTTTATTGTTCTTTAGCTTTAATCTAGAAAACTAACTAAGTCAATTATTTTAAAACAATACGCTTTATTTCCACAATGAATTTACTTTTCAACTTCTCTATCACAAAATATTAGAGGTTTATCTATCTTGCCTTTGTGTCTTAATTAATAATACTTATTTTCCAGATTTCCATTATTAAGTTTCAGAACATTGATGAAAATTTGACTTTCTAATACTTCTTAAATTTTGATTGGTCATTTTGAAAATTTCAGAGATTCCACCAATCTTTACCCTGCCACTCAACAACCAAGAGCTGCCAGAGAAAGAGATGGCCATCTTTGAGTGCCAGGTGTCCAAGAAAGACAGGCCAGTCAAGTGGCTTAAAGATGGGAAGGAGATAACTCTAGATGACAGAATACAAGTAATTTATTAACCAATCAAAATGTTTTATAGATTTTAGATAAGTTAAAATAAATTTCTTCCAAAAAAAAGTATGTTATGAATAAATAATGAAATAAACACTGCATCCCCATTGAACATGATAAACATAAAATGTCCACCAGGAAAAAAGCAAATAAATTTATTTATAATGAATGAATGCTATTGTTCATATAGGCAATCACTGATGGCTATGTCCAGCAACTGGTCATTGAAGATGCCAGGTTGGAAGATGCTGGAAAATACACGTGTGTCATGGGAGAGGAATCCACCACTGGGGAGCTCACAGTGGAAGGTATGTTTCCAGCCAAATAATGGCTGTGTTGCCATGGTTACATACAGTTGTTTACATGTGTTGGCCTATAATGTGAGGAAAACACCTAGTTTAATTATTTTACACTTATGACTAAAGTAGCAGCTTTGGAGGTCACATCACATTTGAGATAATTGTGATCATACAGATAAGGAAATGATTTTAGCACTCGTAACTTATCTTTAACTTAACCCCACTACAGTATGTTTTTAGCACTCATAGCTTTTCTTTAACTTATCCTCACTACAGTATTAGTTTTAAACTGAAGATAAGAATAATTGTTAAGTCTCCTTGATATTGCATGCTATGATACAGCTTAGCAAACGATTACATAGTTTTCTATGTAAACACTATCAAATTAACGCTTAAAAAAATTTGCTATATAAAAGCGACATGAAATATTTGCCTCCCCATCATCTGTAAAGTAGATAAACACTAACCTCTAATGAAAATGTTTGTCTTAGAACTACCAGTCGAGATCCTCAAACCACTACGAAACACCACAGTCACCGAGGGAGAGAAACTGGTCTTGGAAGTTGAGCTGTCCAAGCCTAATTATCCAGTCACATGGAAGAAGGATGGCGTCACTTTTGTACCACGTGAGAACTCACGTCTCATCGTAGATGGCTGCATTCATCGCCTGGAGATTGATGCTGCTGATGTGGATGATGAGGCCAACTACTCCTTCCATGTGGCAGATAAGAGCTGCAAGGCACTCGTACTTGTTGAGGGTATGTACTCTGGATTGATTGGTTTGGCTAAGTGTATCCATAGTACACTACTACATATGTAAACATACAATATTACATATATATGGTACCATACCAGTGTACTATAGTACTTGTTACAATATTTTTCGTGTATCCCCATAAATAATCTGCCAGACATAATGCTTTAACCAAGGGGTTTTGGTTAAATCTAATTTTTAGTTTTACATTGAGGATACATAAATTATTATGGTGATACTCAAAATTCAAGAATTGAGACATGACTAAAGGGAAATAACTATTATATATTTATTGTATTTTTAATATTTTATTATTTTATGATTAATATATTTTTTATACATTAAATGTTGATAGGGCTGTAAGTACTTATTGTTTAACAAAACAAAAAATCAATTTTTTCTTAATTAGACTCTTTGTTTTCTTGTATATATTGAAAAATGTCTGAGATATACAAAACTTGTGAATTTATTTCTCAGAATCCGCCATTGAGATAATCAAACACCTGCAAGACCAAAACATCAAAGAAAAGGAACCATTCACCTTCACCTGTGAGCTTTCCAAACCTGGGGTCAAGGTGAGCTGGCTGAAAGATGGATTCAAAGTCTCACCTGAGGATGGCTTCAAGGTAGAGGTCAACGGAAACATCCACACACTGAAGAAAGATTCTGCCAAACTAGAGGATGCTGGGAAATACATGCTGGTCTTTGAGGACAAGAAATCTACTGCAAGTCTTGGAGTAGAAGGTAGGAGACGCTACTGTTTGAGACCCACCCCCCCCCCAACTTAAGTTTAATCAGGAACAACAATGTTTTCAATATAAATAAATAGCATTAATAATTTGAATAACAAAGCAAAAGTTTAGGCCAAAGGTTAAAGCATTTTTCTTGTTTAATTCTTTTTGCAGACTTGCAATAATTTATGAACAATTAGTCAATAAAGTCAGTCATAGCTTTTAAAAATAACAATTTTATTTGGTAATATAAAAAAAAAACTAGAATTCAAAACATTAAAATACAGGGTCCAGGATTAGTTGCAATTGTGATAATTTACTTGAAAATCATAATTAAAATCTGGGCAGACTGGCCAGCAAACAATTTCATCGATTATATTTAGCGTCATCATTTTTTGCCATAATATTGCTTTGTTTCTGTTTTAAGTAAAAAAAAAATACAATTATTTCTGTTTTGCTTTACTAAGTATCCTCTCCCTCTATCCTAGCCCTACCAACAAGCATTGTGCGCCCGCTAGCTGACATAACTGTGATAGAGCACCAAAGTCTTGTACTAGAGTGTGAGGTCAGCCACCCTGACAAAGCAGCGCGCTGGTTCAGGGATGGGGAGGAGGTGTTTGCCTCGGCCCACATCAGGCTGACCTCTGAGGGCAAGGTACATCGTCTGAGTGTTGAGTCTGTTGACCTGGATGATGAGGGCAAGTACAAAGTCGACGTCGATGGCGCTGTCAGTGAGGCCTCTGTCTTTGTGGAAGGTGAGTTCAGAAGTCTAACCCTTACTAGTACTTGGTGCAAACATTTTTATAATAGCATGTTTTTTTTTTAATTACCTTTGTTGCAACATTCAAGTAAGATTATATTTTAATTTATGCACTTCTGCTTTCAATTTTGTTAACACAATTTTAAGTTTTATATATTTTTTGAAGTATAGTTCAGTTTATAATTAATATAATTAATAATCTAAATATCTAATCATTATTATTTTTTATGATACACTCATCAAGTTTTTAAATGCATCTCCTTAATTTTACTTACTTTTTGTATGGTAGATGAAAAAGTGTAACAAAGTTATAATTAATATTTATTATTTAAACTAATAAATTTTATTTCTACTGATCTATTTTTCTACAATTAAATATTTTACTTTTTGAAATTTTATTTTCGTAACAGCATGTTTATTTTATTATGTTGAACCTATTACATTGAAACAGATGAACCTCTTGAAATTATTAAAGAGCTTCACAACATTGAAACCATTGAAGGGGAAACAGCTAATTTTGTGTGTGAAGTTTCTAAGCTGGATGCTGTTGCCACATGGGCTTACAATGGCAAAACTATCACAGTTAAAGGGGGTTATGATATCAAAGTAGACGGAAGAGTCCACATTTTGAATTTAGAAGGGGTGGAAGTAGAGGATGCAGGAAAATATGTGGTGAAATTTGATGATAAAATGAGCTCAGCTGAACTAAAAGTCAGAGGTAAACTTGAGAAGACAGAAACAAGTTTTATTTTTCTGTTTCTAGAATGTTTGATTTAAGCTGATGTTACCCCCTATTATTTTACTTGGTTTGGGGGATCATTAACTTGCTGGGTGGGTTTTTTTTTATAGTTTTATTGAATAGTTCCTGGATCATTGAAACATTAAAATTTTGTGCTTATCTTTGTCCCCTAAGACATTTAAACCTTAAATCATATAAATCCCTGTAACTACTTAAGGTGAAGTTGTATTTGTTTCTTATAGTCACCCTCAGTTCCCTGCCTTTCAAAGGGTCATAACAATTTTACTAAGTAAAATAAAAAGGGGTATAGCTTGCTTTAATAAAAAATTTCTTTGTCTTTTTTTAAAAAACTAAATTATTGCATGCACTATTTATTATTTTACAAAATAACAACTAAATATAACATAAATCAGCATTATTAAATTATTATTAAATTTTCAATTTTGAAATCAATCTACTTAAAAATTACATTCTTAATCTCTGAAAATGTCATTTTTAATAGCCCTAATCAATATTTTGCAATCACGTTTCTAACAAGTAAAATATTTGTATAAATAAACTTTTAAGCATTTAAAAAAAGACACTAACTTTACATTGACTCATTGTTTCCGTCTGCTAGAGCTGCCTATTGAGTTCACCAAACCCCTCAAGGACCTGGAGATCATGGAGAACCAGCCACTGACTCTCACCTGTCAGGTAAACAAACCAGACCTGGTTGCCACCTGGCAGAAGGACGGCAAGAACATTGACGCCTCGGACCGCGTCCAGATTGTGAGGAATGGCGTAACACACACTCTGAAGATTGAGAGGGCAGCGCTGGAGGACGACTCTGTGTACAAGTGTACCATCAAAGACAGGAAGACATCAGCTAGAGTCACTGTCAAAGGTGAATAAAGGATTCATTAAAATAATTTAAAATTGACTTCAGTTAGAGTCACTGTCAAAGGTGAATAAAGGATTCATTAAAATAATTTAATATTGAGCTCAGCTAGAGTCACTGTCAAAGGTGAATAAAGGATTCATTAAAATAATTTAAAATTGACTTCAGCTAGAGTCACTGTCAAAGGTGAATAAAGGATTCATTAAAATAATTTAATATTGACCTCAGCTAGAGTCACTGTCAAAGGTGAATAAAGGATTCATTAAAATAATTTAATATTGACTTTAGCTAGAGTCACTGTCAAAGGTGAATAAAGGATTCATTAAAATAATTTAATATTGACTTCAGCTAGAGTCACTGTCAAAGGTGAATAAAGGATTCATTAAAATAATTTAATATTGACCTCAGCTAGAGTCACTGTCAAAGGTGAATAAAGGATTCATTAAAATAATTCAGTATTGACCTCAGCTAGAGTCACTGTCAAAGGTGAATAAAGGATTCATTAAAATAATTTAATATTGACTTCAAGTAGAGTCACTGTCAAAGGTGAGTAAAGGATTCATTAAAATAATTTAATATTGACCTCAGCTAGAGTCACTGTCAAAGGTGAATAAAGGATTCATTAAAATAATTTAATATTGACTTCAAGTAGAGTCACTGTCAAAGGTGAATAAAGGATTCATTAAAATAATTTAATATTGACCTCAGCTAGAGTCACTGTAAAAGGTGAATAAAGGATTCATTAAAATAATTTAATATTGAGCTCAGCTAGAGTCACTGTCAAAGGTGAATAAAGGATTCATTAAAATAATTTAATATTGACCTCAGCTAGAGTCACTGTCAAAGGTGAATAAAGGATTCATTAAAATAATTTAGTATTGACCTCAGCTAGAGTCACTGTCAAAGGTGAATAAAGGATTCATTAAAATAATTTAATATTGAGGCATTGTATGGAATATTTATTTTTAAAAAGTGTAAAAGCACACACAAGTCTTATCAAAACTGTGTTCATGCTAGTAAAAGCAGCCAAATCTAGTTAAACACTAATCTTGACCCTACCCTGACCCTTACAACAACACAGAGTAAAAATCTCAGTATGATACTATATTGTACAACTTGTTTTATGAATATCATATTGTTAAATATTGTTAAATCTATTTTACAAGTAGCTCCTCATTGTTTTGATGAGCTTAAACTGGTCTTTATTATTTTAAAAATTTGACTGCTGTCTGTCTTAGAAAAAAGTATCAATTAAGTTTATTAAGATATTTTGTTTCTTTTAATTAAATTACTAATTTTATTTCACAAAATGTAGAAGAGCCACTAGAAATTACCAAACCCCTGGCCAGCATTGAAGTCACAGAGGGACAGAGCATTGTACTGGAGTGCACCGTGTCTAAGCCAGACCGCACCGCTAACTGGTACAAGAACGGTGTGAAGCTTTCAGCCTCAGAGCTAGTGACCCTTACATCAGTGAAAGACAAACACACACTGACCATTGAAAGAGCCACCTTGTCTGACCAAGCTGAGTACTCCATTAAGGTGGACGGCAAGTCTTCTAAAGCTGATGTCAAAGTCATTGGTGAGTTCTTTGTTTTATTTGCTGATTTCATTAGCTCAGTTTGGTAGTCAGTTTTATAGATTTCATCCTTCTATTCATTCTATTTCTTTGTGATTACCATTGTAAAACTGGATGAGATGAGTTGTTGATTCTTTCACATTATATACAACTAGATATATTAATTTTTTATTTTGATTAATAATAATGTCTTTTACAACTCATATCCTTATCATTTAGATTATTCAACAATTTTAGTAGTTATGATTAAATTATTAATAATTTAAAATTATTTTCCATTAATAATGAATTAAGTTATACTTTTCACCACTAAAAAATCTTTATTATTTAAAATATTGAAAAATTATACTAATAATACTTGAATTATTATTAATTAATTAAAATAATTTTCTGTTGTAGAAACTGACCTGGAGTTTATCCGCCCACTGGAGGATGTGACCATCACTGAAATCCCCAAGACCTTAACATTTGAGTGTGAGGTCTCAAAGGTCAACGTCCCAGCCAAGTGGTACCACAATGGTCAGCTTATCGTCCCCAGCGATAAGCACGAGTTCTTCGGCAAAGGTGTCATTCACAGACTGACCATCAATGATGCTGATGGCAGGGATGAAGGCCAGTACAAGATAGAGGTCAAGGACAAAAAGTCTGAAGCTAAGCTTGCTGTTGAAGGTAAAAGAAAAAAACATTACACTTTTTTATGTATTTTACTGAAAATAATTTTTACAACCTTTACTATACAACATTAATATAAAATATGTCATCTCAGAAAATTCCGTTGTCAGTAATTTGATTCTTGTAAAACTACAAAAATAGTAATTGACACTTACATTATTTCTTAAATTAGTGATGTAGTTTTCTATAAAAAGACCAGATACTAACTACTATATTATTATTGTATCACAACTTGCACTAGCTGTGTAAAGCAATAACATTAATCATCTCTATGTCTATCAAAAAGATTGTTTAGTACATTCATGACATGAATGTTGTGTTTACATTTCAGTCCCACCAAAGGTGTTTGTAGACAAGAAATACCAGGAAACAGTGGTTCTCAATGCTGGTCAGTCGACCGCGTTCGAGATCCCATTCTCTGGCAACCCTCAGCCCAAAGTCACCTGGACGTTCAACGATGGTGCGCTACCTGACGCCAAGCGTATGGAGGCTGAGACCATCTACAACATGACCACGGTCAGGCTGGGTCATGTGATCAGGGGCGACAGTGGAAACTACACGGTCACGCTTGAGAACACCAACGGTGTGGCTGATATCACAATTAAACTTCTTGTACTCGGTAGGTCCCTGTTACACCAAGGGTTGCTTCAAAAACTTGTTTACCTCTTTAAAGAATTTAAATCAGTGCTAGGTATCGTAGGTGTAGACTAGTAAAACAAGACATTGAGCTTAGAAGTTAAAGTTAAGTGGAAGGTCTTGCATTGCATATTTTATTTTTCAAGGCATCAACAAAACTAAACAAGAGTGTGAGATTGAGAAGTAATAGATATTTTCTATTACAATTGTTGTGGGAAATGAAATAAGTAAACAAAAAGAATGCAGTAAACTTACTTGAATATTTTCTTTTGCTCAACCCTTCCTTTTTTGTTTCCAGTAAATAACTACATTTACTACATATAGCATAGCTTGGTAAATGATTTTTAAAAATTAACATCTATTTGTAAGTGAAGAAAGAGAACAAATAAACATGTATTTGTATGTTATCACCACCAGACAAGCCCTCAGTGCCCAGAGACGTGACAGTGACAAACATAACTGCTGAGACTGCTACACTAACATGGCAGACGCCAGAAGATGACGGAGGAAAGCCTGTCACCTCGTACATTCTGGAAAAACGTGAGGCCAGCCGTCAGACCTGGAATGCTGTGGCAGAGGTTAATGACACAACCCCGTATGACACTAAAGGTCTTATTGAAGGCAAGCAATACGTGTTCAGGGTTGCTGCTAAAAATGCTGTAGGCACTGGCAAATTTGCTGAGTCAGAAACTTTCACAGCCAAGAATCCATTTGGTAAGCCTTTACAGTTAACAAGTTTGTAAACTTATAAAATTCTTCATTAAATAAATTTTCATAGGCTTGTTAATTAATGTTTCATTAAAACTTTTTAGTAAGGTTATTAAATTTTTATTAAACCCTTTTTGCCAAGATAAGTTTTCTGAATATAAACTTTAAAATTTTGGTACAGTTATACTTTTTTCGTTCAACCAATAAATTGACAAACTCAACATTGGATAATTGTTTTCTGAATATTAATTCGGCTCCTGTGAATTACTAAACAATTCAGTTTTAATATTTTATAGACTGTACATTTGTATTGCTAGAAGTTTAAAAGACTGCACATGTTTTAAGTTTACCATGCTTAAGTGTCTGATTATGTTTCAGATGTGCCTGATGCGCCAGAATCACCAGCTGTCAAAGAAGTGTTCAAGGACAACGCCCTGGTCACATGGCAACCCCCAGCCAATGACGGTGGCTCCCCAGTCACTGGCTACACTGTAGAGAAGCAGTCCACGTTCTCACCTCGATGGGTCGTGGTCAACAAATCCCCAGTGGAGGCCACGGAGCTCAGAGTGGCTGATTTGGTGGAGGACAACTCTTACATGTTTAGAGTTATTGCCCATAACAAAGCTGGCCCTAGCAAGCCCAGTGAGGCCTCACCCACAGTCAAAGCCAAGGACCCATGGAGTGAGTAGTGTTTTGTTATTTTAATAGCTGCAACCTAACAGCTAAAGTACTATTAATATGCCTTTGATCTGTAAACAAGATGAATTAGAGTAGATCTATTTCCATTGCCACATCATAAGCTTAAAGTCCATGGTCAGTGCAATGCCCAACCACCATTAATTTTCATGAGCTACATTAAGACTTAAAAGCTTAGGGAACTTAAAAAACATTTCGATATTGAACTGATCATGAATTTAAACTGATCATGAATTTAAATTTATCATGAATTTAAACTTATCATGAATTTAAACTTATCATGAATTTAAACTGATCAATCATGAATTTAAACTGATCATGAATTTAAACTTGCAACCATACATCCCTATATACTTACTTGTATCAATAGCAAGTAAATTCCTACTATAAAAATCTGATTAACTTAAAAAAAAATTATTTAAAAAAAAATCTCAATAAGAAAAACATTGTTAAAAATATGGTTGTTAAAAAAAAATGTGGAAATGAGATAATTTTTTTTTTTTTTGCGTTGACTATTTTAAAAAATCTGCCCTGTTTTCTTTATCAGCTGTACCAGGCCGTCCTGGCATACCAGAAGTTACCGGCACAGACAAGAGCTCAGTTGCCCTCAAGTGGACAGCCCCAGAATCAGACGGAGGCTCTCCCATCTTCAACTATGTGGTGGAGCACAGGCCTGCTGGCACCTCCCAGTGGATCCGCTCCAACGAGACCCTCACGGTCCCAGACACCACCTTCAGCGTCACTGGTCTCAAGGAGAACAAGGAATATGAGTTCCGTGTCAGCGCTGAGAACAAAGCTGGTGTTGGAGAGGCTTCCAAGTCAACACCCCCAGTCAAAGTTGTCAAGCCTATTGGTATGTCATTTCATTAGTTTACATTTGGATAATATTTATTGGATATTAGCTTTCTATAACATTTAATGTACATAATTAGCTTTTTAAATAATATCTAAATTACAATTTTTAAAAAATTAAATTACAATTCTTTCAAACTTGCCTTTACTTCATGGTAATTGTATTATCCCTATTGTAAGTAAATAATTTTAGATCATCAGCACTAAAACTGTTTACTGGGGTGTTGGCCTACTTGTCCTCTAATGTTATACAGAGAATTCCTAACTTTTTGTTCTTACAAAATACATTAAAAAATATAGAAATCAAAACTAAACAAAATAAATTCTAGACCACAATTCATGCTGTAGTGTAATTAAATGCTGTATATAAGAAGTATTAAGTATTTTTATCAATTGATGTACAATGTTTTGTTACAGTGGGCGTGTCCCCAATATTGCTGGAGCCTTTGCAAGACATCGCTGTTGTAGCACCCAATGATGCAATCCTTGAGTGTGACATTGATGTTGGTGAACCTGAGGCTGAAATAAAATGGTAAATGGACTACTAAAATTGTTTAATCTTAATGTGTTTAAAACAATTTTAGTTGTGTAGTGCCATAAGTAATTGTGTCTACTGTAACTTATATTTAGCTTCAATAAATTATTGGAATTAAAAACATATGGTTCTTGTAAACAGTTTCAATAACTGTTAAGTTCTGTTTGATTAAACAATATTCTGCAAATAATTTATAGGAACAAATAATTTACTTTTGACTATTTGATTAAAATTTTAATAAAAAAAAGACTCCAAAAAAATATTTCCACCACTAATGTCAATGATTTAAGTTTTAAATATAACTATATTTTTAAAAAATTTCAACTTCATTTCAGTTGAAACATGATTTCTTAAAGATATTTTAAAGAAGTTTAGTCAAGAAATGTTATGACACTTGTCATTTTGCAGGTACCGTGGCAAGAAAGAGGTGAAGAAGAGTGCCAAGTACGAGATGAGCTACGAAGACGAAGTGGCTTCACTGGTCATCCACAAAACAGAGCCACAGGATGCTGACGTCTACAGATGTGAGGCCTCAAATCCTCTCGGCAAAGTGCAAACAGAAGGCACATTGTCTATTCACAGTAAGTGACTTAATGCACATTTATAAGTGCAGACAGAAGGCACATTGTCTATTCACAGTAAGTGACTTAATGCACATTTATAAGTGCAGACAGAAGGCACATTATCTATTCACAGTAAGTGGCTTAATGCACATTTATTAGTGCAGACAGAAGGCACATTGTCTATTCACAGTAAGTGACTTAATGCACATTTATAAGTGCAGACAGAAGGCACATTATCTATTCACAGTAAGTGACTTAATGCACATGTATAAGTGCAGACAGAAGGCACATTGTCTATTCACAGTAAGTGACTAAATGCACATTTATAAGTGCAGACAGAAGGCACATTGTCTATTAACAGTAAGTGGCTTAATGCACATTTATAAGTGCAGACAGAAGGCACATTATCTATTCACAGTAAGAAACAAAAAAAAAAATGAGATTTTGACCCTATTAATATTGCTGTTGTCATCTAGTAGACTGTCCATTCTTTAGCTGAAAAAGTGAATTTCGTTTGATTTGATGTTATTAATTCTTTAAAATCATAATATTTTTATAAACAGATTTGCTTGTTGTAATGTAAAGAAAATACAATATTGTTGATTCTAAGAAAACTATTAAAGGGAGTCAAGCTGCTTACTATGAGAAAAATGTCTAAATACATCTTTTTAGAAATGAAAAAAAAAACCATCTGCACCATTATCCAATCATAATCACATAATTTTATGAAAAATAAAGTGTATTATAATCTATGAAAACTGTAATATTTAAGTATTGCGAATACTTAAAAAAACAATTGATTTCACAGCTATGCCAACCCTGGAGTATGACAACCGTCTGAAGAGTGCTCAGACAGCCAAAGCAGGAGCCACAATTGTCCTCAAGGTCAACGTGAGTGGCATCCCATCTCCTTCCATTTCCTGGCGACTTGATGGCGAGGCTCTAGAGAAATCTGACCGCATCTCCCTGGAGACCAACCAGGAGTACAGCACGCTGACCATCAAGAATGCTGCCATTGAGGACACTGGCGTCTACACTATCGTAGCTGAGAATGTTGTCGGAAAAGCTGTTGCTGATTTTGAAGTCAATATCAAAGGTCAGTTTTTTTCTATAAAATTAATAGCTAAGGCGTTGCTAGATTTGACGGGGTGGTAATAATTTAAATAAATTAAATAATTAAAGATCAGATTTTGCTCTAAAATTTTAGCATGAGTGTCGCTAGATCAGAGTGAAGGGAATGGTATTTGTTTTTATGTTTTTTAATAATTAGTGGGGATAAGCACCAAAAATTGCAATTTCATATTTCTAATTCGTCTTATTATTCAAGAAGATTAAAACATAATAATACTAAAAAAGTTATTAATTTTGCTTCTGAGTTCTTGTTTTAAATGTAAGGAATAATTCTGTTTAGAATTTATAGTCTATGTATATAGTAATTAATTGTGAATTTTTGTTTTTTGTAGCGAGTAAAATTATGTTTTTGAAATTTGAATTGTTGTAGACAAACCAGGCAAGCCAGAAAACCTGCATGTGCTGGAGATATTGAAAGACAGCATAGCCATAGCCTGGGAGCCACCAGCCAACCTGGGAGGGTGTATTCTCAAAGGCTACGTCATAGAGAAACGTGAGGCTAACAGAAACACCTGGGCAGCCGTAAGTAGAGCTAACCTATCTCACCTGCGCGTTTCCTGTGTTTGACCTGAGATTAATTTCACCATGTCAGGCCCACATAAAATGTCTGGTTTTGTCGGCTATAGGTCCAGAATGTGGACGTCAGCACTAAGACTCTGTCTGTACAAAAGCTTCTGGAAGGCAAGGAGTATTACTTCCGTGTTGCTGCAGAGAATGAGCTAGGTGTGGGCGAGGCTGCTGAACTGATAGATGGTATTGTTGCCAAGAGTCCTTTTGGTAAGGGCAGCAATTGGTTTTTGTCTGGCTTATGCCCCTTTTAATTATAACAAGTTTTAAGACTATTGTTAGTTAAAAATTAATTCACTAACTTAATTTACATGCTTAAAAATATTTTCTTGAGATTTATTTTAAATAATATAAAAAAAAAATAAAACTGTATAAACTAAAGTGTATAGAATATATATTATATGAATGTTTTTTTATTACTAGATGCCCCAGATGCACCAAAGAAACTGACAGCCACAGAGATCACTCGTTCCCACATGACCTTGACCTGGGAGCCACCAGAGAGCGATGGTGGAGCTGCAATCACTGGCTATGCCCTGGAGCGCAAGTCCCCGTCCACATCACGCTGGGTGCGTGTGAACAAGAGCCCCATCCGCGACACAGTGTACACAGTCAATGACGTGGTGGAGGGCGGAGAGTACGAGTTCAGAGTCCTGGCTGAGAACCCAGCTGGCTTCAGTAAACCCTCTGCTTCCACTGGTGTTCTGACTGCCAAGGATCCTTTCAGTGAGTGGGATTCAGTTTTAAATCTACATCACCTAAAACAAGTTTGCTGTTTATAATATTAGGATGGTCTAAGGAAAGTGTTGACAACTTCAGGATGTATAAATCTCTTTTTAAAGCACTCACAATGTCCTCCTTAATATTTGATAACAGAAAAATTATTTTTAAAATGTTTTTTTTTCTCAAAACTGTTGACCTAACCATAACCTATAGTATCTAACTTAACTATATTTCATATACATAATAGTAACTTGAAAATTGAGAGTGAGAACAATGAGCCTTATTATATATTTGTACTAAAACAAATGTATAGTTAAAATTCAGTTTCTATATCCCCAATTAATTGTAACATCATTTTCTCTACATGGATGAAGTTGATTGATAGTTTTATGATTGCTAGCAGTTGATTCTTACTCATATTTCTAGATGAAACCCGTAACTTATTTGACTTCAGTTCAAACCCTAATACAAATACATGCTGATTTGCTTTTAATTAAGTAAACAGCAGACATCTGTAACATAACTTCCAAGCTTTAATGGATTGTTCCATCTCATTTCTTTAGACAAACCTGAGGCTCCCAAACAACCAGAGGCAGTGGACACCACCCGCTCCTCCGTCACCCTCAAATGGCTGCCACCTGCCAAAGATGGCGGCAGCCCCATCTTCAACTACAACATAGAGTACCGGTCCCTGGGCTCCTCCAAGTGGCTGCTGGCCAACGCCAACATTAAGGTCCCAGAAACCAGCTTTGTCGTGAAGGACCTGGTCCAGGGAACCGAGTATGAGTTCCGTGTGGCCGCAGAGAACAAGGCGGGGGTCGGGCCAATGTCACCCCCCTCTGTGCCCATAACTGCCAGGGAACCTGTGGGTGAGTACATGATCACACGCTAGCTCACATGTTGGTCTGGGTTTAACTAGGTCAACATGACATACTTACTCTAGCTGATCTGTTGGTCTTGTTTTAACTAGGTCAACGGGACCTACTTACAGTAGCTCATCTGTCTGTTGTTTAACTAGGTCAACATGACCTACTTGCACTAGCTGACCGGTTGGTCTTGTTTTAGACTGGTCAAAATGGCCTACTTACACTACCTGACCTGTCCGTCTTGTTTTAATTATGTCACTGTGACCTGTTTACGCCCTAGCTCACCTGCTATAACTGTTTTAACCAACTGTCTTAAAATCTTGTCTTTATTAGGTCGCTGCAACATATTTACACTCTTGTCTTGATTGTCTCTGTGATCTATTTACACACTAGCTCACCTGTTATTTTACAATCTGGTTTAAACTAGGTCTCCATGACATGTTTACACATCTGTCAGTTTACAATATTGTTTAAACTAGGTCGCCATGACATGTTACACACCTGTTAGTTATGTTGTTTAAACTAGGTCGCCATGACATGTTTACACATCTGTTAGTTTTGACTAGCTCAGAGTTTTAACTTGTGTTTGTATTCCCATGATTAGTTGGTGAAGCCCCTACAGTTCTTGAAGGCCTACCAGACTTAGCTGTGACTGAAGGAGATACGGCTATGTTGGGCTGCAAGATCAGTGGTCAGCCTGTCCCAACCATTAAATGGTTAGTCAGACATGACCTGTTGTCATGTACTTTAAAACTGCTATATTTTAACAAATTTAATTTATCAGAATGGTGTGGTTGAGGGGTAGCTCTATTTTTGGGGTCCAGCACATCCATAAGTTTGTTTTGTTCTCGTGAGTACTTAAGCCTGAGAAAACAAATGCAGCCTGGCTTGGTAGTGGAACACAGCTCTTTCTTATATTTGGGGGGGGGGGGGGGGGGAGCAATTTAGGGTTATCTACTGTTATATAATTGAAATTAGAAACTGCTATTTTTCTTATTAAAGTTGAATTGTTCAAATGATTTTAAAATTTAAGTTTGTAAAATACAAACATACCTTACAGATTGTTAGTTTTGCTACTTAAATGTAATAACATTTTCAGGCTGAAGGACCAAAGGGAAGTAATAGCAGACAAACGCCATGAGATGGTGTATGAGGACTTTGTTGCCTCCCTTGTCGTGAAAGACGTCCAGGAGAAAGATGCTGGCAGCTACACTTGTGAGGCTAGCAACGACCTGGGCACTGTCAACACCTCAGGGATGCTTGAAATACAGGGTAAACAATTGTTATGGCTTTATGCATTTGTATTTAACTTCTTGATCATGTATTAGCAAGTCTGTAAACTAAATGGTGATTGGGGTTAATCTTACGAGAGGTAAATATTGAAAAAATGTAACTACCAATTTGGTATTACACTTTTTCATTTGTATTAAAACTTCTCAAATAATAAAATTTTGTATAGGAAATATAATTCCAAAACAAGTGTTTTAAAATTAGTAATTAGTCATCATGGTTTGAACAGAGAATAATTAAATAATTAGATGTTTACTTCACAGCTGCACCAACTCTGGACTTTGACAACAAGTTCAGGGATCTCATCAGCCTACATGTGGGGTCCAGCCTGAAGATCCCTGTACGGGTGGGAGGAATCCCCTACCCACATGTCAAATGGCTAAAAGAGAATAAAACCCTCAAGACTGGGGGGAAGGTAACTCTAGACTTCCAAGAGGAGAGCACAACTTTGACTGTCAAGAAAATCAGCAAGGAGGATGATGGTCTGTACACACTTAGTGCAGAAAACGAGGTGGGAGAAGCCACAGCCAAGTTTGATGTTGAAGTCCTAGGTAAAACATGCTTCTTATTTTATATAGTATAATATACACACCTTTACACGCTCAAGCTTGCATGTTAATTATTTTAAAAAAAATTCATTATTATTCAGAGAGTGGGTATTGTATAAAGGGTGAACTCTTCTTCATCTATTTACAAAGAGAGTGTGTTTACCACCATTCCGTGCAATAACAGCATAGGAATTCTAACCATTATCTTGTTTATGTGTAGTGACCATTTCATGGAATAGTTCTTTATGATATTTAATCATCCTATAGTTCCGTTAAAAAAAATTATGAATGACTCTGTATTTGTTAATGAGGTATAAAAGCATCAATGTATGGTACCACAGATAAACCTGGAGCTCCTGAAGGTCCTATTGTAGTGTCAGACCTGACCAAGGACAGCGCAGTGTTAACATGGAAGCCACCCAAAGATGATGGTGGCTGTGACATCACTGCGTACATAGTTGAAAGACGGGATGCCAAGAGAGCCGTCTGGACAAAACTGACCACCCTGGATGGGGTCACTCTTGACTACCAGGCCACCAACCTGGTGGAGGGAAACGGCTACCACTTCAGGGTGATTGCGGAGAATGAAGTCGGCCAGTCTGAACCATTGGAGACCAGCACGCCAGTTGTTCCAAAGAGTCAGTTTGGTAGGTGGTGTGATTTTTATCTGGCATGACTCACGTTGCCAGCTTGAAAAGACTACATAAAAACTATAGCTGAAATTTTCTAAAAAGTTTGACCTAAAATGTGATGTGGTACCTGGCATTAGGAGAGTTGCCAGTTGGCAATGGCTTGATATATAAAAAAAAATTAATTCAAGGACTGAAAGTACTTACAGCATGCTGTAGTTACAAGAAATGTGTAAAGATTTTACACTGTTCATTAAGCAGGAACTAATTTTGTAGTTTACTAGTTCAGTTGACTAATACATGTGTTTTGCATGTAAATCTTACTGATGGATTTGCCTGACTTAGTCAGTTACCTAATTAATGCTTTTGTCTTTTTTTTTTTAAATTACCACCCGAAATTTCTAATTATAGAAAAAAGTTGAACTATTTCTAGTTTTAAAAAGAGGTAAAATTTATTACCCAATGCTAGTAAATGGCTTATGATGTACTGAAGCTCATTGCTTCTTAAGCAATTAGAACTTTTATAATTCAGACAAGTCCCATTAGCTCATAATCATCTCCAAATATTTGTGATAAACTTTTTTTTAATACATTTTTATTTTAAATATACCTCATACTGTAGTATTCAGTTAATTCATTTGGTGCTGAAGATATATAATTCATATCCAAGAAAGGGTACTTTATCTTAGTTGATAATGTATTATTTATGGGTAATATTTATTCTGTATATAGGTAAAGTGTTTTGTTAACCTGTCAGTCATGTATTGTATTATATTAAATTGTTTACTTTTATTGTTGAATTTCTTATGGAGTAAGTTCTGTTTGCTGCACTTACAAAAAATGTATCCAAAAGATAGAAATATTGAAACAAAAATCAAATATTTGTATTATTAAATACAAGAAATATTGCAACACATTCACACACCCACATTGTTTTATTAAATGATAGATTGGTGTAGTACAATAGAACTAGCAATTTAGACTTAGACAATCAACTCCTGTGAAAATTATGTACTAATCAGGCAACTTTTCCAATGAGTGTACCAGATTTTCACAAATTGTACATACAAATATTTAATGTGTTATATCCAATACAATTATTTATTAAATAAATAAAGATTTTAAAAGTCAAAGCATTATATACTTGAATCTTAATGACTCATCGCTGATAATTAAAATATGTCTTTTGTTTAGTCCTATATGTCAGTTTACTAAGGTTCTCCAAAGTCTGAATAGGTTTGAACTAAATATCTTTATTCCTTGTCTGTAATGCATGAGATTTTTAAAAACATGAAATGGCTGTCCTACTCCTGAGGCATGATTTGCATGGCCTTTTTAGGACAAAACAAAATTTTTGCTCAAAGCTCATGTGGTATGTAACATTTTTAAAGCTTCTTTATTAACAAAAAGTAATTAAAGTTTTGAATTATAATGAATATTAATTATTTTTTATAAATGTAATGAATATTAATTTTTAAATTTTATTTTATAAATTACAATTTTAAAGATTGTAGTATTGTTTCTTAAAAGTGTGTTGAACACATGCTTCATGTTTTTAAAATTTCCCTTGCCAGGTAAACCGTCATCCCCACAAGGACCAATAGAATTTTCAGATATTAAAGCAGACAGTGCAGCACTGTCTTGGAGACCACCAGCCTCAGACGGCGGATCCCCCATCAAGAGCTACATCATTGAGAGGAGGGATGCCAAGAAAACCACCTGGACCAAAATAGCAACGGTCGACTCAAAGACCTTGACTTGCACTGCCCAAAAACTCCTGGAGGACACACCTTACATCTTCCGAGTGAGCGCTGTCAATGAGGAAGGGCAGAGTGAGCCACTGGAAGCTGATAAGGAGATTGTTCCTAAAACACCAGCAGGTACACTTTCAATTGGACCCCTTTTTTTGCAGCAGTTACTAGCATTAGATATAACAGAATGGTTGAGTGTTTAAGTGTTCACCTAATAACAAGAAAGCCTTACGTTTGGTTCCCAGGCTTGAAAAAAATACATTAATCCACCCAGATAGATAACTAGCTTGAGTCCAAGAAAGTAAAATTGGCTTTAGATATTATTGATCACACAATTCCCTCAACTACCATGGTTACAGAAAAACACATGAACTCTACTTCATCTGCCTTATTTACCTTTCAGGTTTTAAAGTGTAATAATAAAATTAGTTAGGTGTTTGATGATTATATCTGAAATATTCTACCCTCAGCTGTCCCAGGCAAGCCAGTTGGACCGGTCAAGTTCTCCCAAATTTTGGCGGACTCTGTCACCCTGTCCTGGTCCCCACCAAAGAAAGATGGCGGCTCCAAGATCACCGGCTACGCTGTGGAGCTCTCCTCAGATGGAGGCAAAACCTGGTCTGCTGTGGACACAGTGGATGCCAAGACCACCAGCCTGGTAGCTAAAAACTTGAAAGAAGGCCAGAAGTACTTGTTCAGGGTGGCTGCTGTCAACAGTGTAGGCAAGGGAGATTACTTGGAGTCTGATGCAGTTACCCCTCAGAGACAAATCAGTAAGTTTTATTTTACCTTGATAAAATTTTACAAGCTTATAGTTAGCATTCCTAGGTTTTACATTAAAACAGTAACATTAATTTAACCGTTACAAAAATTAAATTTATAGAGAAAATGCTTTATTTATATATATATTTACTTTAAAAAACTACCAAATATGTAAATCAGAGTCTCTTGAAATCAAGTAATATTTTGCTAACCTAGATTCTATAGATTTCCTTCAGCTGTAACATATTTGAAATGTGATATATGTGGAGTGTATCAATGACTAACAAATGTACACAACTCTTCTTACAGCCAAACCTTCCAAGCCTACCGGACCTTTAGAAATCTCCAATGTCCAGAAAACTTCAGCCACCCTCTCATGGAAGCCACCAAGTGATGACGGTGGATCACCCATCACTGGCTATGTCATCATGAAGAGGGACTCCAAACGCTCAAACTGGGCACCCGCTGGTAAAGTGGGCGGGTCCACCACTGAGTTCAATGTGCTGGATTTGTTGGAGGGCACTGAGTACTTTTTCAAGGTCATGGCAGAGAATAAAGCGGGTCAAGGTGAAGGACTGGAGACTGAGAAACCAGTGACAGCAAAGAGTCCCTTTGGTAAGTCTTTAATTTAAATGTTTGGGATGGTGTAGACAGGTGGTGGAAGCTGCCTGTGCTGTGATAAAAATCTGGTCAGTCCACAGACAGGAAGTAAATTCACAATAGTAACTTCTGCATATAGAGGTCAAAGAAACGGTTGAACTTTATTTCATCCACTGCTATGGAACTTAAAATCCAAGACTTGTGCTTTAATTACTCTTTTTTAAACAGGAACATTTTGCTGTAATTAGTGAGAAATCAACCATGTATTTGCAAACCTAAATGTTATTTGATTCCAGTTCTCTTCAATTTTTAACACTTTTAAAGATAAATGAATTTTTTTAAAAATTTTTAATGAAAAAAATAATGCTTTCCCCAGACAAACCATCACCCCCAGTAGGTCCCCTTGAGGTGTCCAATGTGACAGAAACAACAGCAGACTTGACCTGGAAGCCACCACAAAGTGACGGAGGGTCACCCTTGACCTCTTACATCATAGAGTCAAGGCCAACAACTCGCTCTACCTGGATACAGGCTGGCAAGGTGAAAGGGGACGTCACCACCTTCACAGTGCCAGACCTGCGCTTGGATACAGAGTACTTGTTCCGTGTCATAGCTGTCAATGCTGAAGGTCAGAGTTCACCTCTGGAAGGCAAGGAATCCGCCAAGCCAACCAAGAAAATATGTAAGTTTTGAGCAGGTTTTTCTAAATTAAAAACACTTAATGCCATCGGAAATGTTAACTATAGTAATAATTAGTCTGTGTAACGGATATCAAAAGTGCTAGCATTTTAAAATTGTCAAAATTCTTTTATTAATTAGTTATAATGAAAAGTTTATTCAACAAACTTTGACATAAAAGGCTAATTTGAAATTAAAACAGTTTTATGACAATGCAGGCTAATTTCCCTCTGTTGTTATAAATTTCTCACTTTGATTTTAAAAATATTCAAAATGTCGACAGTTAATACTACAGAAACATTATGTATATGCAAATATTTTGCTTTGTTTACCCATGACAGCACCCCCCGGCCCACCACAAAATGTGCGTGCAGCCAGAGTTGGCATCGACTACGTCACACTCGAATGGAAACCCCCAGCCACTGATGGAGGGTCAAAGGTCAATGGCTACCGCATTGAAAAAGCAGAAGAGATTTCTGGTGACTGGGTCAAGGTCGCTGACATCAAGGCGGTGGACACAACCTACAAGGTTGAGCACCTGAAAGAAAACGTTGGCTACTACTTTGCTGTGTCGGCCAAAAATGAAGCAGGTCTTGGTGAGCCCTGCGAGACTGATGCACTGATTAAACCCAAGAAGCCAGAAGGTAAGGATTATGAAGAACATTAAATAAACCTTGGTTTTAAATAAACACAATTTTTTAAATTGTTTTAAAGATACTGAGTTATCAAATAGCATTGTAAACTTAACTTTTTTTATTACAAATCTATTATGAGACACAATAATGTTAGTGTGAAGAGAGCAGTATCTTTAAGATAACTGGTCAGAGTGATAAAAAATAACTGTTGAGGTTTTATGAAATAGGGGATTTGTGCCATTGTTGAATTGTGGCTTTAAGTTAGAGCTAACAGCTATACATTTCTGTTTTCATTAGGGTGTTTAAATAATATTGTATGTTTACAATGCTGTTTAAGTGACATTGCCAGTTAATATATTTTTCTGAAATTTTCTTAACAATTTATAGTTCTTTATAGATTTTTTGTGTACCGAACAATAAGTTAAATAATTTATTTCAATGTATCCAATTTTTATCCAGGCCCACCAGGACCTCCAGTTGGCCCCATTGCATACTCTGACCTTGACAAGACCACTGTGACCCTCACCTGGAAACCGCCCACCTCAGATGGAGGCTCTGACCTCACAGGTTACGTCATAGAGCGTCGTGAGGCTGCCCGCACCCAGTGGACAAAGCTGGACTCGTGTCCACCCTCGGATACCTCAGTGACCACAAGAAACCTGATTGAGGGCAATGAGTACTACTTCAGGGTGTGTGCAGAGAATAAGCACGGCCGCAGTGATTGGCTGGAGACTGATAGCCCAATCAAGATGAGAAGTCCCTATGGTAAGTTTATTATTAATTTTTTTTTCATCAAACTAAAACATTTTTCATAGTTTCTTAATATTTAAAAATGAAGTCTGGTGCACTAGTTAAGTATTTATATTTTTCCTAGATTTCTTTTACTGTAATTCAATTTCGCTTATATAAATTTATAATTTGTCTAACTCAAACCCTCAGAAAAACCAACCAGACCCATTGGACCTTTAGATCTCAGTGACCTGACCGCCAAGTCAGTGACCTTAACATGGAAACCACCAGAAAGTGATGGTGGCACCCCACTGACCGCTTACATCATTGAGTCCCGCCCCTCAGCCATTTCTTCATGGTCCCCGTTGGGCAAAGTTAAAGGTGATGTTCTGACATACACAGCTGAAGACCTAAGGGAGGGCACTGAGTATCATTTCCGTGTTAGTGCTGTCAATCTGGAAGGTCAAGGTCCTGCCCTAGAAGCTAAAGACACAGTCAAGCCAACTAAAAAGATTGGTATGTACTATATTTTAGAGTTTGGTTAAAATAATTTCCACACCATATGTGGTACTTGATATTTTATTTTTAAATTTATACAAATGTTAATCACTCTAAGTTTCATACATAATTTCCACACCATATACGGTACTTGATATTTTATATTCTATTATCTTTGCAACTGTTAATGGCTCTAAGTTTCATACATCATTAGTAACAATTGAAAATAAAAATTCTGGGGGAAAATAATTGAAGTTTTAAATTTTGATTTTCCTTAGCACTAAAAAAAATGGCACTTGGGATGCCTGATAAGTGTTGTGATCACAATATTTTAAATTGTAGACATGGTGTCAGTATACCTTGTTTAGTAACTAGAAATTACATGCTCTAAAAGGTTTGTAAATTACACCAATTGTCATGCTTTTTATCTTAATTAAATCTATATTCAAGTGCAAAAAAAAAAAAAAATACATCATTAGTAAACAAAATGATATCAAAATGTGGCACTATTTTTAGTAAAAACTATGGGAATATCTTGAAAACTAAGGCTTTATTATGTTATCTTGTGATTTTTAAAAATAAACTAACAAAACCTTCATTCATTGTGTAAAGTTATGCTAATTCAAACCTGTCTACAACACTAAAATTGACCATCCAACAACAGTGACATAGTCCTTTCTCCAAATATACACTTAGTGCAATTATGCACCTTCTACAAAATGAACATGGAACTCTCTACAACATAGATCTTCCTAAATATCAATACTTTTGTTTTCCTACAGAATTACCTGGCCCACCAGCCAGTATAAAAATCTCAAAGGTCGGACCTGACTTCGTAAACCTGGAATGGAAGGCACCAACTAATGACGGAGGGTCAAAGGTCACTGGGTACAAGGTGGAGAAATGTGAAGAGGATGGTGATAAGTGGGTCAAGGTTGCAGAGGTCATGAGCTATGACACAACCTACAAAGTGACTGGCCTGAAGGATGACACCTCCTACCTGTTTGCTGTCTCGGCCAAGAATGAAGTGGGCTATGGTGAACCACTGGAAACTGACAAAGGTGTCAAGCCAAAGAGACCAGAGGGTAAGATATCTTTTATTTCATTTATTTCTATTTATATGTCGTAATTAATATACTTCCATAATTATTAAGTTGACGGAATTAAAAAAAAACTTAAAAATTTCTTTGCTTAATTGATGAGAGATCTTGGAGTTATAATTGTATGGGAATTGATATAAAGCTAATTTTAACAAAAATTAAAAGTAAATTGTTTTTAATTTTTTGTGAAAACTAAATGGAATTTTTGTGGTTGCAGAATGTAATTATTTTTATAATTAATATGAGGCTATAGGAAAACTTATCTGTGATATTTCAAAGATTGAATTAATAGCACTACTGCGTTATCAATGATAGAAAGCAAAAATAATAATTTCTACTTTACTTAATGTTGAATTAAAGGGATATAAATCAATAGCACTACTGCGCTATCAATGATAGAGAACATGAATAAAAATTCCTCCTTTACTTAATGTTCCAGGTAAACCAAGCCCACCTGTTGGACCATTAAAGGTCAAGGACATTGAGAAAACATCAGTAACTCTAGCCTGGCAGCCCCCAACTGATGATGGAGGGTCACCCCTGACCGGCTATGTGGTTGAGAAGAAGGAGGCTACTAGACCCACTTGGACAAAGGTCGAGCGTGTCAGCCCAGACAAGACCAGTCTGTCCGTGACCAATCTTCTAGAAGGTTCTGACTACAACTTCAGAGTCTTGGCTGAGAACAAGCACGGGCCCAGTGAACCCATAGCAACTGATACCTCCATTAAACCCAAAAGCAAATTTGGTAAGTTTCCTCACTAAACTGAAACCTTGTTTGTTTTACAAAAATCAATAAAAAAAATATTTGTTTTGGTAAAAACAAATAAGGCAGTAAATTGTGTTTAGTGAAACAAAATATAATACAATTCATTTCAGCATTCCGCAATCTTACTTTTCAAAGTCTCTTAATTATACTGGTTGTGTCAGTTAAAAACCCATCTAGTAGAAATATGAAATGCTACTAAACTCTGAAATATATCAGCATTATTTATGTTTAAGAATAATTTGCTTTCAATAGCCTGATTATTTTATTGTAAATTACAAACGAAAATATTTTTTAGATGTGCCAAGTAAGCCGCTAGGCCCAGTAGATTTCTCTGGCTTAGATGACAGCTCTGTGACTCTCACCTGGAAACCTCCCAGCAGTGATGGTGGCCAACCTCTCAAAAACTACAACATTGAGTACCGCGATGTGCGCAGGTCCACGTGGTCCAAGGCCGGCTCTGTGCCCGCGGACGTCACCACCTTCAAGATGGAGAAGCTCATGGAAGGCACTGAGTACATGTTTAGAATCACGGCTGTCAACGAAGAGGGAGAAAGCCAGCCTTTGGAATCTCTGGACACAGTCAAGCCACAGAAACCTGCAGGTTAATAAGAACAGCAGATAAATTAATTTAATTATACAAATAATTGATTTAAGTTTGTTTTTCAAGAAAAATATTTCTTTTTCTTCTCCAGAATAAAATAGTAGTAACAAAAATTTGGGATTTAGAAATGAAATTTTAAACTAATATTTGAATTTTTTTTAAATTTTTTTTTCAGCAACTCCTGGTGCACCTACAAACTTGAAAGTCAAAGACGTTGGTAAAGACTTCGTCAAGGTGGAGTGGAGTCCCCCCAAGTCTGACGGTGGGTCCAAGATTACAGGGTACAGCCTGCTTGTACGTGAGGATGGGTCCGATGAGGCCAGGGAAGTTGGCAAAGTTGGAAGCCTCGAGACGTCCTTCACCTTCAAGAATCTGAGTGACAAGAAGAAGTACATCTTTGCAGTGGTGGCAGAAAATAAACTGGGTCAAGGCGACCAGCTGGAAACAGACAGTCCTGTCAGGCCAAAGAAACCTGCTGGTAAAGTTTGGCTTTATTTTCATGCTGAGACTTGAGTTTTACTTGTCTATCTTTCTGTGAATGTAAACATAGATGAGACAAATGTGAAAGGCATTTCAATAGCAATTCAAATTTGACAAAAAAATTACATATTTATTCCTACAATTCAATCTTTAAAAATAATTTATTTTTTATTTTTTAAAGTGTCAAATTGCCACTTTTTTACCTACATAACAATGCTATCTATAACTTAAAAGCCTCCTAAATTTAAAACTTAATTGAAAATTTTCTCTAATGATAAATACATTTTTCTTTCAGCCAAGCCGTCCCGTCCAGTTGGACCAATCAAATTTACAGAAATCACCCGCTCCACTGTAACCTTTACCTGGCGACCCTCTGAAGATGATGGCGGGGCAGAAATCACTGGCTATGCCCTTGAGTACCGTGAAAGCTGGAAGACGACATGGACACCTGTGACTGTTGTGGCACCAGACATCACCAGCTACTGTGTCCAGAACTTGAAGGAGGGACAGGAGTATTTGTTCAGGGTCATGGCAGAGAACCCCGTGGGTAGATCTGATGCTCTAGAGTCAGACAAGGTCACACCCAAACATCCATTTGGTAAGTTTTTTTTATAAATACTTATTTCATTAGTTTTGCAATAAATATGACTCAGTAAAATTCAGCTGGGGTTTAATTTAAATTTTTTTAATGTTTTGTAAAATGGTAGTGCATGCAATGCTTAACCTCAGTCTTGCCAGCACTCAGGCACTACCCTAAGTCATTATCATTATCACCTGACTTGACAAAAACAAAGTCATTATTATTATCACCTGACTTGACAATAACAAACAGTTATCTCATACAATGCTTAAATTAAACACAAAATCCACTCAGGTTGCCTATATCAGGTATTAAAGAGCAGTTAATTTTTAAATTTAAGTATTTAGACCAGCATTGTAAAAAACAGGTTATAACATATTCATCAATTAATATATACCAGATGTAGGTCTGTTGTAATAAATGGGAATAAACAATAGCAGAGACAGTGGGCAGGGAATAACTTAAGAAGGATTCTAGCTTAAGTTGATTTGCCTAATACATGAATTATTGTTTGCTCAGACAAACCAAGCAAGCCTGAAGGTCCAATCAGCTTCTCTAACCTTGAGGAAAGCTCAGTGACCTTGACCTGGAAGCCACCCAGCAGTGATGGAGGCAAGCCCATCCAGAGCTACATCATTGAGTACAGGGACCTGCGTCGTACTGCTTGGATCAAGGCTGGCTCTGTGCCTGCTGATGTCACAGCCTACAAGGTGGACAAGTTGAATGAAGGCAACGACTACAAGTTCAGGGTCATTGCTGTCAATGATGAAGGGGAGAGTCAGCCATTGGAATCTCCTGAAACCATCAAGCCCATTAAACCAGCTGGTATGTTGATAAGATTTTTAACAAATTGGTTTATAAGTCTTTCATTTAAAAAAAAAACCATGTCATCTTGAATATATAAACAGATATTTGAATGTAAAAATGTATTTTGTATGGAAAAAATGTAATTGGCGTTCATTTTTTGTATGTTTTTTCTTCAGGAAAACCAAGCTCTCCAAACAACCTGAAGGTCAAGGACATTGGCAAAGACTTTGTGTCAGTGGAATGGAGCCCGCCCAACTCAGACGGTGGCTCAAAACTCACCGGCTACCACCTGCTCGTCTGTGAGGACGGCTCATCAGACTGGAAGAAAGTGGGCCAGGTGGGCAACCTCGAGTCCACCTACACCTTCAAAAACCTGAGCGACAAGAAGAAATACATCTTCGCCGTGGCCGCTGAGAACAAGCTGGGTCTCAGTGAGAAGCTGGAGACTGACAGGCCAGTGAAGCCAAAGAAACCTGCAAGTAAGGCATCACAAATGGCTGCTTCACTTCCTGCTGTCTTACATATTTTAACATCTACGTCATTGCCTCTACACTTACTGGTGTATTTAGTAATTAAACATTCTATTTGATTTTAATTGTATCCACTTTAAATCCTTTTTTTGGTGTACTTTATACTTAAACATTTGGTTCAATCTTCCATGTATGCAACTCAGAGAAAATATTTTATTATTAACTAGTAAAAAAAATTTTGATCTATTTAAAATTGAAAACTTTTTATATTGAAAAATTGTTCTGAAAATGATTTTAAATGTAATTTTTTATTTGTCTTTATTCAAATAATTTGACAAGTTTGTTATTATATTATTTAATTTTTTATCAAACAGCCAAACCGTCCCGTCCAGTTGGACCAATCAAATTTACAGAAATCACCCGCTCCACCGTAACATTTACCTGGCGACCCTCTGAAGATGATGGAGGGGCAGAAATCACTGGCTATGCCCTTGAGTACCGTGAAAGCTGGAAGACAACATGGACACCTGTGACTGTTGTGGCACCAGACATCACCAGCTACTGTGTCCAGAACTTGAAGGAGGGACAGGAGTATTTGTTCAGGGTCATGGCAGAGAACCCAGTGGGTAGATCTGATGCTCTAGAGTCAGACAAGGTCACTCCCAAACATCCATTTGGTAAGATTTCTAAGTTTTATTCTTTTTAATTTAAATTATTTTAGTTTTAAATACTATTTTAAAAGCTACAAATGCTAAAGATAAGAAATTTATCTTTTAAGATATAAAATAAAACCAAAAATAAATACAACCCTTGTGGCACATTGTGGTTGTGTGGTTAAAGTGAACCATACTAACCCAAAAGCCTTATTTGGTTTATGTATTTAGGTTTGTACAGCATTCCTAAACCCACCCAGTTCTGTTGAGTACCTGACTTTAGATAAGCAAAGTAAAGGGCTCAGTGCTGACCACACTATCCATTCATATCAAATAAAGATTAACTTTACTTAGTCTGCCCCATTGACCACCAAGCACTTACTTAACTTTGTTTGCATCACTGAACAAAACTATTAAAATTCTAATCATTGACCTTTCATTCACATTACAATTCACTATCTCATTCATTGTGCTCAGACAAACCAAGCAAGCCTGAAGGTCCAATCAGCTTCTCTAACCTTGAGGAAAGCTCAGTGACCTTGACCTGGAAGCCACCCAGCAGTGATGGAGGCAAGCCCATCCAGAGCTACATCATTGAGTACAGGGACCTGCGTCGTACTGCCTGGATCAAGGCTGACTCTGTGCCTGCTGATGTCACGGCCTACAAGGTGGACAAGTTGAATGAAGGCAATGACTACAAGTTCAGGGTCATTGCTGTCAATGATGAAGGGGAGAGTCAGCCATTGGAATCTGCTGAAACCATCAAGCCCATCAAACCAGCAGGTATGTTGAAAAAAAAAATGTATCCCTTACCTATTTTGCTTAAAAAATAACTTCTTGATCTCTAGTTAATCTAACCCTTGTTACAATTTGTGGAACACTGCTGTTTGGATCTAGAGTAAAAAAATTTTTTTATTGTATTTAATTGTTGTACTTTTGCAAACCAACCTTTTCTTTTGTTTGACTAGGAAATCCTTCAGCACCAACTAACCTGAAAGTGAAAGAAATCGGCAAAGACTTTGTCAGTGTTGAGTGGAGTCCACCAAAGTCGGATGGTGGATCCAAACTGATTGGATACCGCCTGCTGATCCGTGAAGATGGATCGGATGAGTGGAAGGAAGTGGGAAAAGTTGGTGGGTTTGACTCGTCTTACACCTTCAAGAACTTGAGTGACAAAAAGAAATATTTCTTTGCTGTTGTGGCTGAGAACAAGTTAGGCCAGAGTGGTCGTCTTGAGACAGAGAACTCTGTGAAACCCAAGAGACCCTCATGTAAGTAGAGTTACATCAGTGCTTTATGCAGTTATAAAAACCAGTGATGTCAACTTTTAAGAATGTAAAGAAAATCCCTTGATAGTTCATTAAGCTGGTGGAATAGAGCTTGTTTCTTTTGACAAATTCGTATGAAAGGATTGTGGTCAGTTAACTACCAAGGGATTAAACTCTATTATTTAGTGTCTGCCATTGTTAGCTCTATAACTCAACCATGCCATCCCATCAAAATACTTACTAATAGCAAATATGAATTATCAAAAATGTTGTTTACTTAGTACTAATGGCAAAGTATTAACAGAAGCCATTGAAATAAATAAATATTTAAAGGAAAAACAAAATATTTTTTTTTTAGCTAAACCATCTGCTCCTGTTGGACCAATCAAATTCACTGAGATCACCAGAAACTCCGTGACCTTCACCTGGAAACCTTCTGAAGATGATGGTGGTGACTTCATCAACGGCTACGCCATAGAGTACCGCGAATCCTGGAAATCATCCTGGGTACCAGCAACAGTCGTGGCGCCAGACATCACCAGCTACTGTGTCCAGAACTTGAAGGAGGGACAGGAGTATTTGTTCAGGGTCATGGCCCAGAACACAGTTGGAAGGTCACAGCCACTCGACTCTGATTCAGTCATCCCCAAACATCCATTCAGTAAGCAACATTTACATCATAGTTTATTAGTCCTATTATTATTTGTCTTTAAAAATTAGTACACATTATATATATATATTTTTTCTTCTTCTGTTTAAATATAATTTAATTTCCCAATTAAAACAATTACCTATCAGAACATTAAATTTTGTTACTCCTTTTTTTGTTTCAAAACTTTTTGTATCTTTTTAATTCACTCAGGTAAAAATAGTATTTTGCTTTATTTTTACCAATTTTAACTTAAAATATTAAATTATAAACAAATTGTTTTGTTTCAAAACTTTTTAATCCACTCTGGTACCCTAGTTTAATTGTCTCAATATAACACTACCTGCCCTCAGGTCCACCAAGTGCCCCTCAAGGTCCACTAGAGACGTCAGACATGACAGAAACCACTGTCACTCTCACCTGGAAGCCCCCCAAGTCAGATGGTGGTCAGCCAATCACGGCCTACATCATCGAGCGCCGTGACCTCAAGCGCACCACCTGGACACCTGTGGAGAAAATCAAGCCTGAGATAACATCATACACTGTCCAGAACTTGACCACAGGTGTAGACTACCACTTCCGGGTCATGGCTGAAAACTCTGAAGGTGTCAGCCCCCCACTTGAGACGTCTGCTACCATTAAACTCACAAGACCTCTTGGTAAATCTAAAAATAATTTTGTTAATTCATAATGAATTTGATGTTAATTTAAAAGGTACTTTTAATTATTTTTAGTGAACTTTAAAGAAATTGATAGTTAAAGAATACAGATAAATGCAACTGTTTTAATTTTTTTTCAAATACCCTTTACGGTTTAATGATTTTTATATTTTAAAGTTTGGATTAGCTTTAGTAATTTTAAAGCAGTTTGAATTACATTTACTCAGCCAAATCTGTTTAAACAGCATATAAAGTTTATTTTTGAACAATTACAAAAGTTTAGTTTTATTTATTTTTATTTATAATTCATTTATTTTAATTTTAAAACCAGGTGAGCCTGGAGCTCCTAAAGGACCAATCAGATTGTCAGATTTCACTAGCACAACACTGACCATCAACTGGCTGCCCCCAGATGATGATGGTGGGTCCGAGGTCACAAAATATGTCCTTGAAATCCGCATTGCAGCCAAGGAATGGACACAGCTGTCCAAAGTGGAAAGTTTCACCACCAAGTTCAAGGCCACTGACCTGAAGGAGAAGACAGAGTACACTTTCCGTGTCGCTGCTGTCAATAAGATGGGCCAGAGCAAATGGTTGGAGTCTGATAAGGTTGTTCTGGAGAAGCCACCAGGTATGATAGTTTTAAATATTTTTTAAGCTGATTCTGTGTTGTGGAAATAAAGAATTTCTTTATAAAAATGTATTATGGGGTAATAATAATTAGTTCATCTGAAGTATCTATATTAAATTTTAGTTTTTTAAATTTAAATCTGCCTAAAATAAGTACAGAAGATTAGTCTAAAAATCTTTTTCCATTGCTATTTAGTTTTGGTGTCAACTGATTTACTGCAGATTGATTTTTAAATAATTTTTTGAGCATATTGTGATACAGTTTGAATGATCTGTTATAAAAAAATTATTTTAAAATCAAACTTTTAGAAAAACCTGGCCAGCCAGAACCACCTCTAACAATGACAGACTTCAGCAAGACCAGCATCACCCTCACATGGGGCCCCAGCCAATCAGATGGCGGCTCCCCCATCCAGCACTACGTCCTTGAGAAGCGTGAGAGCTGGAAGACAACCTGGCAACATGTCTCCAAGGTCAAGCCAGAGGCACCTGGCCAGAAGCTGACCCACTGTGTCCAAGGTCTTAAAGAAGACCAAGACTACATGTTTAGAGTGTTTGCTGAAAATTCTGTTGGGGCATCCAAGTCTATTGAAACAACTACACCTTACAAACCAAGAAGCCCATTCAGTAAGTTTAATCTGATAACATATTGCAAAAACTTTTCATAACACATTTTTGACGTTCTTCACTGCATTTAACATACAGATTTATTTTTTAAATGAAGTATTTTATTTCAAAAATTTATTTTTGCACAGAAATGTAAAAAACAAATCACAATATTATTTTTTCAATGTTAAATGTCAATTAACCCCTAACCCTAACCAACAGCTGTACCAGAAGCGCCCCAAGGGCCAATTATAGTTGACAATGTAGGCGTCACTGATATCACAATTAAGTGGAAACCCCCTGTTAACACCGGGGGCTTAGATCTGGTCAGCTACTACATAGAGAGGAGAGACACCAAGTACACGGCCTGGATTAAAGTGGACACTGTCAAACCAAATATAAACACCTACTGCATCCAGAATCTTCTAGAAGGAAACGAATATGTTTTCCGAGTTTTTGCGGAAAACGCTGAAGGAAGGAGTGAACCTCTAGAAACTAAAGAAGCCATAACTCCTGGGAGACCACCAGGTTTACATCCCATAATTTCAAGCCTTGTAGTATTTGAAGAAAAAAAAATACAACCCTTGTTTGAATCCCATCTTTCTCCTTATTGTAGAGATGATAGGTTTTTTCCTTCATAAAGAAATGCAGCCATATCTTTTTGAACCATGTTACCTATTTATGTAGCCATGGATAACTCCACAGCATTTAATGATTGATAGCTTGAAACCAGACCTCAACAACCTAGTAAAGAAAAAAAAATGTTTTGCTATATTCCTATCTACGTAGATTTTTCTATATTCCTATCTATGTAGAAATGCCTTTTCTTTCATTGATTGATACATAGAGTAGATTCCCTAAGCTGTTTGATGCCACATTTGTCAAAACAAACAACTAAATATAACAAAATGTACAATTAAATAACAAAACAAGCAACTAAAAATAACGAAACAAACAACTAATTATAAAAAAACAACTAAAAATAACAAAACAAACAACTAATTATAAAAAAACAACTAAAAGTAACAAAACAAACAACTAAATATAACAAAACAATCATAGCTTAAAGTATGATTGTATGTAGACCATTGCTTAATGATTCCATAGTTTAGCTACTCCATTGCTTCTGTATGTCATGTAAGATTAATTAAAAAAAAAAAAAAAAACGTCACACCACAATGTTGGTTTTACATTTGATGAAAACATTGACAAGCATACACTATTTCAGCACCAGATTCTTCCTTTTTCATCTCCTAGCATGCTATCTAGGGTATCCATTATCTTATTCCTTGTTGCGTAATCCTATCTGTTAGGGGCATGTTATTATAGAAATCTGTGTTTAGTTAAATTTTTAATGCATGAATAATTTTTTTTAAATAAAAAAAAACAACTGTATATTCTTATTAAAATTTTTTTTTTGTTTTGTTTTTTTATTCTTGTTTAAATAACTCATAACCTAGTATTTTAATGTAATAAATGTAAAGCTGTATTTTTTTTTTAAATATGGTTCATTTCTTTTATTTTTTATTTTCTAAATAATAAATATATTTATTTTTCAAATAAGTTTTTAAATATAATTTTTGTTTGAGCAACAGTGAAACAGGTTAACATTGGCATGGAGTTTGTTATTAATTTAAAATAACATTAAGACGTTCATATGTTAATAATGTTTTCTGAAAAATTTCAGTGGCACCTTCTATCCCCACTGGACCAATCAGATTTGAGGATCTCACAGAAACCTCAGTCACCTTGGACTGGCTTCTGCCAAAAGAAGATGGCGGAACACCAATCACAGGCCACACAGTCAGGATGTCTGTTAATGGCGAGGAGTTCAAGGACATTGGCAGAACTGAAGGCAAAAGCACCAAGTTGAAGGTCAAGGACCTGAAGACAGGCTCCAAGCATGTCTTCCAGGTGTTTGCTGAAAACAAAGTTGGAAAGAGCAAACCTTTGGAGTCTGAAACTTTGGTGCCACAGAAAAAAGCCTGTAAGTTTGATCTGTCTTATGCTTTATAAGTATATGTAAAAGTAAAAATAGTGTCTGTTAACATTAATAGTATCAGAGAAGTAACTATACAATTTAAAAAAAAAAAATTAAATGTAAATTTCCTGCTTATCTTTATAGCCCAGCCTTTTAAGAAAAAAAAAATTTAAATGTACATTTTCTGCTTATCTTTATAGCCAAGCCTTCTAAGCCAGTGGGGCCACTGCTTGTTCAGGATGTGTCAAAGACCTCAGCCACCCTCCACTGGAAGCCACCAACGGATGACGGTGGAGCACCCCTCAAGAACTACCTGATAGAGAAGAGAGATGCCACCCGCACCAGCTGGAGCCGCGTGGACAAAGTCTCCCCAGACATCACCAGCTACTGTGTCCAGAACTTGATTGACGGCTCTGAGCTGTACTTCCGTGTGTTTGCTGAAAACAAAGTTGGCATGAGTGAACCTTTGGAGATGGACAAGCCGGTGAAGATCAAGAGTCCATTTGGTGAGTTGTTTAAAAATTTGTTTAAAGTAAAGTCTTAAATATGAGTGTTAGATTTATATAACTAGAAAATTTGCAGTAATTAATAGTTGCATTTAACATTAATACTGAATATGAAAGCAAAAACATTGCAAAAACATAAAGATTGCTAATAATATTTTATAATAATAAGTTGTTTAATTAAACTTTTGAAGTTTATTATATAAATATCAAATTAAAATACAATGATGTCATAAATTTAAGATAACATTTTACTATTGTTCAGATGTAGATTTAAGTTTGTGTTTTATCCAGATGTACCGTCCTCACCTGTTGGCCCAGTCAAAGTCACTGACGTCACTGACAAGACCGCTGTCATCACATGGAATGCTCCAGACTCAGATGGTGGCACACCTGTGACAGGATACCTGGTGCAGCTCAGGGAAGCCAGGAGGTCAGCCTGGACCAACTTCAAGGAACTGAGAGCTGATGAAACAACGATCACCTTGACCGGACTTGTGCCAGATAACGAGTATGTTGCTCAGGTCATTGCTGTCAACAAGGAAGGTCAAAGTCAAGGTCTCATCAGTGAACTAATCAGGCCTCAGAAAATTTTGTGTAAGTTAATCTTCTTTTTGTAAAGTTTACATAATCTGTTTTAATTCTAGTTCTATTTAGACATTAACTCACACTGGTAATACTTCACATTTTCTTACTTTTGTTAATATTGAAATACATTTTTACAGCTTGCCCAAGTGCACCACAGTCACTGTATGTTAGAAACATTGGCAAAGACAATTTGACTTTAGAGTGGTCTGCTCCTGAAAATGATGGTGGATCTAAAATTAAGAAGTTTATCATTGAAAAATCCAAGAAGGGCACAGATAAATGGGAGAAGGTAACTTTTATTGATAAATCCTAGGTTACATTTAACAGTGCATTATTTATATCATTTCTAGAGTGATTGCAATGTTAGCTGTTAGAGTACAGAAATTTTGTCCGAAGAATAATTTCTTGCCGATATATTTTTAATGAATTTCAGATTTAAAGTAACCTTTTTAAGGATCAAGTAGTATTATTACTATATCTTAAGTTATAATTAATATTTCAGGATTAGAGGCTTATATTAAATTAATTTAGCAATATCTCATATATACTTTATTGTTAAAATATCGTAGGTTGTGTCTGTGGATGGCTACAAAAACTACCTGCAAGTCTCAGACCTAGAGCTGGAGACTGAGTGGCTTTTTGCTGTCTCTGCTGAAAATGATGTGGGAGTGGGCGACAAAGCTGTCACATCTAAGGCCATCAAGCTGGACAAACCCATCTGTGAGTCACCTAAAAAAATAAGTAGCTAATTAATGCAAAAATATTACTTTTGTTACACAAAAAAAAATGTAAAACTAATAATTAATAAATTTAAAAAAAATTAATTTATATATATGTATATGTGTATATATATATATATATATATATATATATATATATATATATATATATATATATATATATATATATATATATATATATATATATATATATATAGATATAGATATATATATATATATATATATATAGATATATATATATATATATATATATATATATATATATATATATATATATATATATATATATATATATATATATATATAATCTGTATGTGTGTATTTACTTTACCTCTGTTTGTAGATCCCCCATCTGCTCCTGAGGGACCTCTAGTGTTCTCAGAAATAACAAAACGCAGTGCACGTGTCTCCTGGAAACACAGCAAGAATGACGGAGGCGCTCCCATATCCCACTACATCGTGGAGAAGCGTGAGGGCTGGAAGACAACATGGCTGCCTGTGGAGAGAATCAGTGGGGACAAGCTCACCTGTGAGCTGACTCACCTGCAGGAAGGTCAGGAGATCTTCATCCGCGTCACGGCTGAGAATGTTGTTGGACAGTCCAAACCACTAGAGGGAGAGAACCCACTTGTTCCTAAATCTCCATACAGTAAGTTTTGAGAGCCTTCTATTATTAAAATGTAACGTCAAGTATATAACTTTTTGAACTTGAATACTAAAAATGCAATTTTAAAAAAAAAGGGAAGTAAAAAAATTAAATAAATTAAATTAAAAAAAAACACTTTAAAAATTAGCATTTTTTGTAAAATATAAAAATTATAAAATCTTGCGATAAATAAATATCTAATATCATGTTCCAAAAAAATGGGTAAATAGAAAAATGCACAAAAATAATCTAATTACACTAATATGCTTAAATTTTGTCATATTTCATGGAAATGTTTTCATTATGCTAAAGCGTACATGTAGTCACTCTTTGTTCATGTCTATAAATGCTCAATTTAAGAAAGCAAAATGTACTTACACGCTTTTATGTGTGCAGATTTCCATTGCGCAGTTTTAAATAAATATATAAATATATATAGTAAAAAGCTTTAACGTTTCTCCAACAGACAAACCCGGTGCTCCAGAAAGTCTGAAAACCACAGAAATCACTTCCAGCTCAGCCAGCCTCCAGTGGAAGCCTCCCTCAGACACTGGAGGTCTGCCCATCACTTCCTACCTGGTGGAGCGCCGTGACAAGCGCTGGGGATCCTGGATCAAGGCCGGAGTTGTCAAAGCCACCACCATAGACGTGCCCTCACTGCTGGAAGGGGCGGAGTATTTCTTCCGCGTCTCTGCAGAAAATGAAGAAGGGTTCGGACCTTTTGTTGAGTTAACTGAGGCAGTTATTCCACTCAGAGAACCAGGTATGCCTGTTTGTAATTGAGGCCACCCTTGTAATTTGTTTTCCAAATAATGTCTATTAGCATTATCTGTTTAATCTCTTTCATACAAATAATTAAAGTTCTTTACTACATGAAATAGTATAGAAAACTTGGTAGAAAGGTTTATGCCTGCTTCTTTGGCCAATGTGTATGAATAGATTGTGTAGCTCATCTGTGATTTGGCCATGGTTTAAAACGTGATTGATTGGCCTATCTTCTAGTAGCCATTGTGTATGAAGAGTGGCCCAGCTGTCTGTACTTCCTCTGTTAAAATTGTGTGAACATTCTTCTGACTCAATTAAAAGACCTTTACCTAACCCAGTTTCCTATGAGTGTGTGCTCATGTAGTCTATACTTGAACACAAAATCTCATTCCACTTATCTGCTGTGTTATTCCCAGTTGCCCCAGAAAGGCCAGTGGGACCAGTGAGGTTCACCAACATCGAGGCCACTGGTCTGATCATGGAGTGGCTGCCCCCCAGAGAAAACGGAGGCTCTCCTATCACAGCCTACAAGGTTGAAGTTAGCTCTAAACAGGACGTGTGGACAGAAGTGACCATCACAGATGCTGATGTCACCAAGATTAAGGTCAAGGATCTTACAGAAGGTCAGAAGGTTTGGTTCCGAATCACTGCTTTCAACAAGGTCGGAGCTAGCAAACCTCTTGAATCTGACTCTGTAGTGCCACAACGCCAGAAAGGTAATTATTTTTTATTTAATTTTAGGAAACTTTCATTTCATTAATTACTTCTAAGGGGTGGTCCATATGTCACACATCAATAGTGGAAGAGGGTGGAAGGGGGCTTATGATTTGTGATAATATAGTTTTGTGGATCTTTTGATAAAAAATTTCTACATTTTTAAAATATTTTGATAAAAGTTGTGGGTTGCGAATAAGTGACTTTTATGCCATTTTGGAGTTGGACAAATTTATAGCAATAAAAATTGCTGGGTGTTTTTTTTCAGAATATTTCTTACACTTAGTGACTATTGTAAAACCCTGTATCAACCTTAAGATGGTGACACACCTATGATACCACCTGGTGCACACCTTAATATTTCTTACACGTAGTAACTATTGTAAAACCCTGTAACAACTCTAAGTCCAACTCTTATGTATTTACTCAGGTCCACCCAGCACTCCAACTAAGCCAATCAGTGCAAAGGTTCTCACAAGAGATTCTGTGTCCCTGACGTGGGGACCCCCTGAGGATGATGGAGGTTCTGGCATCACGGGGTACATCATAGAGAAGAGAGAAGCCCTGAGGATGAACTGGACCCGCGCAGAAAAGACACTGACTGACGCCACAACTGTCACAGTCAAAGCTCTGGTGGAAGGTAGCGAGTTCTACTTCCGTGTCGCCGCGGTCAACAAGCAAGGCACCAGTCCATTCTTAGAGATGGACAAACCAGTGATGCTTAAATCTCCATTTGGTGAGTTTAAAAAAAGCATTTCTTTTTTTTAAGTTATTTTTTTCAATATCTCTTATAAAATAACATCTATAATTTTCTTTTGAATTCTTTTTTATATTTAAAAATCATTTTTCAATTATATTTCTATTTTAGCCAGATACTAACTTTAATATTTAATTACATAAAGCTATTTTCTAATGCTAGTATCTCAAACTTCAAAATGCAATGTTAAAAAAAACTATTTAAACAAAGTTAATATTGAGGATCATAATTAAATGTCAGAATTGATATTTATAAAACTTACTAATGAAAACATTTCCTCAATGTTAAATTTTATTTCTGTATTTTTTAAAATCAGAAGTCCCATCTCCCCCTGAGGCACCATTGAAGATACTAACAGTAACTCAGGACTCCTGTGATTTAGAGTGGTCTCCCTCTAAGTCTGATGGAGGCTCACCCATCCTGAATTACTCTGTTGAAATCCGTGAATCTCGGCGCAGTATGTGGGGCAGAGCTGGTGTCACTAAAGGTGATGTCACCAAGTACACTGCCCGCAACCTGGTTATAAACAATGAGTACTTCTTCCGCATCCGGGCGGTCAACGCAGAGGGGGAGAGCCAGCCATTGGAGGGAACAGAGTCTGTTACTCCAAGAATAAAACAAGGTAAGGTTTTAGACTAAAGCACTTTTTATATATCTGCTATTAAATTTACACAATTTGATGTGAGCTTCTTTGATATAAAATCTTATTAGGTATGTATGAAGTAATAATCGTGATGTATGATCTTAGTAACTAATTATCTATAAATTGACAATTTTGATATATGATCTTAGTTGCTAATTATTTGTGAATTAAAAATGGTATTCTCACAAAAATTGTGTCTAAACCAGGAAACGTTTATGAAAAAACATCTTTTTATATATCAACAATTTTTTACAATTATTTTGATGTGTATTATTTGATGTAAGAACTTAGTAGCAATGTATGTAAACATTAATAATCTTATTCTCACAAAAATTGTGTCTGCAACAGAGCCACCTGGCAAACCAGTGACCATTCACGTACCCAAGTCCACTGAGGATGGACTGACAGTGGAGTGGAAACCACCAACCAATGATGGAGGTGCCAGGATTAAGAAATACAAAGTACAGGTAAGGCTTGCTTCTACACCTCAGGTGCTAACATATTTTACCTGTGAGTCTTTAAAGTGGTTTACAGCATATTTTGTGTTATCTGAGAGTTAATAATGGTCAGTTTTAACTCCAGCTCTTTACCAAAATTTTCACCTTCAGCAGTTAATTAAAACATACGTGTTCTTCAGGATATTAGCAATATAAACAGATGCATATAAATAAATAGATGAACAAGGATATGCCTATACACATTTTACATTATATACATATGTGTGTATATATATATATATATATATATATATATATATATATATATATATATATATATATATATATATATATATATATATATATAGGCTAATTTATTTATTTATGTATATGTATATTTTTATTTCAAGATGTATATATTTATATAAATATAAACAGATAGAGATGAAAAAATATAGGCCTTTATAAGTAAATTAAATTTTACAAATTGTACACACCCATTTTTTCCACAGATGAAAGAGGATTCTCCGTCATCCAAATGGGTTGATGTGGGAACCACCGATGGCTTCAAGACCAACATCTCAGTGCCCAATCTGGACACCAGCAAGAAGTACAAGTTCCAGGTGGCTGCTGAAAATGAGATAGGGCTGGGTGAATACCTGGAGACAGAGAGAGCAGTAGCCCCAACAAAAGCTATGAGTGAGTTCAGTGTGTGATGTGTGACTGTAATGATAAGTTGCCCCAACAAAAGCTATGAGTGAGTTCAGTGTGTGATGTGTGATTGTAATGATAAGTTGCCCCAACAAAAGCTATGAGTGAGTTCAGTGTGTGATGTGTGATTGTAATGATAAGTTGCCCCAACAAAAGCTATGAGTGAGTTTAGTGTGTGATGTGTGATTGTAATGATAAGTTGCCCCAACAAAAGCTATGAGTGAGTTCAGTGTGTGATGTGTGATTGTAATGATAAGTTGCCCCAACAAAAGCTATGAGTGAGTTCAGTGTGTGATGTGTGATTGTAATGATAAGTTGCCCCAACAAAAGCTATGAGTGAGTTCAGTGTGTGATGTGTGATTGTAATGATAAGTTGCCCCAACAAAAGCTATGAGTGAGTTCAGTGTGTGATGTGTGATTGTAATGATAAGTTGCCCCAACAAAAGCTATGAGTGAGTTCAGTGTGTGATGTGTGATTGTAATGATAAGTTGCCCCAACAAAAGCTATGAGTGAGTTCAGTGTGTGATGTGTGATTGTAATGATAAGTTGCCCCAACAAAAGCTATGAGTGAGTTCAGTGTGTGATGTGTGATTGTAATGATAAGTTGCCCCAACAAAAGCTATGAGTGAGTTCAGTGTGTGATGTGTGATTGTAATGATAAGTTGCCCCAACAAAAGCTATGAGTGAGTTCAGTGTGTGATGTGTGATTGTAATGATAAGTTGCCCCAACAAAAGCTATGAGTGAGTTCAGTGTGTGATGTGTGATTGTAATGATAAGTTGCCCCAACAAAAGCTATGAGTGAGTTCAGTGTGTGATGTGTGATTGTAATGATAAGTTGCCCCAACAAAAGCTATGAGTGAGTTCAGTGTGTGATGTGTGATTGTAATGATAAGTTGCCCCAACAAAAGCTATGAGTGAGTTTAGTGTGTGATGTATGGCTTTAGTCGAAAATAGTCCAAACGAATGCTATAAGTAAGTTCAGTATTTGAGTTAGGTGATGTATCAATGTGTTTATTAAATTATGGCGGGTATGATTTTAGTAATAAGCGACCCTATAAAACCTATCAGTGAAGTTATTTAGTTATGTAATTTGTGGTTTTACTAAAAAGTAGTTTAGTGAAACGCTATCACTACGTTTAAGTTATGTGGTAAGTTATTTAGTAGCATGTAGCTTCAACACCTGATGAAATTTTCCAGAGCCTCCATCCCCACCTGAGAACCTGCGGGCCACTGAGGTGCAGCGCGACGCGGTCACCATCGCCTGGGACCACAGCAAGAGTGACGGAGGATCTCCAGTCACCAACTACATCATAGAGAAGAAGGAAACCTATAAATCCTCATGGGCTCACGTTGACAGGGTGAGTCATGCTTTGGCTGGTTCATATAGGACTTTAGTAGGACTTTTGATAGGACTAATGTAAACTGTTCTGTGTTTTAATTGAAAGCTGTTTACAATAGGTGTAAGGGTGTGTGTAAACTGGAGGCTATGTGTTAATATGATGAATGAAATGTGGATAAAGGAATTTGTCTAAGTTGTTTTGTGCAATATTTATGTATGTTTTTAAGTAACTTGTTTTATAGAAAATATGTTGTATAGTAACATTAAAAAATGGATGATCAATTTTAGTTTAAATCAAGTTAAATAATTGAATTATTCAAAAATTGTAAAAAATGTTTTTACAAAGTTAATACTTAAAATAAAAAGATTTATTTTGAGATTTCATTCAGAAATATGAATTTCTGTTTAGTTATCAATTTTATAAAATGTGAAATTCTAAATTGAAAACAACTTTTTCCCAACAGGTAAAATCTGTTGTCACATCAGCAGAAGTTCTGTACCTGACAGAGGGTCAGTCTTATGACATCAGGGTCATGGCAGAAAATGTGGCCGGAATATCCGAACCAGCTGTCCTAGATGATGCAGTAGTCCCACAGAGCCCATACAGTACGTCTTCTGACTTTACACTGAATATACATCAACTAACTTAAATTTGAATCCATATATTAGCCCATTTTTAAATAAAAATTAGTGTTTTTGTAAGGCAAGAAATCATATTGAACAAAATACTTAATGAAATCGAAGCAAAGATTTTACCTTTGTATTAATTGTTCAAAAAGTCAAATTTTCAACTTTTAAAAATGGAGAACTTCTCTTTCAGAGCCCCCATCAGCTCCAGTTGGCCCACTAGAGGTGAAAGATATCACAAGCACCACTGCTACCATCTCATGGAAGGCCCCTGAGAAAGATGGAGGCTTACCCATCAAAAGATACACCATAGAGCGCAGGGATGCCAAGAGGCAGGCTTGGATGAAGGTACAAAAACTAATGTCTTTATTTAGGTTTTGACCCATAGCTTGTTTAGTATCTAAATGGAGAAGGACACAGCAAACCTTTATTAATCATATATTAATATATATTAACATGTAAACTTATTCTGTATATTGATGTGACTTTATTCAGTATATCAACATGTGAACTTATTCAATATATTAACATGTGAACTTATTCTATATATTACCATGTAAACTTATTCTATATATTACCATGTGAACTTATGTCTGCAGGTGGATGCTGTCAAGCCTACTGTCCACACCTTTGAGGTGACTGGACTCATGGAGGGGAGCAACTACATTTTCAGGGTGTTTGCTGAAAATGCTGAAGGTGTGAGCAGCCCTCTAGAGTCAGATGCCCCAGTGACATGCCGTAGAGCACCTGGTTTGTTGGTTTTATTTTACTTTTTAAAACAATTAGAGTGTGTTAATATTGTTTATTTTTAACTTATACTTTTAAATATCATAAAGTTAATTTTAAAATTAAATTAACTTATTTTTAAAACCCAAATGCAGAAAAACCTGGCTCACCATCTGGCAAGCTGAGAGCAAGTAAAATCCAACCTGATTCAGTAACCCTTGATTGGTTGCCACCTTTAGATGATGGTGGTTCCCCCTTAACAGCCTACATCATTGAGGCAATGGACAGCAAATCTAATGGTAATACTTTATTTTTAAACTACTTTATTTTTAAACTTCTTAAAAGAATACCTAATTCTAACATAGCAAGCTGTAAACTTCATAACTAAAAGATCTCTTGATAAAATATTTTTGTTTGAATTCTGCCAGAATGGAAAACAGTGGCTGAGGTTGATCCTAACGCTACACGACAGCTGATCAGAAACCTGACTGAAGGAGAGCCATACAGGTTCAGGATCTGTGCCCAGAATGTGATTGGTCGCAGTAAGCCTGTAGAGACAGAGTCTACTGTTGTTCCGTCAAGACCACTGGGTAAGTTTGTCTTCACTTTTCACTGTTTTAAAAGTCAAATACACTTTCAGATTAGATGGTCCATGAAATAGATGGATTAGTGTCCATCTTTTTCTCTGAACTCTGCATATAGGTGTATATATATATATATATATATATATGGGATAGTGTGGTTAGAGGCGTAGCGAGGGGGGCCGTGGGGGGGACATATGTCCCCGGGCGCCGACCTTAGGTGGGGCGCCAAATCGAAAGTTTGAGGGGGGGTGCAAATGAAAAGTTCGAGGGGGGGTGCAAATCGAATGTTTGTCCCCGGGCGCAGGGAAGGGTCGCTACGCCTCTGAGTGTGGTTAGCTCTATGCTCAATTTGGAACAAGTACCCATTAGGGCTGAGAGATATAAACATTAAGCTTTAGACAGGATGGTCTTTGTGTTATAATTTATCATTAATGGTACAGGTGTGAGACCATATCTTTAAACACATTGTGTTATTCTATATGCTAAACTTGATGTTTCCAAACCTTATTTTAATGACACAGTTTTTACTATACACTCTACACTTGATGCCTACAAACCTTACTTTAATGACGCTGTTTTTTCTCTATAATCTACATTTATTGTGTCTTAACCTTATTGTGTTGACTGTCTACAGAGCCACCAGGAGCACCTCGAGGTCCATTGAAAGCTGAGAATGTCAGCAAGGATTCTATCAAGCTCTCCTGGCAACCCCCTCTGGATGATGGTGGCTCACCTGTAAGTGGTTCATTTACACTCACTGTCCTACATCGACCTGTTTAGTTAGAATTTTACCTTGGTTGGTCAGGTAAAATTACCACTGGACCTGAATGATATAAGAACACCTCTTAAAATTTAAAAGATACAAATTGAGAACCTTCCATAATTTTTAAGATCAATCTATATTTTTGGGATTATTATATTTTTTTTTCTACTCTTGATGAAAAAAGTTCTTAAAAGTATAAGTTTATTATAATAAACTGCTTATTTTACTTGTATACAGTAATTAGGTAATATTTTTCTAATGAATTTTTTCCAGATAACCCACTACATCATAGACAAGCTGGACATTCAAAGAGGAGGCTGGGTCCGCGCTGCCCGTGTGCCATCCACCAACACCAACTGTCTGGTCAGTGGCCTGGTGACTGACCACGACTACAACTTCCGCATCTACGCTGAGAACAAGCTGGGTGTGGGTGAACACCTGGACATGAAGGCCTCCATCAAGTGCAAGAGTCCTTACAGTAAGTGGATGCAAGCTGGACACAGCTTTTTTTCTGTCAGTTTAAGCTGGGTGACTTTTTTTTTACCACAGAGACAACTATCACTTGTTCTCTATTCAAGCTACACATGTGTTTGTGTTTCGTTCTCTATGTATAACATCTGAAGACTCCGCCTTATGTGAATATTTCATTATTGTTAGTTAGCTACACCTTTTGTGACAACAGCTAGATTCACTGATGATCATTAATTAACCATTTAGTTTAGTGTTGAAATGTTGTTAGCCATGCTGGTATTTTAATTATAATGATACGGCTTATGAAATGGTACCAATATTTGGATAACACGAGTATTACTTTCATATAGCAAAATGTATGTGACAGAAAAGTAAACAACACTGGCCTTGGGATCAATGAACTGTTTTTCTTAATATGAAATACCCTGAAACAGTTTTTTAAAAAAATTAGAATTGTTCAAGTAGCTTAAATATTTTTAGGTTTGCACAAAAAAAATAATTTCTGGCCTATATTCACCAAACTTTGTCCTACTTTCTCTAGATGTTCCATCCAGTCCAAGAGACTTGGTCGTCTCTGACATCACAGATGAATCTGCCCAGCTGGACTGGTCACCCCCAGAGGAAGACGGAGGCACTGAAGTCCTGGGATACCTCATAGAGAAGCGCGAGGCAGGCAAGCAACAGTGGACGCGAGTTGGACACACTGAGGCCAAGACCAGGTCCATCAAGGCCCGCAATCTTCTGGAGGGCCGTCCTTACACATTCAGGGTGATGGCAGAAAACATGGAGGGTCTCAGTGAACCTCTGACACTGTTGAAGCCCATCACACCAGAGAAACCCATAGGTGGGTGATGAAATCAATTTTTTTAATATAATAAATTTTTAGCCTCAAGATTTCAGTTACATTTTGATAAAAATAAATCTTTTTCTCTAAACGAAAATCCTAGGTGATTTGATGCAATATTATGGTGATTTTTATTTTGGTTTGTTATGGTCAAGAGATAAGGATATCAGTTAGAGTTATATATAAGTTATCCTTTGAGAATAATTTGCTGTGTAAATTTTTAGTTTATTGAAATGTCAAAGTACATGTTTAAAGTAAATAGTTTACTTGTTTTGCATATATTCTAGATTAATTAGTATTTTTTTTTTGCCTTCCAGAGCCCCCAGGCCCACCTCAGGATGTTGCCTGCCTCTCCATTGACCGCGACTCTGTCACACTTGAGTGGCAGAAACCCCGATACGACGGAGGCGCACACATCACAAGCTACATCGTAGAGAAGCGTGAGGGCAAGGCAGCGTCATGGGTGACAGCTGCTGACACAGAGGGCACCACTTGCAAGTGTGTGGTCAGGGGCCTGATTGAGGGGTACGAGTACGAGTTCAGAGTCAGGGCCAAGAACTCTGCTGGTCTTGGTGAACCTGGAAACTTGTCAGCCTCGGTTGTACCCTCAAAGCCACTGGGTAAGATAATCTGTTGGAAAAAATTGGCATATATATATATATATATATATATATATATATATATATATATATATATATATATATATATATATATATATATATATATATATAAGGCGCTGCCAATTTATATATATGTATATATATATATATAAATTGATTTTCATTATTCTAAAATCATAATACTACAAATAAATCAAAATTAATTTTTGAAAATGGACCATAATTATATTGTACCAAAACCTGGCTTCTAAACATAACCTTAAAATAATTTAAGTAAAATTGAATTCCCATTTTTCTATGACTTGCTACAAAAACTCATGTCCAAACGCTTGCATTGTTTTCTGTTCTCATCATAGAAAAACCATCAGCCCCCATTGGACCACTAGAGCTAACAAACATCACAGAGGACACGGTCACTCTGATGTGGTCAAGTCCTAAATTTGATGGTGGCAGTCCTGTCAAACACTACATCATTGAGAAATCTGATCTGAGACGTCCAAAGTGGCTTAGAGTGGATTCTATACCTTCTGATGAAACCACATTTAAGGTACTTAGAAAAATCACTGCTGTTATATTGTCCTATTTTCAGTGTAATTCTACTATTTAAATTTTCACACTTTTTGAATACTATCAAAAGTAAATGACATTAAAAGCCATGTAATTTTAAAGCTATAAACATTTAGTTTGTAGTTATAGTTTTTTTTTAAATTGTAAGAAAAACTGTAGCATTTGATTTATTTCAAATTTAGTATCCTCTTTATTTAACTTGTTTGTGGCTTTTAAAATTAAAATCATTAAATATTAGACTTTCAAGGTTTGTTGCGACAATTTTGTAAATATCAATAATAAAATGCTAGCAGATTTAAAAAAAAAGAAATACCCTCCAGATTTTTAAAGATAACCTGTTTGTACCCACCAGGTTGAGAACCTTCTGGAAGGTGTTGAGTACCAGTTCCGTGTGATGGCTGAAAACAAAGTGGGCATCAGCCAGCCTTTAACATCAGACCAGACAGTCAAACCCAAGAGTCCTTATGGTAACAGCTAAATCTGGGCTAAATCATTGAAAAATGTTTCAATTTTGATTTAAACATTGCTGTTGTTATTTTCTATACTATAAAACTTATGAGATATCAGACATGAAACATCTTTTCTAAAATATGTTTACCATTTTTTTAATTAAGGGCTTGAAATTAATTTGAATATATTTAAATAAGCAGAACTTCAAAGTTCAGTGTGATTTTAGAAATGTTTGTTTTGTTAACCTTTGAAAATAACAGATTAACTAAATTATTGAGTTGTGCATTACAAAACTAAGTTTAAAAACAAGTTATTCCAAAAAAAAATTCTTATTAGTAATACCATTTCATTATTAATGAGTTTTCTCTTTTACATGTAAACAGCAAAACAAAATTGAGGCTAAATGATTTGATTTTGAACTCCTAGGACCTCCATCTAGCCCGGTTGGTCCAATCAAAACCCTGCAAATAACAAGAGACTCAGCAACCATCCAATGGCAGCCTCCGTCATCTGATGGGGGTTCCCCAATAACAAGCTATGTGGTGGAGCGCCATGAGGAGGGGAAGAGAGCCTGGATGTACTGCGGCCGCACAGACTCATCTGTCAACATCTTCACATGCGCAGCTTTGTATGAAAACCAAGAACATTTCTTCAGAATTTACGCTGAAAACAAATATGGCCGCAGTAAGCCGCTAGAGTCTGACATTGCAATCATTCCAAAGAGAGTATTTGGTGAGTACTTAATCTAATATAGAAAAGAAACAACAATTTTTTTAATAGCTTAAAGAATTAACAAAAAATGTGAAAACAAACATGAATTAAATCAAACTTAAAAAACCGAATTTAAAAAATTATTAAATTTGTTTTCACAAATTTGTTTTTTCTTGCTAGATATTGATTCATTAGTAAAAACAGAAACATAGGATGGGAACACTGAAAAAAATTAACACTTCTACAAAAACTGTATCTGAAATATCAAGTTACCATCCCATGTGTCTTGTTACTTGTTCTTACTTTTGGAAATGATCCCATAGACCAGATATGGCAGCTGCTGTGTTACTGCTCCTCAGCTAGATTCCTCTCTGCTGACACTTTAGAGGTGTGATGTTCTTCTTGGCTAGAGTAATCTTTCCTTCCTCTTTTACTTAGTTATCTCTCCTACCTGTTTTACAATGGTTAATACTAAGCCTGTGTTTTCAACTACATACAAGCAATGAAAAAATATTTTCAGAAGCCACTTATAGTAATTTTAAAAAACAATTTCTTTATTTACTTCACTTACATTTATCTTTTTTTTTAAATTATATTTTATTCTCTTTTATTTATTTTGTTTCTATTATTCTTTTTTTTTTATGAAAAGAACTTATACTTCAATGATATCAAGAGGTTAGAAATTAAAAAAAAAAAAATATTTTACCTTGGATTTCCATTAACATATAAACTAAATTGAAATTTCAAAGATTTAAAATACTCAAATCACAGAAACACAAAAACGTGAAACCTGCACTAGGAATGAAAATCCCCCTTTGACTTAAATTTAACCACAAGAAGTTAACAGATTTATCTCAAAGAGATGTAGACCAGTGGTTCTCAACAGTTGGAGATTGATTGGGGCAGAATGCTCCATGTGATCATGATCCAGGGCTGTAAGCTTGTGATATGTTGAGAACCACTGTGGTAGACAATGTGTTTATTAATTCCACAACTTAGACATAGTACCAACTTTAATACTATTAATAATATCCAGTATTACCTTTAGATAAGCCCACTTCCCTCCCACCCACCCTCCTGACCTTACTGATATAGATTTTGGGGCTAGTTGATTCCTGTATTACACTTTACCCTCATCCTGTATTAATAAAAAAAAAATGAAATAGTCAAGCTCATTAGCTGACTATTATTAGATGTGTAATAAGATCTGACATAAGTTCAAATTTTTTTAACAAAAAAAAAATGATGTATTTTTTATAAAAGTTTTTTTTTAAGTTTCATTTTTTTTGTTAATTAATATCAGTTTAATTTATGTTTACAAAGCAACAACAACAATAGCATGTATTTCATTTGTTCCTTATAGCAACTTAGCATGGAAACTTGCATTCCACTCTGCTTGATTTTCACTGGCATGAAATCATCTAAATGCTTAATAATTGAATATTTATCAAATTTTAAAATTTTTTAATAATAGCATTTTTATTATTTTGGTAATTTAAAAAAATGTAATAAACATTTATACATATAACTTTTCATTTTAAAAATTCAATTTTCAATATAGATTTTTTTATGCATGATCATTGTTGTGATTTCATTTAGATTTTTGCTGTGATGTTATTTTTAATTCAATCAAAATAATGATTTGAATGCTATTTCTTAGATTTATTATTAGAACATGTGTTTAATTTAGAAAGAAAGGGGTGTTTAGACAGAGATAGTTTGTAGGAATAAGATAGAATTAGCTGTATTTTTGTTGTAATGTAACTAATTGTTTAAACCTGTATTGGGCAGAATTAAATAAATCTAAATAAAATGTACCTAAACGTACCAGCAACATTAAAAAAATCTGGATACTGCATCTAAAAGGCCAGAGTGTAAACATTATTGTTATGTTTTCTAACCAGAATATACCGGCTTGACATGGTTCAATGAAGCCAGCTTACAGCCATGTATTGATGTCTACATGATACAGAATTTGAGAAGATTTGAATATTTTTACAGAGTTTATGCAGATAATCCTCTTAGTTCTGTTTGGGATACAATAGACTTGAGCTCCATTGAAGGCAGATTTTAGATGAAGAAGTAGAGCATTGATCTTTTTTAAATGGAACTGTTATGCATTTTTGTTTCTTTTTTTTATTTTACATATTTGTTGGAATTAATTGAAATGGTGAATTTTTAAAAAATAACATTATGAAGTTTAAAAACAATAATCTTTGTTGTACTAATTTAAAATTTTTTATTTTTATTTTTAATAAAAAAGTTTTTAGAGTGTACTCAAATTTAACTTCAGTAACTAAAAAATACATATTTGATTTTAAATTTGTGTTGTTGAAGTTCTTTTTATCAATAACCAAAATTTGCATTATGTAATTGTTAATTTGTGACTAAACTGATCTGAAATGTGCTTTGTTAACTGTTTTTAACACCAGTGAATAATATTTTGGCTGTTTTTTTCTTTTTAAAAATTATAATTTTGTTATGTGTGTTTTTTTTTTTCTTTATTGTTTAAAATATTATTTAAATAACTTCAGTATAATGGAAATTAATTAAACACCACTATTTTTTTTTAAATGTAGGGTTATATTATGGTTTGATACTTTGGCATAAAAATGGGATCTTTTGCAGATTTAATAATCACATAATTTAATCGACAAGAATTTTATAGTACATAAAATACAGCAATTAATATCAGCCTATATAGCCCAATATATTATTTTGGTTGAAAATTATCACATCCACATTTACTTTGAAAGCATGCCCAATTTTTATTTACTGTAGTACTTCCCAAATTATTTTTTTTATTAGTTTCATGGCTTATTCACTTTATACATTATGAAATCTTGCTTTTATTCATCGTTTTGGTTTCTTTGCAGCAATTAGTCACTGTATGATTTGAATAGGCTTATTTAGCTTTTTCATTGAGTTTTTGTTGTTGTTGCTTTAATTTTTAGAAAAATAGGGTTTAATTATGACAATAAAATCACATTTTTATTCCAAAGTATCACAATAGTAAACAATTTTTAGATTCAGTTTCAGAGGTAAAATTTTAAAGAACTAGTTAAGTTTGTACATACATTTTTATATAGTTCTAAAGTTTATGATAACTTTTTTATGACCCTCAGATATAATATCCTATTATTATTGTAATTATGAATAGCCTCCCCTTAAGTTAAAGTGTAAAGGTTGATATTTACCTCCCTATTGAAGTTGCAATTTTGTTTTTTACAATCAGAACCTACAAATGTTTTTCTTAACCAAGGTTGTTACACACTTTATTTATATCCTAAGTTTATTCTGTTACTAAGCAGTGTATGTGTGGGATGACCTTCCTGTGTTTAAAAAAAAAATTCTGTTTTTAAAATCTTTTTTTTCTTGACTAGATTTATTTAGAGATACATTCCCTAATAAAACTTTTATTCAACTTATGTTTATTTTTTATTGATTAACTTTTTTTTGGTCATTTTTTTTTAATATGCTGATGAAAATGTTATACTTAAATTTAGTTTTACTAAAGTAGGCTAATTAAAGATAAAGTAATACAGGAATCGCTATGCTCCAAGGAATCTTTAGCCACTTGTCAATAAAATCTGAAGCCCATTGCTAGTGAATCTCTGTCCTGGTAAAAAAAAATAAAGCCCTAAGCCATAAGAAAGCTTTAGGATAAAAATATCTTAAAGCTAATACAAATCTATTGAATTGTCCTCTATCTAATAATTCTCTTGAGGAATATATTTTTACAGTTTATTCATATTAATACACACTCACATATATGAAACAACATATTTTAAAATACTATAACCAACTCACAAATTAATATAGTAAAAAAATTTCTTTAACATTAAAATAATTAGATGATAAAATAATTGCTAACAATTGCTAGCCGATCTATTAACTACACACAAAAAATAATTATTTACCAGAATTTTGTATTTTGTTGTAATTTGATGCTCCCTGACATAATTTAAGATTCGGTGAGTAAAAACCTTAATCTTATTTATTACAGCTTACTACTATAACAATATTATAGTAGTTTTTTAAAAAATCTTCGGCAAAAATTGAATTTATTTTGTTATAAATATAAGCTTATAAGTTTACTACATGTATTGGTAACTCATCCTACTGTCTGTGTTAAGTTTTGTAAACAAGAAGATGGTGTAGAATGCATAGTTTTTATTTACCAGAGATATACTACTGCTAGCACAAAGTCTTAAAGTCGACCAAAACTTAATCAAATCTATAAATCATAGTGTGACTGAAAATTGTAATGGCCACTAGTAACTTTTAGACACTGAACTCAGACACTGCTAAAAAGTAAATTGAGGCATCTAAAAATAATCGCTACAATCAATCAAAGAGAAAATTCCTGGTTCCATTGAGAAGCCAGGAATACTCCACACAATGTGTTTAGTGAAAAAGTCTATTCTGGAATTAAAACATTTAGAGTCTATTCAAATTGGTGAGTACTTTGTTTTTCTTCTTCCAAAATTTCCTCTAAGTGTCTGATACTGTCACATTCTCAAATCCTTTAACTTATCTGGTCCATGGGATATTTAGCTTTATCCATTTCTTTCAAGTCATATTTTGAATATGTATTAAATGCCACTAGTCGTCTTTACTTACATTTATTTGTAATATATATATATATATATATATATATATATATATATATATATATATATATATATATATATATATATATATATATATATATATATATATATATATATATAGATACACATATACATCTTTAAACACACAAAATACACAAAAACATTCATGAACATACACAAACACACTCATAAATAAATAAACAAATACATTTTAAAATAAATATGTTGTATATGTTTGTGTTTATTTGTGGATATTTGTATGCACATATATCATCATCATCCCTTAACTCCTATTGGGGTCATTGGCGCAACACAGTTGATGCACATCTATTCATTACCTTTATGAGCAAACATAAAGACAGATACTTTCCACATCAGCAATAGCATTTGTCTTCATAAAATCCCCAAACATGCTGTGCACTGTATCCATGTATGTGAAGAATAGTCCAGAGACATTTGATTAAAATGGTTTCTAACAAACCTGCCCACCACCACCTTAGATAAACCCTCACCCCCTGAACACCTGAGGGCCGAGAAGGTGGACAAGGATTCCCTGACCCTCGTCTGGTCCCCACCTGAGGATGATGATGGGACAATCACCAGGTACATCCTGGAACAGAAGTTGGCTGACTCCGACAAGTGGGAGAAGATTGCTGAAGTCCCAGGCAAAACTAAATGGTTCATGGCCAAGAATCTCCCTACAGTAAGACCTCTGTTTTTTTTTTCATCTTTTTTTTTATGAATAATGTCAGAAATAAATCAATCAATGAATAAATAATGCTTCTAAATCAGGGGTCTCCAAACTTTTCAGTCCGAGGGCCGCATTAACTATCAAATTTCAGTTTAGGGGCCAGTTTCTTCCAGACATGTCGTGATTTTTCTGGGCAAATTTCCTCAGCCATCACCAACAAACGTTTTTTCCTTGGACAGAAAGATCTCCGCGGGCCGGATGAAAGGACTTTGTGGGCCGCATCCGGCCCAAGGGCCGTAGTTTGGAGACCCCTGTTCTAAATTATAGCTGAATATTTAAAGAATTTTAAAAAATAATATATTTGTTGTAGAATTTATACGAAGTAGGCTATTTTAATAAAAAATGTTTGTAACAGTTGTTGAAAATGCTAAACTATTTTTAACAAAACAAATCTGCATTCCTACAGATGTTGTTTACATTACACTAATGTGATTCTGATATTCAACAGGGTAAATCTCTAGTTTTCCGAGTATCAGCTGAGAACCCAGCTGGAAGAAGTCAACCAACAGAGCTCTCCAGTCCTGTTGCACTTAAAGTTATAAAAGGTAGGTACATTTGTATTAAAATAGTTCATTTGTTGTCATTGCATGATATGTTTATCAAAATTGCATGACTGCTAGCACTATATTGCTTAAACTTAAATTTTAAAATCAACCCTATTTTTGTAAATTTGTATTGCATGTTAATGTGATTTAAAAATAGAAGTGAAATTATTCTATTTTAGTTAACTTAATAATTAATTAATTGCACTTAACTTTTATAATGCATGGTAAATTATTGCACATTCTTGCTGTAGAATATTATTTTTGTCTAGCAATTGCTACTAGGTGTTAATTTTTGTTGATTATTTTTATTCTCACTTTTTATTTTTCAGTTTGCCCCATACACTTTTTATGTATCCCATGTGCATTTTCCCTGTATTATTGTTCCTTGTTTATAAACCAGATTTTTTTTTTCTTCATTTAAAAATGTTGAGTTCTGCTAGTTAGGTATTGTTGATTTTTATTTTCATTTTTCAAAAATAAATATTTAAAATATTGTGTGCATTTTGAATATTAGTTTTTGTTAGTCTTATCGGCAATGAAATTAAAAAGTTACCTTCACATTTACACTTGATTTTAGTTGGCTCATGGGCATGTTTGTTTATTTGTTGTGTATATTTTTTATTTATTTGTGAACATTTTAAATGTAATTTTTTTGCTTTTAAATAGCTTGCCTGCATATTTTTTAATGCTTGTTATGCTTTTTGGTGAAATTTTATACAATATTTTTTTCTTATTGTTAATATTTTATTTCTGAAACAAAATTTTCTTAATGCAAGTAAAATATTTTAAAATATATGTTTTCATTCATAATTAGACAAAGAGAGTGGTACTTAACAAGATTTTATAATTGTATTAGAAAAACCCAAAGCAATCAAGAAAGCTCCGAGTGTAGACGAGATTGGTGAAACTTTTGTACAACTGTCATGGCTGCCTCCAGAGTCAGATGGAGGCTCTCCTGTGACTGGCTACATCCTGGAGAGGCTGGACATGAGTGGAAAATCCTGGCTACCTGTGACTAAACAGCCAATCAAAGAATTGAGTTATAGAGCAACAGACTTGAAGAACAACCTGGCATACGAGTTCAGAGTCAGAGCTGAAAATGGTGTGGGCGTGTCTGAGCCGTCACCCTCTTCAGAGCCGTTCATCTGTGGACATAAAATAGGTAAATTAGAAAATTTAAATATTATAGAAAAACTTTTTTATGTGGTTTCTCATTTAATATATATCAGAAAAAAAAATGACTTGTCAGAAAAACGTATATAGAATGTAAAAGAAAATATTTCAGAAAATTTTCTTTTTTTTTCTCTTTAGCTCTGGATGCTCCAAAGTTCATAGCCGAGTTTGGTGACCTATCTGTGCCAGTGGGTCAAGATGCCAAGTTCATGTGTCAAGTGATTGGTCTGCCAACACCCGAAGTTTCTTGGTAAAGCTCTAGTTTTTCTCCTTCTTTGCTGCATGTTGTAAGATGAACATGATGAAGATAATATTAATCCCATTGAGAACTGCAACAGAAATACATTGTAGAACTTATACAAATACTTGTTTATAGATTACTTCTAAAACATGATTACATTTGTAGAACGTATTAGTAACCTTTGTATAGACCTGTTCATAACATAAACACTTTTTTTAAAAACAAGCTTCACCAACTGATATGTAGGTTATTTTTCCTAGAACATTACTTCATTTTTATAACTTGTATCATTGTTTTTTTTATTGTTTGAGCAAATGTTATGAATTTGAGCCACAAGTTTTTAAATTGGTCTTTGGCTATTGCCTTGGGAATAGTTTTTGATTATGTGCTACAATTTTCTTTGTTGGTTGTTGTCCTTCAGGTTCCGCAACTACAGGGAAGCTTACGAGGGAAGGAAGTGCTGGATAAGACATGAGGCCACCAACCAGACTCTGATCATCAAGAATGTGGAGTTTGCTGATGCTGGGGACATTGAATGTCAGGCTAGAAACAAGTACGGAGCGGTCAGCATCAGGGCCAAGCTTCATGTGCTAGGTAAGTCATGTGACCAGGGTCACAGAGAGGCTAGTTGCCTTTTATGGTCATTGTCACTTAGTTTCTAGCATCAGGGCCAAACTTCATGTGTTAGGTAAGTCATGTGACCAGGCCTTTTATGGTCATTGTCACTGTGAGACTCATTCCTTTGATGATCATTGTTACACAGATGCTAGTTATAAGGTTATAGTCAAAGCTGTGGTTTGGCTATGGCTAGGTTAATGTTAGGGTAACAGTAACAGTGTTCAGCGTGGTAGTGCTACTACAGAAAAATATCAAATATGTCCTAACAAATTCTTAAGCACCAATTTTATAAGAAAAAAAATTGTTAAAATAGTTGTGTAAATAAAATCAATCTGATTCACAGCTGCACCTCAGATAGACTTCTCAGACAGCTATGGCAAGGGCCTGCGCTTCTGCCGTGGCGACACCATCAAGGTGCGCATCCCAATCTCAGGCACCCCAACACCCAGCACCACCTGGTCAAAGGGTAGGGAAATCCTGGAGGTCGGAGGTCGCAAAGGTCGTGTGGACATTGTCGGCACCAACTTGCACACCACCTTGATCATTGAGGACTGCCTCAAGTCAGATGAGGGGCACTACACATTACAGGTGGAGAACCAGCTTGGTTCAGCCATGGTAGACATTCCTATCCTTGTTGTTGGTGAGTCACATTATCTAGTTTATAAACAATCTTATTGTTGTAGTTGGTGAGTCACGTTATCTAGTTTATAAACGGTCCTGTTCTTGTAATTGGCGAGTCACGTTATCTAATATATAAACAATCATATTGTTGTAGTTGGTAAGTCACATTATTTAATTTTTAAAACCATTAATGTTGTAGTATGGCAAATCACATTTCTACTTTATAAACACTCATATTGTATTACTTTAATATGATTGAAAACAATAAGTTAAGACAGCTAAAAATAATATTTTCTTAGACTGCAGGATGTTGTCAATGCAGTGTGCTAGTTACAAAACTACTGCTAATTCCTAGATACCAGAATAATGTTAGACTAATCTACAAAAAATTACCTTTGCTTAGGCCTTAAGTCTTCATGGCATTCATTTGAACGCAAAAATTAACTCCATTTAAAAACATTATTTTTTATCTAGATGCTCTTAACTCTAAATTAATAAGTTAATTTCCAATGTTTATTTTCTCAGAGCCCCCAGACCCTCCCCAACAGCCTGTGATCAAAGAAGCCGACAAACACAGTGTCGAGCTGTCGTGGACGCCCCCTCAGTACGACGGAGGATCACCCATAACTGGATACGTTGTGGAGCGCAGGGATCCAATCACAGGCATCTGGAGGTGGGCCCTGGCCACTCCGGACGCTTTCTGCACAGTTGCCTGTTTGGAGGAACACGGAGAACACAGGTTCCGCGTCATGGCTGAAAACAGATTTGGCGTCAGTGAACCGAGCAGAGAGTCTGAGATTGTTGTGACGAAGGAAGCTTTGCCTTCAATTAACTATGATGAGCTCTGTGAGTCGATGCATATTAATTAATGTTAATTGTAATCATAGATTAAACATTAGAATGGTATTAAGTTTAAATGTGAGATGTATTTATTATACTTAAAATACCCACAAAAAGAAGAAAAAAAACAGATTATAAATTGTAATAAAATAAATGTGTTAAGATTTTTTTTGGTTTTAGAATGCTCGCTGAGAAATTAATTTTAAGCACAATATTTCACATCATGTTTCATATTTTGCCAGCTCTATAATATAGTAACAAATTAAAAAACCATCTAATTGAAATGACTGAGCCCTCTATTTTACCATTGTTGTGTACAACTTGTGTTGGTGATATTTTCAGATGATGAAAAATTCCTAGGATCTATTGTTGATGTGAACTGCATCAAAGGAGATGTCCTCGGGAAGTATATCATTTGTGAAGAGCTCGGAAGGTGAGATTTGATCATCATGAAACTTTTTCTTTTAAAGTTTGGCCTTTTGTGAAATACAATTTACTCTATACTTGTAAAATATCAGATAACGTTAAATTCTTTAAAACATATAGCCAGGTTTATGAAGTACAATTAGGGTAAATTGTTATACCAAAAATATATTTGAGGGGGGAGGGAGAAAAATCAAGAGTTAGTCCAGGCATTGTTTTACATGCATTATTTTTAAAGGAGATCTCAATGTATCTATTTTGTTACTATACTTTTCTGTTATGTTTCAATCAGTTTAACATTTACAAATGTGTTCTGGTTAACCAGAGGGGCTTTTGGAGTGGTCCACCGTGCCGTAGAAAGGGCAACTGGCAAGAACTGGGCAGCCAAGTTCATCCACTGCCGCCCGCAGGACAAGGACATCATCAGGCACGAGATTGACATCATGAACAGTCTACATCACCCCAAACTTCTGCAGCTTCACGAGGCCTTTGACCAGAGAGGAGAGATGGTCATGATACTGGAGCTGTACGTCATTTTTTTCTGGTGTTCTTTTTAACCTTGTTGATGCAATGAAATTTTCTAGAAAGTTTATTGGAAAGTTTAACATAACTTAAAAATATTAATTACGCTAAGAGAAAAACTCCATTAAAAATAAATAAAATAGGATCCATCAACTTTTAAAATAAAAATAAAATCTTTTTTATTGGGTATGTAAATACGTTGTATTAATGTGATTATATATATATGTTGGCCCTATATATTTTTATGTATATTTGTGTATACATAAATATATATATATATATATATATATATATATATATATATATATATATATATATATACATATATATATATATATATATACATATATATATATATATATATACATATATATATATATATATATATATATATATATATATATATATATATATATATATACATATATATATACATATATACATATATATATACATATATATATATATATATATATATATATATATATATATATATATATATATATATATATATATATATATATATATATATATATATATATATATATATATATATATATATATATATATAATGTTTTAATAGATACATATCTCCATAATGAGTTGCAAAGCATCAAAAGTTTCAGTTCCATGTTTTATCAACTTGTAAACCTGCTTACATAACATATCATCACACCAAGCATGATATTTGTGTACATTTGTTCTCTGTCAGGCTGAGTGGAGGTGAGCTGTTTGACAGGCTGGTGGAGAAGGAGTACACACTGACAGAGGAGGACTGCATCACCTACATGCGGCAGATCTGTCAAGGTGTGCAGCATATGCACCACAGCAACATACTACACCTGGACCTCAAGGTACTCACACTAACTGCATCCATTAATACCCCAATCTATATAGGTGGGGTAGGTAATTCACATGCACCACAGCAACATACTACACCTGGACCTCAAGGTACACACTCACACTAAGTGCTTCCTTTAACCCCCACATTATATAGGTGGGGTAATTAATTCATATGCACCACACCAACATACTACACCTGGACCTCAAGGTACTAACACTAACTGCATCCATCAAACCCCACATTATATAGGTGGGGTAGGTAATTTAGCATGTAATAATATTTGGGCTTAGTTAACATTGATAAAATAGAACTTAGAATTTATGAAAAATAATCTAGAGTAGCTTCCCTTGATCTGCTTTTACAAACATATTTAAAAAGTTTAGAAACTTGTAAAAGGTTTGAAAAATATTGCTTATCTATAATGTAATGTATATAGATATCATTTAAAGTAGCCTTTACTAAACTAACAAGTAAGTTTTAGATTAAAAAATTAAGTTAAGGATAGCTTTTGTAACTGAGTTGGCTCAACATAAACCACACAAGCTCATTTTAATGTTCTTTGGTCTTTCTGATGGGGATGCATTTGTATCTGTCAAAGGCTTAAACTTTTTGTCATAGTGTAATACACAAAAAATAATTTGAAATCAAGATAGAAAATGTGAATCTAATGTTTTTTTTATCTCAGCCTGAGAATGTGATGTGTGTGACGAGGGATAGCAACGATGTCAAAATCATTGACTTTGGTCTGGCCCAGAAACTTGAGGAAGGGAAGTCAGTCAAAGTTTTATTTGGTACAGCAGAGTTCTGTGCCCCTGAGATCATCAACTTTGAGCCTGTATCATTCTCCACTGACATGTGGTCACTTGGTGTGGTGGCCTATGTGCTGTAAGTGTTGTCACTGTCACATTGTCAGTTTTTCTAACTTGAAATGTTGGCCTTGTAAATTTAAAAAAATTGACTAGAAATGTCCATGTCCCTGGTCTGAATTATTGGTCCTTTTAATACAATACTTGACCATAAAATGTCCATGTTTCTAACCATAAAACATTTATCCCTTTAATTCAAAAATTAACAACAAAATGATCATTTTTCTAATTATGAAATATTTGTCCCTTTTATTCAACAATTTACATGTTACTAACCTTGAAATATTAGTCCATTCAATAAACCATTTGACCACGAAATGTCCATGTTTCTAACCCTACATATTTGTCCCTTCAATAAACCACTTGACCATGAAATGTCCATGTTTCTAACGATACATATTTATCCCCCACCCAACAGACTCAGTGGCTACTCACCATTTGCTGGTGATGACAACCACCAAACATTCCAATTTGTTAACCAAGCTGATTATGACTTTGATGATGAGGTCTGGGAGTTTGTCTCAGACGACGCTAAAGACTTCATCAAACGTTTGCTCATCAAGGATAAAAAGTAAGCACTTTTTTCTCTCCAAATCTTTCACCTAATGAATTTTATTCATAAAAAGTAAGCAATTTTTTTTCTCCAAATCTTTCACCTAATGAATTTTATTCTTAAAAAATAAGAAACTTTTTCTCCCCTAATCTTATACCTAATGAATTTTATGTTTTCTTATCTTAACTCGACAAAATCTAATTTTTGCTGTCCTTAGCTTTAAGTCAATACAAAAAAAAAGATGAAGAAAAAACACATGATTTAAATGGATGACAAATGCTGCTCATACAATCAAAATATTGAGATGGTTTTGCTATTAGTTAGAGAAAGAGTAACTGCATTAACACTGAAAGTTCGCCAAGCCATGAGCGTGGCTTTGATGTTATATAACTTATAACGCATAAGGCCATGTGGCGCATGCTTTAAGTGTTAAGGGTTAGAGTCACAAAAACTATAAAGGAAACAAAAATTTTTAATAATAGGGACTACAAAGTTTCCAGTATTTTTAGTTGTCTATGAAACAGTACAGGTATAAAGGGATGTTCAGTTAAATAGTACAGATATAGAGTGCTAGGCCTACCACAGAAAATAGCTATGTTTTAAAATTAATTTAGTAGTTTTGTTCCTTCATTGTCTGAGATGCTCTTTTATTTTTCTATCTTATTAAACATATCTAAAGTCTAAAGTAGTAAAAATTTCATTTTGTAACTATGTAGTATAATAGCAGTGGGTTCTTATCCATATAAAATGTAAGCTGGTTTTATTTTGTCATCCTATTGATAAAAATACTGACTAGTTTCCAATTTACACTGTTAAAAAATTGCTGATCACTGCAAGTTTTGATCTAGACCAGGGGACATAACTCCAGGTAGTTGTCTCCCCTAGACTTTGATCTTTTCATCAAATATCAACATTCCCTCTAGGTTACCCACTGGTGGTAATGCTAACCTGTGCCAAGTTTCACTGTACAAACAAACTTGGGATCTCTGGTTATTGTTATAGCAGAATGTATAGCACCAGCTTTAAACAATCTGCACCTGCTCTTTAATGTTCCATGTTTTCTTTTAACTTTAGATGAATTAAATTTTGTTGTGTTAGTTTTGGCAAGGAATTGATGAATGATTGGTGAAAACTTTAATTTGATTTTTTCTCAAGCAAAAAAAAAAATAATTTCATACATAGTGTTTGATTTTTCTATCATTAATTTTTTTCTCCTTTTAATTAAACAAAATAATCTTTATAGATCCAAGTATTAATTTTATAAGTGTAAATAAGGTGTGTGTTTTTATCTCTCATCCTGGAGAGTAGGTAAATTTGTCAGTGAGCCAAGAGATATGTGGTGCAAACTTGCTGCCATTTATTTCTTCTGTATGGGCAGAATGTCATAAGTCATCTCATAAATGTCATGTGCTATTTTTAACTTGTAGGAACATTCAATACACCTGGGTTTCTTTTCTTTTTGTTTTATAAATTATTGCCTTATACACGTGATGTATCAGTGCTTGTCATGATTTAGTGATGACATGGGAGATTTTTTTTATTATTGTTGCAGTTAAGATTAGCATTTCAATTTGAATCGATCAAAAATTAGAAACAGGCAAAAAATACATTTGGAACTAAAGCACTTTAACATAATAAATATAAATATTGTGAGTTAAATTTAATTATCAGTGATCAAAGCAATGCTGAATATACAATTGATATAGGCCTATATATATATATATATATATATATATATATATATATATATATATATATATATATATATATATATATATACATATATATATATATATGTCTTGTTTTGTTTCTGTAGACAAAGATTAACTATTGATGAGGCTTTGAATCACCCATGGCTCAATGTAAGTATATTCACACCCTATATTGTAACAGCCCTCTATTATCCTGCTCTATGTTGCTCTCAGCTATGGTGAACTGGCCAATAGTATCATACCCTCATATCTTGTTATTCATCAAGTGAAGTTAATTAATCAACTTAACCACATTTTAATATGATCCATATTCATCTTCCTTCATAGCATTTATTAGAACATTAATCAACATAATTAGATTAATATTGTTTTAATTAGGAGTGTAACTAGTTAAATTTCTAATTCTATTTATTACTTTAATGTATAAAAATGTTAAGGCTATTTTGTTCTTGTTTTTTTTTTATAAGTTTAACTCTTTTGATACAGAAAATAATAAATATTATAAAGATATCAAGTTTTAATGAAGATTATGTTATGTCATTTTTTTGTCATTTTAATAACTTCACATTTTTTATATTAAAAAAGTAGCAAATAACAAAGTAGTGAGGAAAATTTCTAAATCTTGTTAATTTTTTAAAAGCTCCCTATTAGATTACAAGTAGGTTATAATCCCTGTGATTTTGTTTTTATATTGCTTACTGTGGTGATTGGCTTTGTGTTATCAGTACCTGCTACAATATTCTCATATCTCATCTATAGGACTTCTTTCATTTTAACCCTTAAAAACATTTGTCTATATTGAAGTTATATTTTCTATAAAGTTACAATTTAAAAATGGGCATTCTAGTAGTTTATTTTTATCTAAAATCTAAAACAAGATCTCAAATTTAACAAATTACTTTTGATGCCACAATTCTAAAATTATCAAAGTATTTGGTAAAATTAAAATAAGTTAAAAAATTCATATAAGGCATATTTCTTTTAAAAACCAAGAAACAGTACAAAATAAGTAATGAGTCAAACCATAACCGATTTAAATTGGACCAGGAGTCCAATGATTTACAAACATAGAATGGAATAGGATAGGCATGGAATGAAAAAGGTTCTATAGAAATATATAGCAAAATCATTGTGGCTGTCCATCTCATTTCATCTCCTCCGCCCACAGCCACACCCTCGCGCTCCTGCTGCTGTAGTTGATGTAAGTACTGACCATCATCATCTGCTTACACTCAGTTTTATCTGCTTTTTGTACTCGTATTCTTTTTTATCAGTTTTTTGTACTGCTTTTGTTTTTTATCAACTTTTTGTACTGTTTTCAACATTCAGTTTTATCAGAATATTGTACTTTTTCCATTGTATTTTCAACTTTTTGCACTTTTTATTTCGTAAACTTTTCTGCAAATTTGACAACACAACAGTTTATCAGTATTTTTGTTTAAAGAATTTTATTTTCTACGTATGTAAAGAAATATTTATTAAAAAAAAACTGAATGGTTTGCAATTTAAATCAATTTCTATTAACACATCATTCATTAAATGTGCCAAAAATATTTTTTTTATGATTTTCAATTATAACATTCAGTTGATATTCATTTTGTTGAGAGCACAACTAAACTAACCCTTATGTGAGATAACATTACTAACTTATTAATAATTGTTTTTTATTTAAAATAATTTATGTTCACAGTTTTTGTAATTATATTATAATTGATTGACTCTGTGTTTATCTTAAGCCATTCCTTGATTAGAATTATGTTTAATTATACAACATGATCCAGTAAAAAATTATCACCCAGCTATTGTTAATTGCTTCAGTTCCACATGATCTAATGTTTTTGACAGGGATCTGCTCAAAAGAAACTTACTGGTCAGCCACTGTCCACTGCCCATCACAAAGACTACAGGACACGAACCAAGCACAAGGTAGCTAAAAATATCTCATCCTTTGTCTGTCTGTCTTGTGTTTTGTTGTTGTGACACCCATGTCTTTCTGTTTCAATGCTACTCTTGAAACACAAATTACAATAGAATGGAATATTATAAATTAATTGCTGATATAATTTGATAGTTTTTAATATGACTGAATTAATAGTTAAACATACAAAGCATTGTTTTTTTAATAGACTAAAATTTGAGCATTCATCTGACTAGATACACTCTCATTTGATCTCTTTATTTTAAAATTACAACTATATTATCATCTAAGTGAGTTGTATATGAACACCATTGTAACCCTCCTATATTTTAAGTAGCTACCTCTGTGTCATCATCTTGTTTTACCACACAATGTGGTTGTAAATTCTATTGTGTCACCATCTTGTGTAATCATCTATGTACATGCTTTGTCACCACTTCTAAATTACCCTTTCAACTGTGCAGTTACCTCTATATCACCATCTAGTTTCCACCTTAACATGTATGCACCTCTGTGTCACCATTTCATTACCTCACCCCCTTTGTAGTCACAGCTATATCACCATCTAATTACAAATCCTAACATCTGTATCACCATTTCGTTACCTCACTACCTGTGCAAATACACCTGTATCACCATTTGATCACCACTCCTCATGCATGTGGTCACCTTTTGTCCCACCATGAGCATGGCTCTACCTACCAATATACTGCCATATCACCATATGATCACCACTCCTACCATGCATGTGGTCACTTTTTGTCCCACCATGAGCATGGCTCTACCTACCAATATACTGCTATATCACCATTTGATCACCACTCTTACCATGCATGTGGTCACCTTTTGTCCCACCATGAGCATGGCTCTACCTACCAATATACTGCTATATCACCATTTGATCACCACTCCTACCATGCATGTGGTCACCTATTGTCCCACCATGAGCATGGCTCTACCTACCAATATACTGCTATATCACCATTTGATCACCACTCCTACCATGCATGTGGTCACCTATTGTCCCACCATGAGCGTGGCTCTACCCACCAATATACTGCTATATCACCATTTGATCACCACTCCTACCATGCATGTGGTCACCTATTGTCCCACCATGAGCGTGGCTCTACCCACCAATATCTTGCAGGAGGATGAGATGGACGTCCTGCCTATTGGCAAGCTGTCCAGGGACAGTGCTGTCATGAGGAAGGAAGGAGACTTGGGCATTGTGATGAGGAAACTTGTCATGGGTCAGTGCCTGCATTCTTATCTCATTTCAAACTAGTGCTAACTGTAACTTGTTCTAGAGATCTTTAAAAACTTGCATTAATGCTATCTGTACTTTGTTCTAGAGATCTTTAAAAACTTGAATCTGTACTTTGTTCTATGTAGGTTTAAAACATGAGTTAATGTTACCTGTAATTTATCAGTGTAAAAGTTTCTGAGAAAATCTTTATAGGCCCTACCTCTATCATTTATAACCTGAATTAATTATATTTTTTTCTTTAGATCTTTGAAAACTTAAATTGATGCTAACTGTAGTTTGTTCTATGTAGCTTTTAAAACCAGTAATTGTTCTATACAGAACCTTATGAGAAAATCTTTATACCTCTATAATTAAAAAGTTGAATTAGTGATAATTGTAATTTGTTCCATGGAACTTAACAACTTGAATACATTGTAGTTGATCTATGGAGATTTTATATCATGGGCTAATGTTACATGTTATTGTTCTATACAGAAATGCCAGAGCATGCCCCATCCTTCATAGAAGAACTTTCACATGTGACAGGCTATGAAGGGTCAAGGACACAGTTGGCCTGCAAGGTCATTGGCAAACCTACCCCACAAATTACCTGGTGAGTTATTCCTCTTGTGTAGTGATCGACTTAAAGCAGCATATTTTAACAATTCAGCACCATAGATTTAAAGAAGTTGGGGGAGGGGAGGAATTGGAGAAACTTACATAGCTATAATATATCCATGACCTTTTTTTTTCCCCAAATGATATATCTTTTTGTATTTAATATTCAAAATCTCTTCATTAAAGTAAGATTGTGAAAAATATCTTGTTATAAACTGCTGCTTCTCTTACTATTGCTATTATTGTCTTTTATTGGTGGTTATTTAAAAATAATAAAGTCTGTGTGTTTTGTTTCGTTTTCTTGTCTAAGCACTAAACTAACAAGCAACACTTCCATCATACACATTTAAATGTAAACATAAACATTCCACACACACACCCACACAACACCTACACTAAAGTACTATCATCAGGTGAGTATTATTGTTGACATGCTTTCTATTCTCTTGAATACTAACATTTGAAGAAAACAGAGAAAATGATCATAAATGATTAAAAATTGAATTTCTGTGTACTAATGAGTTGATGTTTCTGTCTGTTCATCATTTTTTTATAGCCCCGCCCACTCATTTTGGTATAATTATATTTTGAATTCCCTCGTCTTAATAGACAACATGTTATTCACCATTGTTCTTTTATTTTTTGTTATCTGTCTAAAAATCATAGTCCATTAATTACATGAAACAAAAAAACAAAATAAATAAATGATCTAGACTCGTACACCAGCAATGTAAACATCTGGTTACACTTAGGCTAATTACTTCCCCTGTTGTTGTTCTATCAATATGCAGGCTGCCAAGTATAATATTTTTTTTCGTTTAGTGCTTGGCAAATCTAGCTGAAATGCTTGTTTTTAAATTCAGTATTTTAGACTATATTCTAGTGATGGCTCGTTGATTAGCCCGGTAGCATTATGTTTACGTGTTAGGTCTAGTAATGTGGCTATACATCGTAGACCAGGGCTTGAGTATAAGGTCTAGTAATGTAGGTTATATCAGTACACAGTGGCTTAAGTTTAAGGTCTAGTAATGTAGGCTGTAACAGTACACAATGGCTTAAGTATAAGGTCTAATAATGTAGGCTATATAAGTACACAGTGGCTTAAGTGTAAGGTCTAGTAATGTAGGCTGTAACAGTACACAATGGCTTATGTATAAGGTCTAATAATGTAGGCTATAAAAGTACACAGTGGTTTAAGTGTAAGGTCTAGTAATGTAGGCTATACACCGTAGACCGTGGCTTTAGTATACGTTCTATTAATGTAGGCTATACATTGTAGACTGTGGCTTAAGTGTAAGGTCTAGTAATGTAGGCTATATATGTACACAGTGACTTAAGTATAAGGTCTAGTAATGTAGGCTGTAACAGTACACAATGGCTTAAGTATAAGGTCTAGTAATGTAGGCTGTAACAGTACACAGTGGCTTAAGTATAAGGTCTAGTAATGTAGGCTATATATGTACACAGTGACTTAAGTATAAGGTCTAGTAATGTAGGCTGTAACAGTACACAATGGCTTAAGTATAAGGTCTAGTAATGTAGGCTGTAACAGTACACAGTGGCTTAAGTATAAGGTCTAGTAATGTAGGCTATATATGTACACAGTGACTTAAGTATAAGGTCTAGTAATGTAGGCTGTAACAGTACACAATGGCTTAAGTATAAGGTCTAGTAATGTAGGCTGTAACAGTACACAGTGGCTTAAGTATAAGGTCTAGTAATGTAGGCTGTTCCAATACACTGTGTCGCCGTGGCAACTCGAGGACTCATTATTATGTCAAGTTTCATTTCTAGTAAAATATTCTTCCTATGTGTAAGAAGCCTTAATCTGAATCGTGTAGTATTGGTGGGTCGTTTGTCGCCCCCACTCTTTGAATATCACCCACCCACCCTCTGTGAATATCACCCACCCCCTGCATCGCTTCTCCCCCACCTGGGTTGAGTCTAGCTGAAGCCAGAGACCGGAGTTCTACCTGTATGTCATGCACGTGATCTACTCACCTTGCTGCGTTACCTGGGGACAAGGTGTACTCGTGGCAGTGGGGGAGTGACGTCATACGTGTGTGTGTGTGGGAGGGGGGGGGGGGACTTCAAACAGCTTGGGGCTGTAACTCGTGCAGCGGGTTGTCTGTTTGTTGTTCTACTGGTTGTGTCTGGGTTGTCCCACGGGTTGTTTCTAAGACGTCTGTTTCTAAAATGTCTTAAATATCCATTGGGCTTTGGACTTGTGCAGAGGTCAATAAATACGTTAACATCTATTTACAGTGTTAATAAAGCATTTGCGATATAAACTTGACTTTTTTAAAAATATAGAGTTGGTAGGTCTATATCAAAATAAAATTGTAGCTTTCAAGTAGAGAAAATATTTTTCGAGATATCTGAAGTTGCTAATTTTATAGATTTTATAACATTGATTCTTAAACCAAATATTCTCAGCTGTAATTTTTTACGTATTTTACGTTTTTACATTTTTACTTTCTCGTATATACGAAGTATAGAGAAAGTATTGTAATCGTGCACAAAAATCACTTGAAATTTTAACAATTTTCACCGTATTACACCTCAGTCCTTCATCACATCCGAAGTATAGAGGACTTATTTTAATCGGGCAAAAATTATCAATCCAGATTTATCAAAATTAAGAGGTTTTATGCGTAATCCAGTCTGAAAAACTGGGCTTTGCAATTCTGTCCGTATGTCTGTGTGTCTGTGTGTGTGTCCGTGTGTAAACACGATTACTTGAGTACCGTTATAGCTAGGTTGATGAAATTTCATATATAAGTATTTTATCAAAATCGTAGATCCGTATCAACTTTTGAGCGATTTCCGATAACCGGAAGTGGTACTTTTCCTACTTTGAATTTTTCAAAAGCCTATAACTTGAGTACTATTTCAGATAGATAAATGAAATTTCACATGTAAGTAAAAGATCTAATTCTCTACCTTCTGTTAAATTTTGAGTAATTTCCGTTGACCGGAAGTAGTAATTTACGCTACTTCCGATTTCTCAAAAAACTAATGTAAATTTTTAAAGTACTAATAATATTGCGCGCTATTGTGCACTTTTTTATTTGGCGTTCACTAGTTCACTTGGCGTGCAATTATTTTGTCTACGAGATTTTATTCTATTTTTAAAACTTTAAGTATTTAAAATGGATTAAAAATCATGTCAATAGCCCGAGTTCCCATCCCCTGTTGTTTTATATAAGAATATTCGAGAAAGTTTAGGGGAGATCACTCCCGGTTTATTTAAAGTCTACTAAAGAGACGAGATTAATGGATATTTTTTGGTCCATGTCAGCAATAATAGCACACTCTGCTAACTTGGCGGATGCCATTTTAAAGACACTATGATCAAATACTGAAACTAATCCTATCACGACTGTACATATTATAGTGTTTCTGCCTTCTATACATGCTCCTTATGTTGGAATATCCCTGGCTTAAAGCCTTGACTTGCTCCACTTGGAGAAGTCCTCATTCAATTGTTGCCTATTTTCTCTCAGCCCCTGCCTCATGTGTTCTGTAGGTTAATTTGAAGCCTATATCGATGTGACTCTATAATTAAAGGCCAATATTCCTCGCTCACCTGTGTGTATGGGAGGGGTGGGGGTAAAAATAGGACAGCGCGACCTTTTTAGACAAGACCGACTACTCCTTGTGTAGGGTAGATAACTCATTGAGTAGGGTAGATAACTCATTGAGTAGGGTAGATAACTCTTAACGTAGGCTAAATAACTTCGAGTAGGGCAGATAACTTATATTGTAGTGATGAAATTTGAGCCGTTTGGGGACCCCTCCGTTTATTTTGTGTGGGTGTACATTCATTTTACTTCAGCGTCTAATGTTTTCAAAAGATCCACACGAGACTTAAGTACGTTAAATCGTTTCTGTTAAACAGTAAAGTGTACAACCTCATAGCTTTTTGATTGTGGGAACTTAGTGTGATTTGTTTGGGATGTCTTAAGCGAATGTAACCGCCGATTAAAGTTGTTTGGAAATTGTGATTGGCTTTCTGTTTCTCGTGTTTTGCCAGAGCATCATTCTGTCTTTCTGTTTCTGCAAGAGTTTGCCCAGAACCCAATTCTGTCGTCCTTTTCCCTTCCAACTTAAATACAGACTCCGGAAGTTGTAAACATGCGCATGTGCAACGACAAGTGGCGCAGAATCGTCTAACAGGAAGCGCCCTTCTGGTGCAGACCGAGCCACGGTTCTACATCACGTTGTGCACCCAGTGTGTCGAGAAGCAGAAGCTCCCCCCCCCCACTTCCCCTCCCTGAAGACCTTTGGCTCCATCCAGGTACCCAGCAAAGGGCACCCTCCTGTTTCATGCGGGCAGGAGCATGTTATAAAACTCACGTCTCCACACGGTTGTATGCGCTCACCATCCGTTTACACAATCCTCACAGCAGGTGTGGAGTGTACTCATACACAAACATCACACCTCCCCCCTCCATCCCCTAAATACTACTTTATTATAAGCTACCTCCACCCTCACTCCTCCCCCCTCCGATGACCTTTGATTTCCAGTGCTCAGGTCTAGTCACGTGATGTCAAACCCTCCCCACCCCCTTCCACCTGGGGGTACAGTGAGGTCCCGGGAAGGTGATCTCCTTTTGCCCGTGGTTTCAGAGACCGACTGGATAATTTCTTTCGGAGATGTTCGTCATTAATTCGTTTGTGTGAATTAGCTGTTGCTTGTGTAGCCACTGCACGCTGGTAGTTCTGCTTCTTTAGGTGCTGCACATGTCGTGTTGGCCGCTCTAGCTTTGTGTTATAGTTGTGTTAATAGACTGTGTTTCGTGTTTGATGTAGCACTTGCTGAGCAGTGAGTTTTTCATATCTCTTTTCATTCATTAGGCTTACATTTTCAAGTCATGTAAATACTTCTGAAAGGCCATCGTTTGATGAATTTATATAAATGCCATCTGGATACATGTTATAAAAACCATCTTTTTAAGTAATGTAAACGCCATTGAATGTACATAAGCGCTA